GCGGGGTCCCTCGGTGTCACACCTGCTGCCCTCAGTGGGATCATGCAGCAGTTGTGGGATTGTGTAACAGCTGTGGGATGTTGTAGCAGCTGTGGGATGTTGTAGAAATTGTGGGATGTTGTAGCAGTTGTGGGATGATGCAGCACTTATGGGATTTTATAGCAGCTGTGGGATTTTGTAGCAGCTTGGGATGTTGTAGCACTTGTGGGATGTTGTAGCACTTGTGGGATGTTGTAGCAGTTGTGGGATGTTGTAGAAATTGTGGGATGTTGAGGCAACTCTGGGATGTTGTAGCAGTTGTGAGATGTTGTAGCACTTGTGGGGTGTTGTAGCAGCTGTGGGATGTTGTAGCAGTTATGGGATGTAGTTGTGGGATGTTGTAGAAGTTGTGGGGTGTTGTAGCAGCTGCGGGATGTTGTAGCAGCTGTGGGATGTTGTAGCAGTTGTTTGTGGGACATTGTAGCACTTGTGGGATGTTGTAGCTGTTGTGGTTTGTAGCATTTGTGGGATTGTGTAACAGCTCTGGGATGATGCAGCACTTGTGGGATGTTGTAGCATTTGTGGGATATTGTAGCACTTGTGGGGTGTTGTAGCTGTTGTGGGATATTGTAGCAACTCTGGGATGTTGTAGCAGTTGTGGGATGGTGTAGAAATTGTGGGATGTAAAAATTGTGGGATGTTGTAGCAGCTATGGGGTGTTGTAGCAGCTGTGGGATTGTGTAACAGGTCTGGGATGTTGTAGCAGCTGTGGGATCGTGTAACAGGTCTGGGATGTTGTAGCAGCTATGGGATGTTGTAGCAGCTGTGGGATTGTGTAACAGCTGTGGGATGTTGTAGCAGCTGTGGGGTGTTGTAGCAGCTGTGGGGTGTTGTAGCAGCTGTGGGATTGTGTAACAGGTCTGGGATGTTGTAGCAGCTGTGGGGTGTTGTAGCAGCTGTGGGGTGTTGTAGCAGCTGTGGGATTGTGTAACAGGTCTGGGATGTTGTAGCAGCTGTGGGATGCTGTAGCAGCTGTGGGATTGTGTAACAGCTCTGGGGTATTGTAGCAGCTGTGGGGTGTTGTAGCAGCTGTGGGGTGTTGTAGCAGCTGTGGGATAATGCAGCATTTGTGGGATGTTGTATCTGAACAATTCAGGCCTCAGTGTGCACCAGCCATACGGCTCGTAACTGCTTTTATCAGAATTTTCTCAGAATTTCTCAGAATTGTCTCCCTGTAAAATTCATCAAAGTCACTAAGACATCAGCTGAGCTAAAATAAGAATGAAGAAGCTGAGAAACCAAACACCAAGACCACAAAAACTCGATAGCAGAAGACTGCAAAACACCTAGACTGCAACCAGCCACAGATACTGAGAAACAGGCAGAAAACAGGGGAACAAGACAAAAACACCAATCCAGAAAATGCACTTGGTAATTTGGATCCATAAAAGTGTGTTTCATGTAAACAATAAACAGCTTCTACTTAACCATATTAGTCAATCCTACAAGAGTTCCAGGTTTCTGGAACTCTTGGATGATTTGGGTGGGATGATTTGGGCAGGAAGATTTGGGTGCTAAGATTGGGGTAGGACAATTTGGGTGGGACAATTTGGGTGGGATGATTTGGGTGGGATGATTGATTTGGGTGGGATGATTGGGGTGAGATGATTTAGGTGCAATTATTTGGGTGAGATGATCGATTTAGGTGGGATGACTGATTTGGGTGGGATGATTTGGGTGCAATGATTGATTTGGGTAGGATGATTTGGGTGGGATGATTTGGGTGGGATGATTTGGGTGGGATGATTGATTTGGGTGGGATGATTTGGGTGGCATGATTTGGGTGGGATGATTTGGGTGGGATGATTTAGGTGAAATTACTTGGGTGGGATGATTTGGGTGGGATGATTTGGGTGGGACGATTTGGGTGGGACGATTTGGGTGGGACGATTTAGGTGGGACAATTCGGGTGGGATGATTTGAGTGGGATGATTTAGGAGGGATGATTTGGATGGGATGATTTAGGTGGGATGACTTGAGTGGGATGATTTGGGTGGGACGATTTGGGTGGGACGATTTAGGTGGGACAATTCGGGTGGGATGATTTGAGTGGGATGATTTAGGAGGGATGATTTGGATGGGATGATTTAGGTGGGATGACTTGAGTGGGATGATTTGGGTGGGATGATTTGGGTCAGATGATTTAGGTGGGATGATTGGGGTGGGACAATTTGGGTGGGATGATTTGAGTGGGATGATCTGGATGGGATGATTTGGTTGTTCTCCCATCCCAGCATGTTTTCGGGAGGCTCAGCCTCCCTGGCACGGTTTGGGGCCGGGCAGGAGGAAGCAGCGGGGCGGCAGCTGCAGGGCAGTGGGTGTGGGGGTAATTCCAGCTGGGCGGGAGGGATCTGGAGGAGGGCAGCACTTCCTCCTTCCAGACCAGTGTGACCAGCTCTGCCACAACCAGGCCGAGATTTGGGGCTCGTGCTTGACCTAGAATTGGCGCCAAGCTCCCCAAACCAGCCCGTTTGGGAGCTCCTGACCCTGAAACACAGCAGGTGAACACTCCCTCTCTCTGTCTCTCTGCTTTGCTGGCCATCTTTCCTGATGCTGAGTTCTCAGGAATTTCTCAGCCAGCTTCAGTGGTTCAGAGTTATTTTCTTATCAGCTCAAGCTTTGGGTGGTGCTGGGATTTTTATTTGATCCCATCTCCAAATGCACACGGAGATCTTGGACCCATCACATGTGGCTGCTGGGGTAACTCTTGGGGTTTTATGGGTCTCTCAGCCCTAATTTGCCCTAAAGAGGGACAGGAAAAACTTCCCCAGCATCTGAGCTCCAAGTCCTTGGCCAAGCTGCCAACCCAAACACCGGGGAAGGCCTTGGAGAAGCTCCAGGAATCTGCAGTCCTGTGGGGCCTCAGGTGGTTCCACCCCAAGGAAACCCTTAGGAAATATATTTTTGGAGCTGGATTTCCCCACTGTGCTGAGCCTGGTGATTCCAACAGCGCAACAAATCCGGGCTGGAGCTCTGCAGTCACTGCAGCAGGACCCAGCACAATAAAAAACTGCTCCTCTGGTTGAAAAGAACGATTTATATACCTGAAAAAATCCTTTCCACTCCAGGAATGTGCAAGGGCATGGAAAAACTCAAGGAAGGTGTTTCCCAAAGTCCACTTGGGCCCTCTGGAGCATCCCTGGTGCTCGCCAGGGATGCCGTGGCTGCAGCTCTGCCCTCCCTCCATTCACGGTTTCACTCTGCAGCAAGTGCAGAACTGGGGCTGTTCTAATTCAGTGCAAGCACAACACCGATTCCAGTTTGGAAAACAGCCTGCAAGTGCCTCCTCGTGGAGCTAATTCGGGGCTTGCATCTCCTCAGAGCCCTGTGGCTCGCATTTTGATGAGCTCCCTCCGGGGAGAGGAGCTGCATTTCTGTGGAACCGGGAGGGATCTGTGTGTTCTTGTGCTGACTAAACCCACCCACGCCTCGGGGCTTATTTGCAAGCAGATCCTGCGTGGTTTGTGTCAGCCCTGATGGAAGGGCCTGATATTCCCGGGAGCTGGCACGCTGATATTCCCGGGAGCTGGCACACAGATGTTCCCTGGAGCACCCAGGTCACTCGGTGTGGCTCTGGGTAGGGGTTGGGTTGATCTTTGTCACCTCTGGCCCAGGGAAAGCTTCATCAGTCGGGTTTTTTTTGGGACAGAACCCCTGCAGTGTGGGAGATGAGGAGCAGCTTCCATCAGCAGCTCCATGCACGGGGACGGAAAAAGGGAGCTGGGAGATGGCAGAATCCTGGAATTGTTTGGGTCGGAAAAGACCTCTGGAGATCACCCAGCCAGGGTCACCTGGAGCAGGTGACACAGGAACGCACCAAGGTGGCTGCACCGGGGCTCCTGGCTGCCTTCCCCAGCAGTTTTTGCTGGAAAGGCTTTTTATCCCAATCCTTTCCATGGAAAGGCTTTGCTATCCCAATCCTTTCTCCTTCTGACAGGGAAGGGAAGCAGAAGCTGCTGCATCAGCGCGGCCTCAAATCGCGTTTTTGCCCGGCAGGAGAGCCCCGGGCTGCGGCTCCGTCCCCATCCGGGCTGCTCTGGGAGGCGTTTGATCCCCTAATGACAAAACCCAATTTCCGCCGTGCCTTTGACTCACCCCCTGCCCATGAGGCTCGTTCCTGCCTGGCCCTGGCTGTCCCCATCGGTCCCAAGGACACCGCTCCCGGCCCTCCGGGCACTTTGATTGTTCCATGGCCTCGGGAGCCCGGCAGCCGCAGGAGCCTCGAGTTTGGGGCACTTTGGGGCACTTTGAGGGGGTTGGGGTGCGGTTATCGCTGTCAGGGTCCCTTTGTCCCTTTGTCCCCGCGTTGTGCGGGCAGGATGGCACGGAAGAACAATTTGCCTTGGATGCAATTTGGGGTTGGCTAAAGATTAAGCTGCGGCCAGGTGGGAATGAGCACCTGCGGCCCCGGAGCGGCATTCCAGAGGCGCGGCTCACGGCATGGCCGAGCTGCCGTGCCCGGCCGGCCACCTGCAGCCAGCGCTCGTCACGGCCGAGCTCCACCGGCTCTGCTCTGCCTGGAAAGAGTGTTCTAAAAATTGCCAGCCTTCCCCAGCTAAAGTAGGTGAAATATTTATAAACCCATCCTCCAGAGAAGACCTTTTGCGTAAGCATCAACCGCTCCGGCTTTAAAACCCGCGCCCTCCCCCCGCCCCAAGGCGGCTTCTGCTGCTTACCCGGGGAAGGGGCAACTTTAATTGCGTTTGTCTGGCACGCTGGCACCTTTTCACGGCCACGGGGGACCGCGGGGAGGGCTGGCAGCAGGGGGAAAAAAAAAAAAAAAAAAGAGAATTTCTGGATTTCCTGCCTGGGCTGTGCTCTGTTCCATCGGGTGTAGCCGCTTTAATACCGGGGGGGGGGCGCGGACCGCGCAGAGGGGTCGCCCCACTTTTGGGAGGATGGGAGGGAAGCAGATGAGGAGGAGGAGGAGGAGGAAGAGGAGGAGGAGGCGGGTGAGGAGGATGGGGAGGAACACACGCCGCTCCTTTCAGCGCCCGAGGGATGCGCCGGGGTCCGGCGGGGCGGCTCCGGGGGCGGCGGGGATGGAGAGGGATGGAGAGGGGCCCCGCTCCGCCCGGCCCCGGAGGCGGAGCCAGCGCCCGGCGCGGCGGGATCGGGAGGCACATCCCGCAAAGGAGGAGCGGGGCCGGGCACGGCAGCGGGGCGGCGGCGGGGCCCCAGCCCAGCGCCGGAGCTCCAGCAGCGGGGCCGCCCCGCGCCGCCGCCGCCGCGCAGGATGTGGTGGGACGAGCGGGTGTCGGCGCGGTTCCGGAGGAACCTGCAGCCCACCCTCACCTATTGGAGCGTCTTCTTCAGCTTCGGCCTCTGCATCGCCTTCCTGGGGCCCACGCTGCTGGACCTGCGCTGCCAGACCCAGAGCTCGCTCTCGCAGATCACCTGGGTCTTCTTCTCGCAGCAGTTCTGCCTCCTGCTCGGCAGCTGCCTCGGAGGGGTCTTCAAGAGGACGTAAGAGCCTGGCAAAGTCCGCGCTCCTCCCTCGGGGGGTTCTGCTGCCCGCAGACCCCCCCTCACTTAGCCCGGCTCGGGGGTGGGCAGCGCCGGCAGCCCCGGGCCGGGCTTGGGGGGCTGAGCGGGGTTTAGGGGGCTGAGCCGGGCTTGGGGGGCTGAGCCGGGCTCGAGGGGCTGAGCCGGGTCTGGGGGGCTGAGCTGAGCCGGGTTTGGGGGCTGAGCCAGGTCTGGGGGGATGAGCCGGGCTTGAGGGGCTGAGCCGGGTTTTGAGGGGCTGAGCCAGGTCTGGGGGGCTGAGCTGAGCCGGGTTTGGGGGCTGAGCCAGGTCTGGGGGGATGAGCCGGGTTTGAGGGGCTGAGCCGGGTTTTGAGGGGCTGAGCCGGGTTTTGAGGGGCTGAGCCGGGTCTGGGGGGCTGAGCCGGGCTTGGGGGGCTGAGCCGGGCTTGGGGGGCTGAGCCGGGCTTGGGGGGCTGAGCCGGGTCTGAGGGGCTGAGCCAGGTCTGAGGGGCTGAGCCGGGCTTGGGGGGCTGAGCCGGGTTTTGAGGGGCTGAGCCAGGTCTGGGGGGCTGAGCTGAGCCGGGTTTGGGGGCTGAGCCAGGTCTGGGGGGAGGAGCCGGGTTTGAGGGGCTGAGCCGGGTTTTGAGGGGCTGAGCCGGGTTTTGAGGGGCTGAGCCGGGTCTGGGGGGCTGAGCCGGGCTTGGGGGGCTGAGCCGGGCTTGGGGGGCTGAGCCGGGCTTGGGGGGCTGAGCCGGGTCTGAGGGGCTGAGCCAGGTCTGAGGGGCTGAGCCGGGTTTTGGGGGGCTGAGCAGGGTTTAAGGTGCTGAGCCGGGTTTTGGGGGGCTGAGCCGGGCCGGGATGCTGCGTGGGAAAACCATTCCCGAGTGGAAGCGGTCGCGGAGGGTCCGCAGCCTTTTCAGCCCCGGAGGGGAGGGCAGGGGAGGGGGTTCCTTCCCTCGGCAGCCCCGCTCGGCTCCCGGTGCGGTTCCATCCCCCCGGAGCGGAGCCGCCGCTCCCTGGAGCTCCGCGCAGCGACAGCCTCAGCGTGAAGTTCCATCCAGAACTTCCCGCGAGGGTTTTGTTTTGTTGGGATTTTTTTTTTTTTCCCATCCTTAACCTTGGTTTTTTTATCGCCCAAGAATATTTTTGGAAGTGTGTTTGAATAACCTCGGCGTCGGAAATGGTGGCAGCGCCGCGTTTTGCCAGGAGTTTGGGCGAACACGTGGAGGGATGCGAGTGGTCCTCGTAGTGTGGCAGAGGGAGAGGGGGGGACACCGGGCCGGGGGCTCGGGGGGGTCAGCGGGGACCTTGAGAAGCCCCAAGGGAGACCCAAACAGGGATTGGCAGCGAGCCTCGTGTCCAGGATGTGCTGCAAATAAATAACCCGTGCTGGCTCAAGGCTGAGGATTGCCAGGGAGGCGTTTGATTTGGGGCTCGGTGACAGCTCCGGGCATCAGCTGATTGTTTACGGTGTCACCGATCCTGGGGCGGTGATGTAACCTCCGTGTGTGTGTGTGTGAGTGTGTGATCCACGCACCGCGAGTGGGGCTGAGATGGGACAGTTCCCCGGGAATCCTTTAAAAACCTCCCGGTGTGCATTGAGGGCTGAATTCCCCAGGAATCCTCTAAAAACCTCCCTGTGTGGATTGAGGAGAATCCTGGCTGAATTCCCTGGGAATCCTTTAAAAACTTCCCGGTGCGGATTGAGGGGAATCCTGGATGATTTTCCCAGGAATCCCTAAAAAATCTCCCAGTGTGGATTGAGGGGAATCCTGGCTGATTTTCCCAGGAATCCTTTAAAAACCTCCCCGTGTGGATTAAGGGGAATCCTGGCTGATTTCCCCAGGAATCCTTTAAAAATCTCTGCGGGCCCTGCCTGAGTTTCCCAGGAATCCTTTAAAAACCTTTAAAGACATTTTTAAGGCTCATTAAGGGGCTCTCGGTGTGGATTGAGGGGAATCCTGGCTGAATTCCTCGGGAATCCTTTAAAAATCTCTCGGTGGGGATTGAGGGGAGCCAGAAAACCTCTGGGTGTGCATTGAGGGCTGAATTCCCCAGGAATCCTTTAAAAACCTCTGGGAGCCCTGGCTGAGCTCCCCAGGAATCCTTTAAAAACCTCTCGGTGAGGATTTAAGGGGGAATCCTGGCTGAACACTCCAGGAATCCTTTAAAAACCTCCCGGTGTGCACTGAGGGCTGAATTCCCCAGGAATCCTTTAAAAACCTCTCAGTGTGGGTTAAGGGGAACCCTGGCTGAATTCCCCAGAAATCCTTTAAAAACCTTTAAAGACATTTTTAATGCTCATTAAGGCGCTCTCAGTGTGGATTGAGGGGAGCCCTGGCTGAATTCCCCAGGAATCCTTTAAAAACTGCTCGGTGTGATTTGATGGGAATTCTGGCTGAATTCCCCAGGAATTCTTTAAAAACCCCTCGGTGTGGATTGAGAAAAGGTGTTGGAGCACCTGTGAATCCCCTGGTCCCCCGGGAGGAGGGGACAAGCAGGATTTTGGGGACAGCTCCGGCAGTGCTGGCTCAGCAGCAGAGCCTCTGCCAGCCTCGCATATGCTTGGAGGAGCAGGGAAGGGAAATGCAGAATTCCTGCTGCCAGAATTCCTGCTCCTTCCCAAAGCTCCGGCTCTTGGCTGCACAAAACCCACCGGGGCTTTTGTGCTTGGAGATTCCCAAACTTTGATCTCCTCAGCTGGGTTTAGGGAGGAAAGAGTGGGCTTGGTGCTGCTGGTGTTTGGGATTTTGGAGAAAAAGGGATTTGGGAAGTGTCTGTGAGCCCCACTGGGGACTGGCAGCACTGCCAGGCAGGCAGGAGGGAATATTTGGGATATTTGGAGTTTGTGAGTGTTGTGGGGAGGTTCCTCAGAGCCTTGCAGCCTCTAAATGTGTGGGAATAATAATTGTTCGGGCTCCAGGAGCTCCGGTACAATCCCTTCTTCAGGGATGGATGGATTGAGCCGTCCTGCCAAGGCTTCATAAATCAAATTATGCCGCCCTCAGGGCCTGGGTGCTGCTCGGGAGGGAGCACTGGACAGCTCATCTTTTCCAAGTGAGGAGATGGAAACTGCTGTGGAGCATCCCTGGAGTCGGGCTGTGAGCTGAGTGTGCCTGGGGGCGCAGATTTTGCTGCTTCCTTTGGATTCAATCGCTCTGGGTGACCCATGAGGGACAGCAGAGCTGAGTCTGGGGCAGGAACGGGTGGTGGCACCTGAAGCCAGGTTCTCCTGTCCCCAGAGAAGCTGCTGGGTGCTGCTCCTGGGTGGGAATCCAGAGCTTCCCTCTGGCTGCCCTGGCAGGTCTGGGACCCTGGCAGGGGTCAGGAACCCCCCTGGACAGAGCCCCCAGAGACACTGGCTGTGATCTCTGTCCATGGAAAAGAGTTTTCAATCTTACAGGATGAATTACCAGCTCTGAGTGTTTGATAAGAGTAATAATTAAGTGTGGCACGGGTGCAAAAGTAAAATTTTAGGCTTCTAGATGAGGGGTCCAAAGGGGACAAGATGGAGGAAATTGGGTGTGCCTTGTCCTTTTTCTCCTCCTTCATGCCCTCCATGTTTCACTGTGGTGTTGGCATTTTTCTGTTGGTTCAGGCTGGGGACACACTGTTCAACGTAGGTGACAGATATTGGCACGTTATTGTAAATCCAGCACAGGTAGTTTGTGGTATTTAATGTTTGTACCATCCCACTGAGGGCAGAGCCCCACACGCTGCCCTGCAGGACAGAGCTGCGGCAGGGCAGCAGAACATGGTAGAGATAAACAGAATAAACAACCTTGAAAACCAGCACAAACTAATTATGACTTTTTCTTTGGCAACTGGGCTGAAAGACAGAGACTTTTTGCAATATCAGAATCACCAATACCTCAGATTCTGACACTCCTGGAGCTCTAGAGGAGAGATTTCAGTGCTGCTCTGACCCTTCAGCTCCAAGATTTCCATTTCCTTGCAGGAAATACAAAGTTTGCCAGGCCGAGGGAGGGAGGAACGAGGTGCTGCTCTGTCCTGCAGTGCTGGGTTGCAGCTGCTCCCTTCCCTGAGCCTCTGGGGGTGCAGAGGCAGGGCTGGGGGAGCAGCCCCCAGAAAATGGGGTTGGAGCTCTCGGTCCACCTCGGGCTGCTGATCCTGGGGACACCCCTGGGTTTGCTGGGGTGTGTGAGGAGCTCTGCCCCAGGAAATGCAGCTTTTCCAGGGGGTTGCATCCCTGGGGCTGGGGTTGGAGCCCTCCTCAGTCCCTGCTGCTGCTGGGGGGGCTCCAGGAGAGCCCCCAAAAGGACCCCTGAGCTCCTCTGAGCACCCCGAGGACTCCTCTTGCCGGGAATCGCCTGGAGAAGATTCCCAGGAGCCCCGGATGGGCTGTGGGAAGCAGGAGCAGCGATGGAGATGGGATGGGAGAGCTAGGAGGGCTCAGGCACACGAGGAGGAGGTGAAATTTTGGGGAAATCCCCACTCCTGGCACTGCCAGCTCCAGGGGGGAGCTCGGTGCACCTGCATTTCACTTCCCTTCCCCGTTTTGTTGCATTTCATGCTTGAGCTGTGAGGTTGAAGTCCTGCACAGGCTGGTGGCAGAAGCACCAGAGTGCCCCAGATTGGTGCTGGGATTTTATTTTTTTTTTTAATTCAGAAACGGCATTTTTGTGTCTTGTTGGAAATTCCCTTTTGCTCCCAGGGTTTTGGGCAGCCCTGGGCTGATCCCAGTGGTGTGGGCAGGGGTGAGGAGGGCACTGGGGAAACTGGAGCTGTGCTGGAGCCTTGGGCAGGCTCGTCTCAGTGTGATCCACCCCTTTAATTCCCTTTTCACAGCCCCCGGGGACTGCCCTGCTCCAAAATTCCCATCTGCTGGAGGTTTCTGGAGCTCTCAGGACACTTCGCTTGTCACTGTCGCCTTTTGTCGCTCAGAGAGGAGCACAGGAGGAGCCCCTTGGGGACACAGAACTCCCCGAGCCTGGGACCTGGAGGCTGCTGTGGGATAATCCTCCCCTCCTCCACATCCTCACCTTGTCCCCTCGGGGCTTTGCCTTTCTAATGACCAGTTTTGCAAGTCTGAGCTGGCCCGATTATCATTCTTTTTCCTCTTGATGTGAGCGATTTGGAAAACGCTCCCTGAGGTAGGGGAAAAATTAAAAATAAATTAAAAAAAAACCAAACAAACTGTGCCGGGAGCTGAAGAGATCCTGCTGCAAGGGGAACGGGAGGTGGGGGATCCCAAATCCCTGTGGCAGGGACAGGGGAAGCTTTGCTGGCTGGGGCTGCGGGGTTGGCTCTGGAATTGCCCATCCCGATCGGAGATGAAATTTGGGACATTTCAAGGCTCCTGTCACACCCCGGAGCCTGCCCTGGGCTGTGCTGGGGACACAGAGACCAGGCTGGGACAGCGGGGCTGCTTTTCCAGCCCTTCCGAGGGGTTTGGCATCACCAGGACAGGCTGGACTCGCGGGGTGCCTCATTTTGGGCGCTTCCCGAGGGTTTTGTGTCTCGGGAAGTCACCCCTGGGTGCTGAGCTGAGCCCCCCAGCTGCACCCGGGGGCTGGCACTGGCGGCAGCAATTCCCTGCTCGCCCCTGGTGCCAGGGCCACCCTGGGCTGGTGGCATTTGCAGGGGGTACAATTCTGTCATTAACCCACGGCTGGGGCAGGAATTTTTACCCGGGGTGACATTTTTAATGCTCGTTAAATCAGTTTCGCTGGTGGTGGCTCCGCTCCCCATTCAGGCAGGGGGGGTCTGCAGAGGAGGCGTTTTGGGGATGCTCCGGGAGGTTTCCCCATCGCTGCCAGCCTGGGATCGCCCCGCTCCGGTGCCTCTGAGCCTGCAGGGAGCAGCCTCGGCTCTCCGGGCTCGGGGCTGCTCCTCTCTCCTCCGCCAGCCGCTTTCCTGCCGTGACTGTGCACATCTCGCCCGGCTCCCTCCCTCCCTCCCTCCCTCCCTCCCTCCCTCCCTCCCTCCCTCCCTCCCTCCCTCCCTCCCTCCCTCCCTCCCTCCCTCCTTCCCTCCTTCCCTCCTTCCCTCCCCCGGGAATCCCGGGGCTCTGCTGCCAGCGGCCAGCGGTGCTCACAGCTTGGAGGAGATTGTCTGCCCCTGTTCCTGCCCTGCGCTGGGCACCGGGGGGCTCTGGCACGGCCAGAGGGACCCAGAGCTGCAGGAGGGGTGCAGGAGGGGTGCAGGAGGGGCAGGAGAGGTGCAAGAGGGGCAGGAGAGGTGCAGAAGTTGCAGGAGGGGTGCAGGAGGGGCAGGAGAGGTGCAGGAGGTGTAGGAGGGGGTGCAGGAGGTGCAGGAGGGGCAGGAGGGGTGCAGGAGGGGCAGGAGGTGCAGGAGAGGTGCAGGAGGTGCAGGAGGGGTGCAGGACGGGCAGGAGTTGCAGGAGGGGGGCAGGAGGGGCAGGAGGGGGTGCAGAAGGTGCAGGAGGGGCAATGGCGTGGCCAGGGATGGTGACAGAGCCAGGCGAGGGACAGGGCCAGGGACAGTGACATGGCCCAGGGGCAGTGACATGGCCCAGAACAGGCCCAGGGCAATGACAGTGGCAGTGACATGGCCAGGACAGTGCCATGGCCCAGCGATGGTGACAGGGCCAGGGCAGTGACAGGGGCAGGGACAGTGACACAGCCAGGGACAGTGACATGGCCCAGGGGCAGTGACATGGCCGGGACAGTGCCATGGCCCAGCGATGGTGACAGGGCCAGGGGCAGTGACATGGCCATGGCCAGGCTGTCCTGGCAGGGCACAAGGGTTGGCAGCTGGGTCTTCTCCACCCTCCTCCTCCTCCCCAGAGCCTTCTCCAGCCTGGCTGGGCTGTGGGGTAGGGATGGGGAGGTTTTTCTGGATGGGTGCTGCTCAGCCCCACATCCCCCAATTACTGCTGATGACCCACTGCCACCACCCGGGGCTGTGACAGGGACCTGCTGGTGTCCCCATCTCTCTGCTCCTTCCATGTTCTCTGTCTGCTCCTCCTTCCCTCCTTCCTCCTTCCCTCCTTCCTCCCTGCCATCCCTCTTGGGATGGCTGTGCGGTGCCAGCCTGGGAGCTGCTCGCTGCCAGAGCCAGGAGGGGACAGATCCCGGCCCTCTGAGGGGACAGATCCCATCTCTGGGAGAGGACAGATCCTGTCCCTTGGAGGGGACAGATCCCAGCCATGGGAGGGGACAGATCACATCCCTTGGAGGGGACAGATCCCAGCCTGTGGCAGCACATTTCTCTCCCTCTCAGGATTTTCATAGAGGTTCACAGAGAGAAACGAAAGAGAAAACAATTTCTATTTCTGCTCCTTGTTTTTCCCATGTGGAATGTGTTGGGAGAATTGTTTACCTGGGGTGATTCTTGGTTGGATTCTGGTGGGGATTGTTTGAGCCTGGTGGCCAATCCAATCCAATCCAATCCAATCCAATCCAATCCAATCCAATCCAATCCAATCCAATCCAATCCAGCCCACTGGGGCTGGGCTCTCAGAGAGGGTCACGAGTTGTGGTTAGAGTTAGAGATGGGGTTAGACATCAGATTCCGACACTACACCATAAGTTCTTGGTTTATCAGCTGTAGCCACACCATGCTGTAAATCCATGTCCCACAGGTGACTGCTGCTCTGGTGGTGGCCCTAATTCTGTGCTGCTGTCCCCTCCCCAGGCTGGCCCAGTCCCTGCTGGCCCTGTTCGCCTCGTCGCTGGCCATCTCACTGGTGTTCGCCATCATCCCGCTGTGCCACAACGTGGTGCTGCTGGCCGTGGTCATGGCCGTGGCCGGGCTGGCCATGGGCTGCATCGACACCATCTCCAACATGCAGCTGGTCAAGATCTACCAGAAGGACTCTGCCATCTTCCTGCAGGTGAGAGCGGGGTCCTCAACCCCCCCGAGGCAGCTTTAGGAGAGGATTTAGGAGGAATTTCTTCCTAGAAAGGGTGGCTGGGCATTGGGAAGGTGGCATCACCATTCCTGGAAGGCCTGGCTGTGGCACTGCGGGGTCCTTAGCATCCCAGTCAGGTTTAGGATGGACTTTAGGAGGAATTTCTTCCCAGAAAAGGTGACTGGGCATTGGGAAGGTGGCATCACCATCCCTGGAGGTGTTTGTGGAAAGCCTGGCTGGGGCAATGTGGGATCCTCACCACCCCAGGCAGGTTTAGGATGGACTTTAGGAGGAATTTCTTCCCAGAAAGGGTGGCTGGGCTTTGGGAAGGTGGCATCACCGTTCCTGGAAGTTCTGGCTGTGGCACTGTGGGGCCCTCACTGCCCTGGGGAGGTTTTGAAGGGACTTTAGGAGGAATTTCTTCCCAGAAAAGATGGCTGGGCATTGGGAAGGTGGCATCACCATCCCTGGAGAGCCTGGCTGTGGTAGTGTGGGGCTCTCAGCACCGTGGGGACATTTAAGATGGACTTTAGGAGGAATTTCTTCCCAGAAAAGGTGGCTGGGCATTGGGAGGGTGGCATCACCATTCCTGGAAGTTCTGGCTGTGGCACTGTGGGGCCCTCACTGCCCTGGGGAGGTTTAGGATGGACTTTAGGAGGAATTTCTTCCCAGAAAGGGCAGATGGGCACTGGGAGAGCGGCATCACCATCCCTGGAGAGCCTGGCTGTGGCACTGTGGGGCTCTCACCACCCTGGGGAGGTTTAGGAGGGACTTTAGGAGGAATTTCTTCCCAGAAAGGATGGCTGGGCATTGGGAAGGTGGCATCATTATCCCTGGAAGGCCTGGCTGTGGCACTGTGGGGCTCTCACCACCCTGGGGACATTTAGGATGGACTTTAGGAGGAATTTCTTCCCAGAAAAGGTGGCTGGGCATTGGGAAGGTGGCATCACCATCCCTGGAAGTTCTGGCTGTGGCACTGTGGGGTTCTCACCACCGTGGGGACATTTAGGATGGACTTTAGGAGGAATTTCTTCCCAGAAAGGGCAGCTGGGCATTGGGAGGGTGGCATCACCATCCCTGGAGGTTTTTGAGGAAAGTGGCACCAGATCTGGTGACACGCTGGTGTCACGTCACAGGTCGGACTCGATCACCTCAAAAGCCTTTTCCAACTTAATTAATTCTGTGATTCCGAGGAGGAGGAGGAGGAGTTGGGGGGCTGTGCCACCCTCCTGCTCCAGCGTGTCACCTCCTGCAGGCCTTGCACTTCTTCGTGGGTTTCGGGGCGTTGCTGAGCCCCCTGATCGCCGACCCCTTCCTGTCGGACACCAACTGCATCCTGGCCAACGGCACGGCCAACGCCTCCAGCAACCTCCCGCACATCCGCAAGTCCCTGGTGCCGCACCACCCGGGCAACCTGTCCCACTACGAGCTGCCCATGAAGGGCATGGTGGTGACACGCGTGTCCTACGCCTTCTGGATCATGGCCCTCATCAACGTAAGTGCCGCGCGCGGCCGGCCGCGATCATCCCGCTCCGCGCCTCTGTGGGGTTTGGAAACGCAGGGGAACTTGGCAGAAATAATGATGTTTGACTCTAGATTAGAAGGTTAAATAATTTCTTTATTATAATTATACTATAACACATTAATTTATTATTTAAAGGAGATACTAAAACTACAAACATACTTTATCTAACTAACTCACAACTCATGACTCTCTCTTGAGACCCGGCGGGAAGAAATGATGATGTTTGATTCTAGTTTAGAAGGTTGAATGATTTTTTTATTATAATTATACTATAATAAATTAATACACTATTTAAAGGAGATATTAAAACTACAAACCTACTTGTTCTAACTACCATATCTAACTAAGTCCCAACTCATGACCCTCTTTGGAAACTCTAGCCCCAGGTGGATCTGATTTACCATCAGGCTCAAACAATCCTCACCAGAATCTATCAAGTAATCAACAATTCTCCAAATGCAATCCACTTTAAAAAAAAAAACCAAAGAATAAACCCAAAAATTTTCTCTTTTTTCCTGCTATACTCTTCTATAAAAAAAAAAATCTTAAGAGAGAAAAAAATGTCCTTACCACAGTGGGGTTTGTGGTGTTTGGGGGATGCAGGGAAAGGGTCGTGTGTTCCAAATCCTGTTTTCCTCAGGGCACTTCCCTGCTGGGTGTGCTGGGATCGATTCTGGGGTCTGTCCCAACTCTCTGGGAGCTCTGGTCCCTCCAGCACCTCCCAGGCATGAGCTGCACCAGCAAACCCTGCTCAGATCCAGAGCTTTTCCTTCACTGGGAGGGTGGCATCACCATCCCTGGAGGTGTTTGTGGAAACTGTGGCACTGTGGGGCCCTCACTGCCCTGGGGACATTTAAGATGGACTTTAGGAGGAATTTCTTCCCAGAAATGTGGCTGGGCACTGGGAAGGTGGCATCACCATCCCTGGAGAGCCTGGCTGTGGCACTGTGGGGCCCTCACTGCCCTGGGGATGTTTTGAAGGGACGTTAGGAGGAATTTCTTCCAGAAAAGGAGTTTGGGCATTGGGAAAGTGGCATCACCATCCCTGGAAGGCCTGGCTATGGCACTGTGAGGCCCTCACTGCCCTGGGGAGATTTAGGATGGACTTTAGGAGGAATTTCTTCTCAGAAAAGATGACTGGGCATTGGGAAGGTGGCATCACCATCCCTGGAAGGCCTTTCTGTGGTACTGTGGGGCCCTCACTGCCCTGGGGAGGTTTAGGATGGACTTTAGGAGGAATTTCTTCCCAAAAAGGGAGTTTGGGCACTGGGAAGGTGGCATCACCATCCCTGGAAGGCCTGTCTGTGGCACTGTGGGGCCCTCACTGCCCTGGGGAGATTTAGGATGGACTTTAGGAGGAATTTCTTCCCAGAAAGGGAGTTTGGGCATTGGGAAAGTGGCATCACCATCCCTGGAGGTGTTTGTGGAAAGGCTGGCTGTGGCACTGTGGGGCTCTCACCACCCTAGGCAGGTTTAGGAGGGACTTTAGGAGGAATTTCTTCCCAAAAAGGGAGTTTGGGCATTGGGAAGGTGGCATCACCGTCCCTGGAAAGTCTGGCGTGGCACTGTGGGGCTCTCACTGCCCTGGGGAGGTTTAGGATGGACTTTAGGAGGAATTTCTTCCCAAAAACGGAGCTTGGGCATTGGGAGAGTGGCATCACCATCCCTGGAGGTGTTTGTGGAAAGGCTGGCTGTGGTACTATGGGGCCCTCACCACCCCAGGCAGGTTTAGGATGGACTTTAGGAGGAATTTCTTCCCAGAAAGGGAGTTTGGGCATTGGGAAGGTGGCATCACCATCCCTGGAAGGCCTGGCTGTGGCACTGTGGGGCCCTCACTGCCCTGGGGAGATTTAGGATGGACTTTAGGAGGAATTTCTTCCCAGAAAGGGAGTTTGGGCATTGGGAAAGTGGCATCACCATCCCTGGAGGTGTTTGTGGAAAGGCTGGCTGTGGCACTGTGGGGCTCTCACCACCCTAGGCAGGTTTAGGAGGGACTTTAGGAGGAATTTCTTCCCAAAAAGGGAGTTTGGGCATTGGGAAGGTGGCATCACCGTCCCTGGAAAGTCTGGCGTGGCACTGTGGGGCTCTCACTGCCCTGGGGAGGTTTAGGATGGACTTTAGGAGGAATTTCTTCCCAAAAACGGAGCTTGGGCATTGGGAGAGTGGCATCACCATCCCTGGAGGTGTTTGTGGAAAGGCTGGCTGTGGTACTATGGGGCCCTCACCACCCCAGGCAGGTTTAGGATGGACTTTAGGAGGAATTTCTTCCCAGAAAGGGAGTTTGGGCATTGGGAAGGTGGCATCACCATCCCTGGAAGGCCTGGCTGTGGTACTGTGGGGCCCTCACTGCCCTGGGGAGGTTTAGGATGGACTTTAGGAGGAATTTCTTCCCAGAAAAGGTGGCTGGGCATTGGGAGAGTGGCATCACTATCCCTGGAGGTGTTTGTGGAAAGGCTGGCTGTGGTACTATGGGGCCCTCACCACCCCAGGCAGGTTCAGGATGGACTTTAGGAGGAATTTCTTCCCAGAAAGGGAGTTTGGGCATTGGGAAGGTGGCATCACCATCCCTGGAAAGTCTGGCTGTGGCACTGTGGGGCTTTCACCACCCCAGGCAGGTTTAGGATGGACTTCAGGCTCAGCTGGGGATGGCCTTGCAGGAGGGGATTTGCAGGGAAATTCCCAGGAAATTGCCCATCAGTGACCTGGATGATGGGACAGGAGTGATCGGGGCCTCTCTCTGGTTATTATTTCCCCTGGAGGTCACACCAGGTGTCACAGTCCTTCCTTTGAGGGACCTGGTGTCCCTTCTGCCCACCTGAGGAGCAGAAAAATGGGTGATCCTGCCCAGCAGCTCCTTCCCTCTGGAATTCAGCTCCCAGAGCTTGAGGATGTGCACATTTCCTTTCTCAAACCCTTGGTTTGCCACCCCTCCACCAGCACCAGGCAAAGGGAGCTGCCCTTCCTTTCCTTGGGCTCTCTCCATTTATTAAATCATTACAACATATAAATTACAATTTTTATAAATTATTAAATTATTAAAACACCCCATTTTCCCCCATCCAGGGGTTTCCAGGCCCTCCCAGCTCCCTGTGGGAGGAGCTGGGGCAGGTGCTGGGATGAGTTTTTGGGTGGAGTTACCCAAAAAAAGGCACAGCCTGGGAGAAGAGGCAGCTTTAATCACCACGGGAAATGTGATTTTCATTGCTCCTGAGCAAACCCAGCAGAGTTTCACACCTGCTTTGAACCCGATGATGTCTCTGAATTTTGGGGGCACCCATGGGAATTTCCAGAGCCCTCTCTGTCCCCTGCAGGGGCCTGAGGGGATTTTTGGGGCTGTGGGTTTGTGCATCAGGATACAAGTGGGTGGAATACAGAATTCCCAGGATTCCCACGGGAACACCAGGAATGTGGAAGGGAGGCTGGGAGACTGAAAGGTTTGGGATGAGGGTTAAATAACAAACAAACAGTGGGGAGTTGGATGTGCTCAGCTCCTGAGCCAAGCTGTGATTGCCTTTCCCAAATCCTTATGTAGGGGACTGATTTTATTTTATTTTATTTTATTTTATTTTATTTTATTTTATTTTATTTTATTTTATTTTATTTTATTTTATTTTATTTTATTTTATTTTATTTTATTTTATTTTATTTTATTTTATTTTATTTTATCTTATTTTATCTTATTTTATTTTAATTTGTATTTTATTTTATTTTATTTTATTTTGTATTTTATTTTAGTTTGTATTTTATTTTATTTTGTATTATTTTATTTTATTTTGTATTATTTTGTTTTATATTTTTTTTTTAATATTATATCATTTTATTTTACTTTATTTTAACCACCCCAGCCTGCTGGAGATGCTGGGAGCAGCTCAGCTCCAAGCTGCTGATCCTTTTCAAAGTGGAAACAGCAGAGGAAGATGATGGGAAGGGGTTTTTAAGGGACATGGATGAAAAGAGTTAACAACAAAAATGGAAACAGCAGCTTGGTTATAAAATGGCCAAATCCCACATTTCCAGCCCGGTTTTTGTGTGGATTCTGACAAGGCACGAGCTGAAATGATTCATTTTGAGCTCTTGCATTTGTTTGGAGTGGAAATGTCTCAATCCAGCTCTGGCACTCAGAGCTGACAGCGGAGCTGTGCCGATGTTTTTGAGGCAAAATGGGTTTGCTTTGGGAAAATGAAGCAGCTCAGCACAATCCAAACAAAGCGCTTGGATCGCTCCCAGCCAAAATCTTTCACTCGGCCAGCACAATTTTTTGCCTTTTCATCCCGATTTTGGAACAAACCCCCATATTTTAGAGTTCAGTTGTCCCCCAGATGGGAAATTTCATTGCCCAGCCCGCTGCAAGGGGCTGGAAATGAGGGAAATGTTCCTTGGAGAGGAGAGGTTTGTCAGGAAGGTGCTTCCCAAGGGAAGCGTGGGACACTCCTCCAGAGGAGCCGGGGACACAATGGCAGGGAAGGATCCCGGATTCCTGGGGGAACAGGCAGAAATAGCAGCAGGAGGGAAGGAAGGAGCTGGAATATCCCCAGGCTGAGCTTGTGGAGTTTTTGAGGGTGGGTAAAAGCTGCCAGGTGAGGGAGGGAGCAGCTCTGGAATTTGGGAATTTTTGGGTGTTGGGAATTGGGGGTTCTGCTTGGCCAGGTGACAGAGGGAGCAGTTCTGGGAATTTGGGACGTTTTGGGTGCTGGGAACTGGGGGTTCTGCTTGGCCCTTGGCTCCTGGTGGGGAATGCTCTAGTGCTCCTTTTTCCCTTGGGAAAAGAAAATCTTCCTGCCAAAAAAAAAAAAAACAAAAAAAAAAAAAAAAACCAAAAAAAGCAGCAAAAATAGCCAGGGAAGGAATTCTGGGAGTAAATGGTACCAAAATCTGGCTGTCCAGGAGGGATGGGCAGGGATGGGATGGGGTGGCCACAGCCATGGGTGGGACCTTCTAAAAGTGTCCCAGCCTGGTTAAAGCCATAAGGACCTGCTGGATTTAAAGGTGAGGGTGTGGAGAGCAGGGAAAACCCCACAGTTGGACTGGGAATTGAGGAATCCCAAACTGGGGGCCTGGGATAAATCCAGAGTGGGACTGGGAACTGGGGAATCCCAAACTGGGGGCCAGGGATAAATCCAGAGTGGGACTGGGAATTGGGGAATCCCAAATTGGGGGCCAGGGATACACCCAGAGTGGGACTGGGAATTGGGGAATCCCAAACTGGGGCCTCGTCCTCGAGGCTGGGAGTGCCCAGGGCCATTATCTGCGCAGCCAGGCCCTCTGAGGGGGGGCAATATTTTTGCTAAATCTGCAATTCAGAAGCATGAAATCTGGTCCTGACCTCCGGAAGGATCAGAACTATCAAGCAAATGCATTTTTCTTCCATGGGACCGAACTCACTGTTCCTATTCCCATTGTTCCCAGAACAATGCAAACCTCATAAATGAATTCAGGCGCGAGGGGCGGGCTGTGAGGGAGGAGGGGGGGGGGAATTCTCCATACATTTAAATCATGCCACGAGCCAACAAAAGGCAGGAAATTTGGAGCTGGAGCTCACACTTGCTCCCAGACATGTAGAAAACAAGGGAATGAGCTGTCACTTAGGATTTCCTGGCTTTCTCCCCCAGTTGGTTGCAGTGTAAACAGTGCTGGGCTGTGCTGGGAGGAGATGGGAGAGCTTCGCTCCCTCGCTCCCCTCTGTTTCCTCACCAAAAAAAAAAAAAAAAAAAAAAAAAAAAAAAAAAAAGAAAAGGAAAAAAAAAAAAGAGCCATTCCCTCTGGAATTGGACGCACCACGGAGTCGTGGGTGTGTGCTGGGAGCGGGCTCATCCCATGGGATCACCGTGCCAGGCTCCTGCTGCCCCATGGGGGTGGCACTGTGTGGCAAGCACATTTCTCTCTCTCCCTCTCAGGATTTTTCATAGACATGCACAGAGAGAAATGAAAGAGAAAACAATTTCTATTTCTGCTCCTTGTTTTTCCCACATAGAATGTGTTTGGAGAATTGTTTACCTGGTGTGGTTGCTTGGTTGGATTCTGGTGGGGATTGTTTGAGCCTGGTGGCCAATCCAATCCAATCCAACCCAATCCAATCCAATCCAATCCAATCCAATCCAACCCAATCCAACCCAATCCAACCCAATCCAATCCAACCCAACCAATCCAATCCAACCCAACCAATCCAATCCAACCCAACCCAATCCAACCCACCTGGGGCTGGGCTCTCAGAGAGGGTCACGAGTTGTGTTAGAGTCAGAGAAAGTAGGTTTGTAGTTTTAGTATCCTCCTTTTATATAGTATATTGATGTATTTTAGCACAGTTCTAATAAAGAAATCATTCAGCCTTCTGAATTGAGTCAGACATCAGCATTTCTGCCCATTGGGTTCTCCTGCATTTGCAATAGGACTGTGGGAATTGTGGTGGGACCGTGGAGCGCTGGAGCATCCCTGGATGCACAGAGGAACCTCAGAGCTGTGGCTGGGCCCTCCCTGCTGCGCTCAGGCAGTGCCAAGGGGCTGCTGGAGGTCACTGGGCTGTCGCTGTTGGCCTGGGAACCACGGGCTGCTCTCTCAGGAGGTGCTGAGCAACCCCTGCTAATGGCTGGGGATGGGGCTGGCAGCAGCTCCCGCTTCCCTGCTGCAGAACTCCAGCTGCTCCGGGGTTCCACTCTTGGGCAGCAGCAGCACACGAGGGTTGGACACCAGAACGTTTGGGGTTTGTAGGGCTGGCACTTTGGGAGCTTTGTCCCGGGCTCCCTGTGCCCATTTCCAGGTCAATGCTGGAACCTGAGCCTGGCTGGGGATGCCCCAGCAGATCAGGAGACTTTTCTCAGTGTTTTCTCCCTCTTTTCCCCTCTCTCCAATCCCACCCAGCCTCCATCCCTCCCTCAGCATCTCCTTGTTCCATCCCCATCTCTCTTTGCTCTCGAAATTCCCTTCAGACACCTCCCCCTGTGGGATCTGAGCCCAGCACCTCAAAACGCTGTTGCTGGGGGAGCTGGGCTGTGCTTTTGGGGTGGTTTTGGGGTGTTCAGGTTCTCACCCACCCCTCTGTCCCCTCCCCAGCTGCCCATGCCCATCGCTGTGTTCTTCCTGCTCTACAAGGAAAGGTTTTGGGGTGGTTTTGGGGTGTTCAGGTGCTCACCCACCCCTCTGTCCCCTCCCCAGCTGCCCGTGCCCATCGCTGTGTTCTTCCTGCTCTACAAGGAAAGGTTTTGGGGTGGTTTTGGGGTGTTCAGGTGCTCACCCACCCCTCTGTCCCCACCCCAGCTGCCCGTGCCCATCGCTGTGTTCTTCCTGCTCTCCAAGGAGCAGATTTTGGGGTAGTTTTGGGGTGTTCAGGTGCTCACCCACCCCTCTGTCCCCTCCCCAGCTGCCCGTGCCCATCGCTGTGTTCTTCCTGCTCTCCAAGGAGCAGATTTTGGGATGTTCAGGTGCTCACCCACCCCTCTGTCCCCTCCCCAGCTGCCCGTGCCCATCGCTGTGTTCTTCCTGCTCTACCAGGAGCAGATTTTGGGATGTTCAGGTGCTCACCCACCCCTCTGTCCCCTCCCCAGCTGCCCGTGCCCATCGCTGTGTTCTTCCTGCTCTACAAGGAGCGGATGGTGCCCTGCTTCAACGGCAGCAGCCACCCGCTGCTGTCAGCTGACGAGCTGGCCCTGGAGACACGGCCTGGGGACAAGGACGAGCTCTCCACCGCTGGCCCGAGACCCCACCCAGCTGCAGGTGAGCTGGAATTGCCTCTCCTGTGGGTTTTGGGGAGAAAAATCCGTATGTGAGCGCGTCTGGGTGTACAGGAGATCCAGCGCTGCTGTCCAAAGAGGAAACAAAGTGTGCCAAGTGTGCACGGGGATCTCATCCAGGAATAACCAAACAACCCACTTGGTGGCCAATTGCCCTCAGATTAGATGGAATCTTGATCAGAGGTTTGTATCAGTCGATTTCTCAGGTTCTGAAGGTCGGGGTGACCCTGAGATCAGGAAGAGTCTTTGCCTCCCAGCCCCGCAGCCAAAGGAGGAGCCTGGAACGCTCCGATTGCACTTTCAAGGTTGTTTATTTCTCTTTATCTGTAACATTCTTTCTCTGACCTGCCGAGCTCTGCCTGGCAAGGAGGCCGTGCCATTCTGCCCCGAGCCTCGGGCAGCTCCCATCTTATAGACTCAAAACTACGTGTCTGTGTTTGCAATTTATTATCTATTCCCATCACCTGTGTTAGACAGAGAATCTCTACCTTAAACCAATAGAAAAGTGTCACCACCACAGCAAGACATGGAGGACAAGATGAAGGAGAAGAAGGCCAGGACACGCCCAAATCCCTCCATCTTGACCCCCTGAATTATATTCTAAAAACCCCAAAATTCTACTTTTCCACCTTGTGTTAACTCAACTACCACACCACTCAAACCCTTGTGGTCTGTAATTCCTCATACAGAGTTGGCAGCTTTTTCCACGGGCTAAAATCAAAGCCACGGCTGTTTTTGACTTCCTGCCGGGGTCTGGAGGCAGCCAGGGCAGCCAGAGGGTGTCCTGGACTCTGACAGGTATCCCAATCCCAATGAGGCCTCCAGGTTTTGTTTCTCTATTCCATGTTCCTCCAACCCTGGGCCCTCCAACCCTTTAGGGACACGTGGCAGTTGTGCCCCTTCATCCCCTCCTGGTTTTGGGTCACATTTCTTACTGATTATTCAGTTTAAAAGTGATCATTGTGCTGCAGACGCTGATTTTTATAGGAAAGAAATAAGAAATAACAAATTCCCCTTCCTTGTTTGAGGGGAAAAGTGAAATCCAGCATTAGTTTGCGCTTGACCTCATGGCTGCACCCTGTCTTGGGGACAATGGTGACATTGTTCTTTCTTAGCCAGGAGAGACGTGTCACAGTCAATTCTTTGGGCAAACAGTGAATCTCAGAAGTAAATAAAGTTCAGGACTATGGGGAGTGTTCCGTGTTATTCCTGGAAAGATGGCTTTGCCCCTGGGCGATGAAAGGGGATTTCAGGGAATTCTTCAAGCTCAGGGGTGATGCCAAGTTCCGTGTGTGTTCCCCTTCCCCAGAGGTGCCTTGTTGGGTGCAGGATCCCTTACCCAAGGAATGGGAGCTCTCCTGGGGCCCTGGGAGCATCCCCAGGGATGTGGGGGTTTGGGCCATGAGTGCCCTGGTTGTGTTTTTATTGCCTGTGAGAGCGGAGCCAGACGTGGGGAGCCCCAAAATGGGAAAAGGAGCACGAGCAGCTGCAGTAAGAGAATTGGCAGGAGAGCCCAGGGTTTTGGGGTGTGGAGAGACCAGGATTTTGAGATGTGGAGGGCCAGGATTTTTGGGTTGTGGAGAGCCCAGGATCCCAGGGAGTGTGGAGAGCCAGGATTTTGGGGTGTGGAGAGCCCAAGTTTTGGGTTGAGGAGAACCAGGATTTTGGGGTGTGGAGAGCCAGTGTTTGGGGTGAGGAGAGCCAGGGTTTTGGGGTGAGGAAAGACCAGGGTTTTGGGGTGTGGAGAGCCCAGGATCCCTGGGGGTGTGGAGAACCCAGGATTTTGGGGTGTGGAGAGCCAGTGTTTGGGGTGTGGAGAGCCCAGGGTTTGGGGTGAGGAGAGCCCAGGGTTTGGGGTGTGGAGAGCCCAGGATTTTGGGGTGTGAAGTGCCCAGGATTTTGAGGAGAGGGGAGCCCAGCGTTTGGGGTGTGGAGAGCCAGAGTTTTGGGGTGAGGAGAGCCAGGATTTTGGGGTGTGGAGAGCCCAGGGTTTTGTGGTGAGGAGAGCCCAGGATCCCTGGGGGTGTGGGCAGCAGGTACCCCAAAGGACCAGGATGCGAGGCTGTGAGGATCCAGGATCCCAGGCGGGGGGCAGACCCCACAGCCATTCCCATTTCCTTCTGGAAGCCCAGAGGAAGGTGAAGGTGAAGGTGGAGCCCCCCAAGCTCAGCAGTGCCCCACGTTTGGGGTCCTGCTTGGGTCTGTCCTGCAGCTGTCCCCCAAACCAAACCCCACTGAGGGCTGGCAGCCACCCAGCCCCGGGGGGACGCTCTGGTCAGGTTTGCTTTGCATTGTTCTCCACCAGGTCATGAGGATTTGTTCAGCTGCTGCCAAAGCAAGAACTTCCGAGGGGTTTCCTTCACCTACTTCGCCGTGCACATCACCGGGGCTCTGGTTCTCTTCATGACTGACGGGATCGTGGTGAGTTCAGTTGCCCAAATTTATGGATTTTTCCCATCCAAATCCCTGTGACACCCCCAGGGGCTCCTCAGTGTGGCAGGCACATTCTTCTCACTCTCTCTGGATTTTTCACAGAAGAGCACAGAGAGAAGAAAGAGAAAACAATTTCTATTTCTGCTCCTTGTTTTTCCCCATGTGGAATGTGTTTGGAGAATTGTTTACCTGGGGTGATTGCTTGGTTGAATTCTGGTGAGGATTGTTTGAGCCTGGTGGCCAATCCAACCCGCCTGGGGCTGGACTCTCCAGAGAGGGTTAGTTGTTAGTTATAGTAGTTAGAAAAAGTAGGTTTGTAGTTTTAATATCTCCTTTAAATAGTATATTAATGTATTATAGTATAGTTATAATAAAGAAATCATTCAGCCTTCTGAACTGGGCTCAGACATCGTCATTTCTGCCCACCAGCTCACCTGCATTTCCAGTACCTCAGGGGTTAATGGTGAGAAGGTTAGACAAGCATGGGAATTTCCCAAGCCCTCCCTCTCCAAGGATAAGCAACCCTGAGCTCCAAATGTGACGTTTGGAGAGTGTGGAACCCCCAGAGGGCCGGGCAGCCCCTCGGGGAGGGAGATTCTCTGCAGCCTGGGCTTTTCCTTGGAGCAGCTGTGGAGCTTTGCCCTTTTAGGACAGCCCAAACCCCACATTCTGCTGCTGGTGGGTCTGCAAACCCTTCCACCACACAGCTGAGGGACGGAGGAGGCCGAGGTGCCCACGGGGGTGTGACAGGGAGGTTTTTCCTGCAGGGAGAATACTCAGGCTTCGTGTACAGCTACGCCGTGGAGGAGCCGCTGGCCGTGGTGCACAAGGTGGCCGGGTACCTGCCCAGCCTCTTCTGGGGCTTCATCACCCTGGGCAGGCTCATCTCCATCCCCGTGTCCTACAGGATGAAGCCAGCCACCATGGTCTTCATCAACGTGGTAAGGATGGGGCTAATTCCTCTAATGCCTCTCGGCAGGTGGGTTTGGAGCCCCAGCTCCTCTCACACCTGGGGTGTTTGCACAGGTAGGGTGGGCAAGGTGCCCTCCAGGTAGGGTGGGCAAGGTGCCCTCCAGGCAGCCACGATTTAAAATGTGATTTCCCGGCTTTCCTGAGCCTGCTCCTCAGCTGGGACAGCAGCAGGGAGAGCTGGCACTAAAAAAGTGCCCATTTTATTGACCTGGCACGGTGACTCCTTCGTCCACGGGGAAGGGAAGGCAGGTCACACTGTAAATTCTCTGCTTGGGCTGCAGCAAAGCTTGCTGAAGTCAATAAAACGCCTTGGGAGAGGAGCAGGAATTCTTTTGGGATGTGTAAGGAAGATCTGTGTGAGGACATGGCAGAAAACGGGAAAGGGATGATCCCAATCCCACTTCTCACAAAGAGAAAAAGCATGAGCAGGAAGTTAACTTCTAATTTATTTAAACCAGAAGTGATTTGGTGGCTGTATTTTGATAATAGAGCACATTACAGTGTGGAAATAAGATTTTGGGGTCTTCTGAGTAAAAATCCACCTGGCTGACACCGACCCTGTGCAGTGCTGGGAGCTGTTGTAGGATCCAGCAGCTCCTGGAGTCGTTGCAGCATCATCATAACAAATTCCAGCTCGAATTTGGCTTCTTTAGGATCCAAATTTCTCCTGAGCTGGGATATCAGAGCTCCCTCTGCTGACTCTGCCCTGGATCACTCGAGCTTTTCTCAGAGTTTTTGGTTATTTCCCCTACAAGCCAGAGGGGAGGGAAAGTTGATTTAAATGCAGTTGTCTCTTTGGCTTTAATGCTGTGGCTGCTTTTTCAGCACTTATTGCGAGTTAATTCTGTAATTATTGAGAGTGACTTCAGTGTTACTCAGCACAATAAAGAATTATTGGTGATTAAGACATGCAAATATTGTGGAAGGTACTAGTGTATTTAAAAGTATATTTTTCAGATAAAACCTTAAGTTTCTACACAATGAAATTGAGACTCAATTACATAATTGTATAATGAAAATTATATAATGAAAATCAGCAAATTCTTTAAAGCCAGATGGATTTTCTTTGGCCATTCAATTTCTCAAACACTGATTTTTTTTTCCCCCCCCAGCACATTTTCTCTTCCAGACTATTTCCCACTAAAAATAAACGTTTTTTCCTCTTCCAGAATATTTCCTATTAAAACCAAACTCCAGAATATTTCCTATTAAAACCAAACTCTAGAACCCTGTCACACTCAGCATTTTTCTGACTGATTTTTTTTTTTTGTGGGTGCTGCTCACAGGTCGGGGTCCTCATCACTTTCCTGCTGCTCCTGATTTTCTCCTCCAGCGTGGTTTTCCTGTTTGTGGGCACAGCATCCCTGGGGCTGTTCCTCAGCAGCGCCTTCCCCAGCATGCTGGCCTACACCGAGGACATCCTGCAGTACCGAGGTGAGCTGCCCTTGTGTTGGAGCCCCACCTGGCTCAGGGGCCCCGTGGGGTGGAAAAACTTCTCCTCCAGCCCATGCTGCCAAAGAAAGGCTCAGCAGTCTCTGCTGTTCGGTCTCAAGGCAGTTTATTGCAAGTTATCTAAAAGATTTTCTTCTGGAGCTGCTGTGGTTTGCTCACAGCTCAGGCAGAGGCACACACACACCCTGACATCCTCTCTGACTCCCGACTGCTTCTTCTCTCCCCTCTGCCCAGGGCTGTGCTGTCTTTTATATGGTACATTACGTGTTACATGTTACAGTTTTCCCCCAATGCCTATTACCTATATTAAATGGTGCTTTTCTATCTTTTATATGGTACATTACGTGTTACATGGGTACAGTTTTCCCCAATGCCCATTACCTATATTAAATGGTGCTTTTCTATCTTTTATATGGTACATTATGTGTTACATGGGTACAGTTTTTCCCCAATGCCTATTACCTATATTAAATGGTGCTTTTCTACTCTAAACCAATCTGGGAGTGCCAACATCACCGAGAACATGGAGGGAAGGAAGGAGAAAGAGGGAGGACAGGGCAGGCCCAAATCCCTCCATCTTAAACCTCTGACCCCCATGTACAAAACTAAACCCCCCTGTACAGGACTTAAAAATTCTTCCTTCTACTTTGTGACTACTTCTACTCTAATATCTAAACTTTTGTGACTTCTTGTTCCACCTGCAAGGTTGGTAAATCATTCCATGGCTCAAACCCAAAATCACAGCTGTTTCCAGCTGCCTGCCAGGGTCTCAAATGCTTCTGACCTGGGCCTGGAACATCCAAAAATGTCTGAGGGACATTTTGAGTTCCAACATCCTTTAACCAGCTGCATTTTTAGATCCCATCCTCATTTTCAGCTCCTTCCCTCCTCCCTCAAGAGGCCTGGAAGTTCAGCTTTGCTTTTCCAGCAGATTTGTTGCAGGGGAGTGTGCAATTCTCTGTTTCGCTGATGAATAAAATAAATAAAATAAATAATAAAGAGCCCAGGCAGGGATCCAGCCTTGGCTCCTGGTTTGGGGAGCTCAGGGAGTGGCAGGAGCTGCTTTGGGGGGAGATAATTCTGAAAACATCACCAGAGCCTGGCCAGTCCCCCAGGAGCTCCCTGCCAGCCTCTGCCTTGAGGGCAGCGAGGCAGAAAAACAAAAACCTTTACAGCAAGAGGCACCTTCAGCTCAGCCAGCACAGAAGGTGACAGCAGATTGAATTTTATTTTTTACTTCAATTTTTGAAATTTTTTTACTTCAATTTTTGAAATTTTTTCACTTCAATTTTTGAATTTTTTTACTTCAATTTTTGAATTTTTTTACTTCAATTTTTGAGATTTTTTTACTTCAATTTTTGAATTTTTTTACTTCAATTTTTGAAATTTTTTTACTTCAAATTTTGAAATTTTTCACTTCAAATTTTGAATTTTTTTACTTCAAATTTTGAATTTTTTTACGTCAAATTTTGAAATTTTTGTACTTCAATTTTTGAATTTTTGTACTTCAATTTTTGAATTTTTTTACTTCAATTTTTGAAATTTTTTTACTTCAATTTTTGAATTTTTTACCTTACTTTTTTACTTTTACTTTTTTTTTACTTTTTTGCTTTCACCTTTCTGCAGAGGGATTTTCAGCATTAAGTGGGAACATACATTGAGCCTTGGTGACTTTTGTGTGGTGAGATCCACGGAAAAGCTTTAAAAGGAGCACAGGGTGGCCCTGCTGGCTGTGCCACCCCTTGCCCCGTTTCCTTGCAGGTTGTGCCACCACCGTGCTGGTGACTGGGGCTGGCATTGGAGAGATGGTGCTGCAGCTGCTGGTGGGCTCGGTGAGTAGCCAGGAGGTGGCAAAACCCAAAATAAATTTGGAATTTAAAAAACAACCTCAGCTCTGCTTCTGGGCGCTGCCTGAGCCTCGCCCAGCAAAGATGATCCACCAGGAATCTGAGTGATGTCTGATCACTATTTTTATTTCCCAGATTTTTATTTCCCTGTTTTTATTTCTGCAGATTATCCACGATCGGGGCAGCTACAGTTTCCTGGTCTGTGGGATGATCTTTGGATGCTTGGCCTTCACCTTCTACGCCCTGCTGGTGTTTTTCCACAGGATGTACCCCAAGCCCTGCCCAGGTAAGGCAGCCCCAGCCCCGAGCCCTGCTTTGGGATGGGAGCAAGAGCAGCACCAGCCTGACTCCAGAGATTCCAGCAAAATGCAAGGAAATGTTTATTTTGCTGCTGCTTCCTCTCTCTTTTTCCTGCTTTGTCTTGCCCACAAAGCCTTGGCAGCCACAGCTCAGGGTTTGCTTTCTTTTCTGCTGGGGAAGGCAGGGGAAAAAAAAAAAGCAGGAATCACAGACAGCACCAGCTTCCCTGGGCTGTTCCCTGGCTGAAATCCAGGGAATAAGCAGGGCTGCCATCCAAGGGCAGCTGTCAGGCTCGGGAAAAGCCTCACTGATAAAGGATTTTTGAGTGATCACCTCAGCCTGGAGCTGCTGGTTGTTTTTATAGAAAAGGAGCAGAGCTGGGCAGGCAAAAAACGCGTCCAGGTGTGGCCGGGGCTGGGCTGGGCACAGGTGGGGTCACACCTGGAGGGCTGAGCCCAGTCCTGGGCCCCCAGTTTGGGGGATTGGGGAAGGAACGGAGCTGGGAAAGGGACTGGAGAGTCCTGAGGGAGCTGGGAAAGGGACTGGAGAGTCCTGAGGGAGATGGGAAAATGGAGAGCCCTGAGGGAGATGGGAAAAGGACTGGAGAGTCCTGAGGAATTGGGAAGGGTTTGGAGAATTCTGAGGGAGATGGGAAAGGGTTGGGAAGAGTCCTGAGGAAGCTGGGGAGGGTTTGAAGAGCCCTGAGGAACTGGGAGAATGTTTGGAGAGTCCTGAGGGAGAAGGGAAAGGGTTGGGAGAATCCCAAGGAACTGAGAAAATGTTTAGAGAATACTGAGGGCACTGAGGAAGCTTTTGGAGAATCCTGAGGGAGTTGGGAAGGGTTTGGAGAGCCCTGAGGGAGATGAGAAAGGGTTTGGAGAATCCTGAGGAACTGGGAAAATATATAGGGAATCCTGAGGGAGCTGGGAATGGTTTGGAAAATCCTGCGGGGGCTAGGAAGGGTTTGGAGAGTCCTGAGGGAGCTGGGAAAATGTTTGGAAAATCCGGAGGGAGCTGGGAAGGATCTGGAGTCCAGAGGGAGGTGGAAAAGGGTCTGGAGAATCCTGAGGGAGATGGGAAAGGGTTGGGAGAATCCTGAGGAATTGGGAAAATGTTTGGAGAGCTGGGAAGGGTTTGGAGAGCCCTGAGGGAGCTGGGAATGGTTTGGAATATTCTGAGGGATCTGGGAATGGTTTGGAGAGCCCTGAGGGGGCTGGGAATGGTTTGGAATATTCTGAGGGAGCTGGGAAGGGTTTGGAGAGCCCTGAGGGAGCTGGGAAGGGTTTGGAGAATCCTGAGGGAGCTGGGAAGGGTTTGGAAAGACCTGAGGGAGATGGGAAGGGTCTGGAGAATCCTGAGGGAGCTGGGAAGGGGCTCAGCCTGGAGCAAAGGAGGCTCAGGGGGAATTTCTGGCACAGCCGGGGGGAATTTGGGATCTCATCCCAGGGAACAGGGACAGGAGGAGAGGGAACGGCCTCAGGCTGTGCTGGGGAGGCTCAGGAATCAGGAACCAGCAGGAATTTCCTCACGGAAAGGTTGTTACACATTGGAGGTGCCCTGCAAGGTGGAGGCCCCATCCCCGGCGGTGCCCAGGGAAGGCCTGGACGTGGTGGGGATGTGATGGAATCACAACATTCCTGAGGGGGAAAACCTCACACCCACCCCCTTTAATTTCAATAAAAGTGTAATAAAATGTCAATAAAACGGAGGTGAAACACTGAATGAATGTTTTGCAGAGCTGGACGAGGCCTCCCCTGAGAAAGCAGCAGCGCCCGAGGACACGGGGCAGTACCAGCGCTGAGGGCGGCGCAGCTCCGCACAAGCAATAATCCGAATTAAACATCCTCCCCAGGCTGATTCCGCATTTAATGAACTGAATCACACGAGTTCTCTGCAATCAAAAGCACAGCGGGTGGGGTAAGGCAGAATCGAGGAAATCGAGCCCAAAATGTCGAGCTGAGCTCGGGGGTTGTGCCAAAAATCCTGCGAGTGCCAGCCTGATCCTGGGACTAAAAGCAGGGCTGTTTGCACAGCAGTTCCTCCTGCAAATCGACTTTTTTTTCCTGAAAATAAACTTTTTTTTCTCCAGAAAATAAAACTTTTTTTCTCCTGAAAATAAACTTTTTTTTTCTCCTGAAAATAAACTTTTTTTCCTTCTGCAAATGGAACATTTTTCTCCTGAAAATGAACAGTTTTTTCCTCCTGCAAATGAACTTTTTTCTTCCTGCAAATGAACTTTTTTCTTCCTGCAAATGGAACTTTTTTCTTCCTGAAAATGAACACTTTTTTTCTCCTGCAAATGAACTTTTTTCCTCCTGCAAATGAAATTTTTTTCTCCTGCAAACTGAACTTTTTTCCTCCTGCAAATGGAACATTTTTCTCCTGAAAATGAACAGTTTTTTCCTCCTGCAAATGAACTTTTTTCTTCCTGCAAATGAAATTATTTTCTCCTGAATATGAACTTTTCTCCTGCAAATGGAACATTTTTCCTCCTGCAAACTGAACTTTTTTCCTCCTACAAATGGAACTTTTTTCCTCCTACAAATGGAACTTTTTTCCTCCTGAAAATGAAACTTTTTTTACCTGCTCAGGACAGAGGGTGGGAAGGAAAAGCTGCTCTCTGCTCCTCATCCAAGACTGAATGTCTCCCGGCTCGGTCACTTTTTATTTCTGGCCTCTGGTGCACAGGAACCCCCTGGAATTTGCAGCACAATCCTGGGTTTTAATTTATTTTTGTGACTAATTCTGTGTCACCTCCCCTGGTCCTTCCAAAGGGGGGGTCCCCCCGTGGCAGAGCCCCCCGGTGCACACAGGCAGCAGGGCCTGTCGCTCTTTGCACACTTAATTCCTGTATATTCCACACTCTAACCAGTGTCTTACTCAGCATGCTCAGGCCTCTGAAATTATTTTAATTAATTATTTGCTTTTTTGATTTTTTTTTAATAATTTTTGGCGGGGTGGGGGGAGGGTTTATCTTTGGGTTTTTTTTAAGTCAAGAATGAGCTCTGCTGGTTCATTTTGCTTTAAGTCACTCCTCGAGCTGCTCCAGCTGCAGTGTCTTATTTTAATGTTGGTTTTATTTCCAACTTCTGAGAGAGAAGGGATTTTTTGGATTTTTTTTTTGTGGTTTTTTTTTTTGGGAGCCAGGCTCCAGCTGCTTCACCCGTGCAATCTCCTCATCCAGGTGCCTTGTGTAAGGTACTCCCACAGCCCACGCATGGCCTGTCCCAGCCACCAGGAAAGGACTGGAATTTTTGGGGAATGCCAAGCTCCTCCTGCCAGGAGTGGCTGTGGATGCGACTCCTTGCTTGAACTGCTGTATGTGATGTACATATGTACGTGTGTATATAGAGCAGTGTTTAATTAAAGGTGATTGATTGCTAATTGCTGGCTGACTGCGCTCATTCCAACACCTCCAGTTCCCAGGTTTTAAATTCATAAAATGAAAATCTAACAGGGTTTTTTGGGGTTTTTTTTTTTTTTTTTTTTTTTTTTTAATTAAACTGGTTTTGGCATTTGAAGAGTTGTGGAATGGTTTGGGTTGGGAGGGACCTTAAATCCCACACAGCCTGAATGGGATCTCTGCTAGGGTTGGAATCAAATCCCAGGATCTGCTCTGGGCTTGGAATCAAATCCAAAGATCTGCTCTGGGGCTCGAAACAAATCCCAGGATCTGCTCTGGGCTTGGAATCTCTGCTAGGGCTGGAATCAAATCCCAGGATCTGCTCTGGGGCTGGAATCAAATCCCAGGATCTGCTCTGGGCTTGGAATCTCTGCTAGGGCTGGAATCAAATCCCAGGATCTGCTCTGGGGCTGGAATCAAATCCCAGGATCTGCTCTGGGGTTGGAATCAAATCCCAGGATCTGCTCTGGGGCTCAAAACAAATCCCAAGATCTGCTCTGGGGCTCGAAACAAATCCCAGGATCTGCTCTGGGGTTGGAATCAAATCCCAGGATCTGTTCTGGGGCTGGAATCAAATCCCGGGATCTGCTCTGGGGCTGGAATCAAATCCCAGGATCTGCTCTGGGGCTGGAATCAAATCCCAGGATCTGCTCTGGGGTTGGAATCTCTGCTAGGGTTGAAATCAAATCCCAGAAGGGTTTGGGAAGGCAAAAAACCTCCTCAGTCCATGTCCCACTGTCCCAGGTTCCTCCAGCCTGGCCTTGGACACTTCCAGGGATGGGGCAGCCATGGATTCTCTGGGGAATTTCCTTTTTTCCAAGCAGCAGCTCTTCCCTGCCATTCAGTATCTCCAAAATTCCCGTGGGACAGAGCCTGGAGCTGTTGAATTGTCATTTTCGTCCCTCAAGGTGAGTTTTGATCGTGTTTAGCTCATCCCTGGACTTCAGGGACACCCTCCTACCTCAAAGCCCACAGCTGGAATCTCTTCTGTGATCCTGTACTGAAACTAAACCTAATTCCAGGCCAGGCTGGAGCACCCTGGCATGGGGGGTGTCCCTGCCCATGGAATGAGGAGGTTTTGAAGCTGCTGCCACCCCAAACCCTTCTGAGATTTAATTCCAGCTGATTTAAATCCCTCCAACCCCATTCAGGCTGTAATTCTTCCCCAGCTCCACAGGATGCCAGTGTTCATCTCCTGGACCTGCCCAGAATAAATCACCCGGAATAAAACACCCCCAGACAGCAAAATCCCATTTACAGCAAAATAAACCCTCAGTCTGTCCTCCCCTGAGCCCCTCCCAGCACGAAATGAGCACCAAAATTTGGGAAGGAATGGCCCCAGTGTGTGGCACAGCAGGGCTTTGAAATCATCTCTCATTCTGGCCTGGCAGATTTGGTAAAATTAAAACCCTGCTCAATCTCTCCTCAGTTAAAATCCACCATCACATTTATTTGTCTTGGTAAATCCAATCTGCATTTTGGCTACTTAGAGAGAATAAAAATCCTATTTTAAGGAGATTTTCACCAGAATAGCACCTGATTTAGCTAAACACTTTAAAATACATTTTACCTCAATGTCTGATGAACTCCCTGCTTATCACATCCTCTGCAGCTGTGACTTTCTATTTTCTCTACTGAAAGTAAAAAAAAACCCAAAAAACAACTCAGTCAAATGAGCAGAAACTTTGTTAAAAATATTTATTTAAAAAAATACAATTGTTTTGCATGTCTGGTTGCACATAACTATTAACATATGATTGACTTGAATTTGCTACAATGCTTTTTTTAAAGCCAGCTTGCATTATACAAAGCAAAATCCCTCTGTCAGTTCTTACATAAAATAGTTTTCTTTAACTATTCCCACCCCATTAAAAAAAAAAAAAAGATTGCAATACATAGATTTTTTTATTTTTGTTTTGTTGGTTTTTTTTTTTTTTGCACAAAAATCGAAGCAATAGAAAAAAGTCACCTGATTTCTCAGGAAAGACCTTCATGATGTTTGAATAACAATTCCCAAAGAGTCACTTTGAAGTGTCAGGACAGTGCAAAGGAAATTTTGCATCTTTTTGCCTCCTGTTTGTATTCAAACCTGAAATGTGCTCAAACAACTCCATCCCTGCCCTAATCCAGTTGCTCATACTTTGAATTTTCAGGAGGATTTACACGCTGAAGGTCTTCCTAAATGTTATCTCAGAAGGTTAAATAAAAGCAAAATTTAGTAACACTGAACAATTACTGAAAACTTTGGCTATTTATGTACTTGCATTACATACCAGCATTTTTTTTTTTTTAAACACAATGGCATTAATACTCTAATAAGGTATTTAAAAATAAAAAAAGTTAGACTGAGAAGCAATTCTGTCCCAGGCAGGGTCACCTAGCTGGAAACGAGGGGTGATTTTTACAGTTGTCTTGTCCAGAAAAGTCTCCAGTGCAGGAAGTTTCAGACACTCACTACAACGTTATTTTGCCTCTTGAATTTGTACTTTATATATATATATATATTTATATATATATATGTTTATAGAGAAAAAAAATGCAACTCTGTTCTGGAAAGAGCCACTGGAAATGTTCCCCTTTCTGCTCCTTTCAGGGGATTTTGCCTCATGAATTTTTACTTTATATATATATATTTATATATATATTTATAGAGGAAAAAAAAATGCAACTCTGTTCTGGAAAGAGCCACTGGAATTGTTCCCCTTTCTGCTCCTTTCAGGGGATTTTTTCCCCCCTGATTGTTCTGAAAAATCTCAGCAAGGTCAAACTGGGGAAGGTAAAAAAAATCCAGCCCAGAGTTCCAGAGCTCGGGATCTGCTCCCAGCTCCCAAAAAACTGCCTGAAAATTCCAGCAGGGATCCCACCCCAAAATCCCCTTCCCAAACCAGATGTGCACTCCAGGAACAGCACACAGCTGGATGGGGGTGCTGCAGTGGCTAAAAAAATGGATTTAAATCAATTTAAATCGATTTAAATCCCTTCAAGACACACAAAAAAATGCCCCTGCCCAGCCCAGGGAAGCTGCTGGATCTGTGCTGGTTCCCAGGATTTCTGGGAATTCTGATTCCCAAAATTCCTGCTGGAGAAGGATTCACCCCCAGATGAATTCCAGCTGCCCTGGTCTCACACAGGACTGCTGTTTTTCCCTGGAATTTTCTCCCTTTTTTTTTTTAAATTTATTTTTTGATGATGAATTCCAGCTGCCCTGATCTCCTTTCGTGGACACGACCACTGCGTTTCCCAAGATTTTTTCCCTTTTTTTTTTTTTTTTTTCCCCTTCTCCCCACAACTTTATTATTCCAAATCAACTTCTCAGCTCTAAAAACAGAGGGGAAGAAGCATTAAATGTGCTACTGTACCCATCACAAAGCACTGTGACGTACATAAGGCCATCTGGTAACACTGCAACAGGCTACAAAACAGGTTGGCAAAGGGAATTTTAAGGAATTTTTCAAAGGATTTTCAGAATTTTTCAAAGTTACGAAGAATAAATCTCAACCCTGTTGACGGAGAATGAAAAACGTTTCAAAAGTGTATTTTATACATAGGAAAAAAAAAAACTCTGTGCAACTGAACAACAGCACAACAACGACGACAGGAAATTAAAAATCAACACAATTTTAGGTTCAAAGCTTGGAGGGGGTTAGGACATGCTAGGGGAAAATAAAAATTAATAAAAAACAAGCCAGAAACACATCCCAAGGAGCTGAGGGCAAAGCCAGGGGTTGGAATATTGGAGCCCAGCACACAGCACACTCCGGGAATCACGCACAGTGCTCCAAAAAACCACAGAAAAATCACCCCAAAGGAAAAAAAAAAAATCAAAATAAACAACAACAGCTTCCAGTTATTGGTACAGCACTGCTGAAAAGGGCTCTGCAATGGGCTCCACTCACATCCCTGATTTCCAAAGGGTCATTTCCTCCTCTTTGAGATGAAAACCTCCTGCAGCACAACCTCAGCACAGAAATCTCTGAAATCCAGCCCAAAATTTTGTTCCACGCACACAAAACTACTCCAAAACACATTTAAGACACTTGTTTTCTTATTTTCTTTTCAGATGTGGCAAGCAACGACATCAAAAAATAAACCTTTGGCAACTCACGAGTGCACGCTGGGGCAGGATGGGTTTGAGTGTTAAAAAAGGGGGAAAAAAAAACCCCAAAAAAAAACCTCCCAAGGGAGTGTGAAACATTTCAAAGTGGCGACTGAGGAGTGCAGAATCTGCTCCGAGGGAGGATGGGGATATTTATATGGAATTTTGGGAACACATCCTGCCAGGCATGACCCACGTGTGCTCCAGGCAGAGTTAAACACTGAGGAATCAAAAAAAAAAAAAAAAAATAAAATAAACTTACAATTTTTTCAGCTCTGAGCGTGCTTCTCATCAGGGTCTGGAAGAGCTCCACAAGCAAAATCTGCTTGCTTTGGGAGGTGGAAACAAAATTCTTCTTCTATTTTTTTTTTTTTTTGCCAGTTTTAGGGTGGTTTTGTTCCAAAATAATTTATGGGAAGCAGACATTTTGCTGTTCCAACAGGAAAACAACCTGCAGGGAACACATTCTGCTGATTCCTGGCATAAAGGCAGGAATAAAATCCCTCAGTTCAGGATTTAGTGACACCAAAAAACCCAAAATTTCACTTTTCTGCCCCAAGCTCTACAGGGAATCCCGACAGGAAAGGGCAGCACTGCCCTGGGGGCTCCTGTGTTTTGTCCTCCTGACTAAAATCAGCCTCTGGAGGAAGATTTGGTGCCATTCCCAAGGATTTCTCTCTGGCCACCTCTCCCTTCCCTTGCTCCCAGGGGAATTTTGTGCCCCAAAAATGCCTCAGGAATGAGCAGGACAAGACTGGCACACAGCTGGATGGGATGGGGGTGCTGCAGTGGCTAAAGTTTGGTTTAAAATTATTTAATTCCCTCCAAGACACCGAAAAACCAGCCCAGGGAAGTTGGAGCAGCTGCCAAAATCCCCTTCCCAAACCAGATGTGCACTCCAGGGGTGAACAGGACAGCACACAGCTGGATGGGAGTGCTGGAGTGGCTAAAATTTGATTTAAATTGATTTAAATCCCTCCAAGACATAAAATCTGCCCAGCCCAGGGAAGCTGGAGCTGCTGCTGCTGGATGTGTGCTGGTTCTCAGGATTCCTGGGAATTCTGACTCCCAAAATTCCTGCTGGAGAAGGATTCACCCCCAGATGAATTCCAGCTGCCCTGGTCTCACACAGGACTGCTTTTCCCTGGAATTTTCTCCCTTTTTTGGTTTTTTTGTTTGTTTTTTTTTTCTCCCTAGCTTTATTATTCCAAATCAACTTCTCAGCCCTAAACCCAGAGGGGAATGAGAATTCCCCAAGGAAAAGGGACATAAAACTGTCCCTGCATTTATCCCAAAATCTCCCTCTGCCAGCTCTGATCCAGCAGCTCCAGCCTGCCCCACTCCCCTGATCTGCTCACACTCAACAGCCACCGCTAATTACTGCTTAATTAACTCCAAACCAACCTCTGTTCAGGCAGCACCAGCCTGATCAAACATCCTGGAGAGCTCCTGAGTGAATATTCAGGGATTTTGGGCTCTCTCAGGGGCTGCTTGCAACACCCACTCTGTGATTTTTAAGACAAAACCACCCCACCACCTCAGAGGCCAAAACTTCTCTTTTTTTTTTTGTTTTCTTCCCCCATTTCTCCTCTTCCAGATCCAGATTCTATCCCTCACAGAGCCGAGCAAGGAAACAAACCACAATAATCGCCCAAAACTCAAAAAGTTGTTAAGTACTTGTGGATTTTAACAACATTCCCTGACCCAGAGCTGACAACACCTTGGTACAACACCGAGATGGAAACAAATCTGCCTTAAAAATGGGAGAGGTGAAACTGCAGAGCACATCAAAAAATGCCAGAAAACAGGAGGGAAAAAGGGAAATAAATGATAAATGATAAATGAATAAAGCCACAAGAGAGGGGCAGAGCTGCAGGTTGTGAGCTCAGCTGGAGGAAAAGCTCCAGGAGGGGAGCAGAGCCCTTCACCCCCATCCCAGCTGGAATTTCCAGGGAATCCCACAGGGATGCAGCTCCCCGGGCTGGGGGAAGGTGGGGAAGGGAGATCTGCACCTCAGCAGCTTCACTGCCCTCAGAATGAACATTTAAAACCCAAAATATTCCATTTGTGAGACAGCCGAGGTTTGAAAATGTGTCAGAGGGGGAAATGATCCCAACCAAAGCCTTTCTGTTCTCCATCATCCCAAAGATCCCACAGGTCCTGAAGCCTTGGGAGGCTCCAAGTGAAAAGAAGGAATTGTCCAACTCCAGGAATTTTATCTTTTCCTACCACAGAGCTGGAATGTGCCAAAACCTGGGCAGGGAACTGCATCCCCTGCTGAGGACGGGTCTGGAACAAAGCTCTAAACCTAAAGCTGCTGCTAAAAAACCCCAAAATTCCTGAATCCCCCTCTTTTTACCAGGATCACCTTCCCAGGGAAGACAGAAAATCAAGGATTTCATAACCATGGGCCATTTTCCTGTTGGCACGGGCTGCTCCTGCCAGGAACCCTGAAAATCCAGGATCCCAAACAGCAGCAGCAGCTCCACATGGAAAAAAATCCCAAAAAAACAAGAGATTCCCAGGAGCAAGACACAAATTCAGCTTCCACGCCCTTAAATCCTACCAGATTTTTGAATTTTAGGGATTTATTCCCATTTCCAGAAGCTGGGGAGGATGCTGGGCTCTTGTCTGTCTTCTACCAAACTCTTTTTGTTCTACCAAAACGCTTTTCCTTCCAAATGCTTTGACCTTCCACACAACCCAAGCCAGCCAGGAACGAACTGATGCAAAAATCACCAATAATTCCACAAAACCAAAGCTACTCCAGCAACAAGAACCTAAGGGGGAAAAAAGCTTCTCTAATGCTGCATTTTTAATTTTTTTTTTTTTTAAATCACCACGGTACAGAACTAAAACAGAATCTACTCTAACCCCACCTGCCCTAAGTTAAATTAAAAACAAGGAGCTGCACAAAAAGTGCTCCTGAAGTGACCTAAAGAACCAGCAGCTGACAGGGAGGCTCTGTCAGGAATGCGAGCCAGGAAAAGCTGGCAGCTCCCTGGCAGGCAGCACATGCACAAGGAAATATTCCCTTTATTTCCTGAAATAATTTTCAGTGACCTGAAAATTGCAGTGGAGAAAAGGCAGCGAAAGCTGCTCCTCTCCCTTTTCCATCAGCTTTCCCTCCTGAGCTTCTCAATCTGATTTTTTTTGGGTTTTTTACCTGGTGGAAACTTTCCCATCCAGGGAATTCAACCTTCTCATTCCACAAAAACTCAGCATTCCCACAGGAAAACCTGGATTCTCTGCGGCACAGCAATTTTGGGAAGCTGCTTGGAGAGGAGCAGGAGCCCACAAATAATATTTTTTTTTGGGCTTGACCCTCTGCCCAAAGCCATAAAAGCTCACGAAGAATTAAGTGCACAAATTTTTCAACAGCTAAACTTGGCTTTTCTCCACAGGGGAACAAGAGGGAAAGGGAAGCAATTAAATTGCAAGTTTTTAGTGCTCATCATTCATGAATTTTCAATTCAAATCCCAGCCTGCAAATGTCAAAAGTCCACGTATTTGGTAGGCATAAAATTGGCCAACCTGAACCAACCAAAGTGCTGCTATTTATACATAGCTCTAGAAAATTTCCCAGAGCAGGCTCCAAAAAAGCAAAAAAAAAAAATTCCAGATGCCTGCTCTTCATGATCACCTGCAGCTTCGCTTCTGCATGTCAAAAATAAAAATTAAATTAAAACAAAAGGTCAATATTGCACATTTTAAGAGCTGCTGGCGCAGGAATTTCCTCCTGCATCTGCTGATGTCTAAATGTGAAGCATTTTTTTGCCTCTGACAGGAGCCAACAGGAAGACAGGTCACTCCATGAGCTCACTCCCTGCTTCTCCACCTGAAAAAGGAATATTTTTTTTCTCCCACTTTTCCCCTGGGCAGGTGAACAATGCCCAAAAAAAAGCGACTCTGTTCCACCCACCTGTCCCAGGTGTCACGTCAGGAACACACAAAAGTGGTTTTTTTTTTTCTGTATCTCAATGGCAGGATATAGAAAGGGAACATCACTGCAGGAAAAGAAAAGTCCCGGGTGTTTGTTGTGGCTTTAAAGGGAATTCCAAGCCTGCAAAAGTGGCAGAAGGGAAAAAAAAAACCAAAAAAACCTCTGGAAAAGTTTGAGTTCACCACTTATCCGTGGAATAGGTGCAGTATTTACAGCAAACACTGTCAGCTCCTCGTGCTGGAGAGGGGAAAATCTTCCTCTGCTCGTGGCAGCTCGCAGGATGCTGAAGGAAAGAGATGTCTCCATCTGTTTTTCTGGGAATATTTTATGGGGAAGATCCTCTGACACCCCCAACTCACACCCAGAAGTTGCTGCCTGACATCAGACGCCCCAAATTGGAAGGACACAGACCCACAGCCCAACACAGCCAGGCTGAGGGGCTGAGAGAGGAGCAGCTCTCGTGTTTCCCACCCCTCAATTTTCTTACAAGGCCACCTGAGGTGTAAAAATCCACCTACACAAATTCCACCTCACCTCCAATAACGGCTCTGGAGAACAATTCTGCATTTTTAATCCAGGACACCAAGGAGGTGAAAGCAGATTTACCACCAGGCTGAACCCCGTGGAACCCCTCAGCCTGCTTTGGGGTCAGCGCTCCCTCCAAAAAAAAATAAATCAACAGCTCCACTGCAAAACCTGGGGTAAAAAACAGCAGAAGAGGAGCTTTTCCACGTGGGGAAAAGCAGGAAGCTTTCCCAAAATTGTGGAGAAAAGAGGAGCAACACTAAATGCTGGGATGTTGCTGTTCTCACTCACCCTGCTGGGCCCTGGAATTGCAGGTCAGGCAGCAACCTCCCCTAAAAACCCAAGGAAAATCCCCCAAAAACCCAAGGAAAACCCTCCAAAAGTGCAGGGAAAATCCTGCTGCCATCCTGCTGATCCAGCAGGAGCTCCCAGGCTCTGGCACAAGAAATGTTTGGACTCCAGCATTCAAATTGTGTGAGAAGTGAGAGGAGCTGATCCCAACTGTCCATGGGGAAGGGAAGGAGGGCAGGGAAACATCCAAAATCCAGCCCCACCTCTTCTCCCAGGGGCTCCACAGAATTGTCCTGGACATAAACTTGGAATAAATCCTCAAAAAAAAAGAAAATTCCTTGCAAAGAAAAAAATAAAAAGTGAGAAGGGCAGCAGAAAAGCCCCGGCTGCTTTTGTTGCTGCACAAGTTCTGGTGCCCCCGGGGGCAGAGCCGACAGCACACACCCCAAAATTCATTCCCAAATTTTTCCTGGAATGCCAGCTTCCATCAGGATCCAGGCTTCTCCTTGCTGAGCACAGGAAGCAGAAGAACAGAGGGTTTTGTTTGTTTGTTTTTCCAAGAGTCACATAGAAAAGCCTCCTCCGGTGCTGTTTGCTGCAGACTCAGTTGCTCCAACACCACCCAAAATTCCTTTTGGACAGGTGGAAAAAAACCTTCCAAACCAAGGAGGAGAAGAGACTGGAGCTGCAGCTCCTATTAAGGCGTTTGCATATACATTCCCAACCTGGGTTCTTCCAAAAAAGGGGGGAATTTTTGCAAAAAAAAATGTTTTTTTGTGGGTTTTTTTTTTTTTCTTTTTGATCCGGGAATGGCAACAACTGTGGAGAATCTCTGTGGAATTACAAACTGCTCGCTTTAAAAAAAAAGGTGTGGTTGAACGGAAGTGTCCCACGGTGTCCTTTCGCAGGAATTCCAGGAATTCCATGTGCTATGTCTTCTGGAGATCCGGGGAAAAGGGGCCGGGGGTGGAGGGTCCATCCAGTCCCGACAGCGTAAATGGGCCGTGACTGTTCAGCACTGATGGGAACTGAGAGATAAAACAAGAATTGTCACAAAAAACATTTCAATTCATGCTGCTCCAGTATCTGTGCACAAAACTCAGCAAAAAAACCCCCAAATGTAACAACAAAATAAAGAAAAGCCACCCCAGAGTTCAAGGATGCTCTTGGCCTCTCACTTTTCTTTTTTAATATCAAAAAACATTTCAATTCATGCTCCTCCAGCATCTCTGCATAAAAAAAGGGGAAAAAAACTCCAAATGCAACAACAAAATAAAGAAAATCCACCCCAGACTTCAAGGATGCTCTTGGCTTCTCACTTTTAATTTCTTTTTTAATGCAAAAAAAAACATTTGAATTCATGCTCCTCCAGCATCTCTGCATTAAAAAAAGGGGAAAAAAAACCCCAAATGCAACAATAAAACAAAGAAAATCCACCCCAGAGTGCAAGGATGCTCTTGGCTTCTCACTTTTACTTTTTAATGCCAAGCTGTGGCACAAATAAACATTTAAATTTACTGCTCCTCCAGTATCTGTGCTCAAAAAAAAAACCCAAATGCAACAACAAAATAAAGAAAATCCACCCCAAAGTTCAAGGATGCTTTTGGCTTCTCACTTTTGATTTCTTTTTTAATGCCAAAAAACATTTCAATTCATGCTGCTTCAGAATCTGTGCATAAAAAAGGGAAAAAAGAACCCCAAATGCAACAACAAAACAAAGAAAAATCATCCCAGATCTCAAGGATGCTCTTGGCTTCTCACTTTTATTTTTTAATGCCAAGTGGTGCCACAAAAAAAAAAAAAAATTTCAATTCACTGCTGCTCCAGTATCTCTGCATAAAAAAGGGTAAAATATAACCCAAATACAACAATAAAATTAAGAAAAATGATCCCAGAGTCCAAGGATGCTCTTGGCTTTTCACTTTTAATTTATTTTTTAATGCCAAAAAAACATATCAATTCATGCTCCTCCAGTATCTGTGCACAAAAAAAACCCAAATGCAACAACAAAACAAAGAAAAATCACTCCAGAGTTCAAGTGGCATCTCACTTTTAATTTATTTTTTAATGCCAAGCGGTGCCACAGTGACCCCTGAGCTGAGCACTGCCCCACATTCTAATTAAAATGTGATTTTAATCCAGGTTGTGAGGAAAAAAAGGGTTTAATTGCCCCTCAGTTAATGAGCAGCTGTTTCCAGGCTGAAATATCCCTGTTTATTCCCCATCCTCGTGGCAGAGACGAGGAACTTCCTTCATCTCCATGGAGATGACAGATCCCAACCCAGATTTCATTAAATTCTTTCATTTCAATGGGATGAAATGAAAATTTAAATTAAATTGGGTTCAATTCTACCCTTCACCTCAGCAAATTCAGGCAGCAAGTGTGGTTAATTCCAATGGCAGAGTGGTAATTCCAACACCAGAATGGAAGTGTGAGGGAAAAACATGAGAATTACAATTAAAGGAGGGGTTTTTTTCTTAAATATTGTGGATTTTTGTCCTATACAGTAAAAAAACCCAAAAAACCCAGGCCTTGGACACTTCCAGGGATCCAGGAGCAGCCACAGCTTCTCTGGGCAACTCTGCCAGGTCCTCACCAGCCTCACAGGCAGGAATTTTATGGATTTCTTCCATAAAAATCATCAAAAACTGTGCCACACGTCATCACAGAGATCAAACACGCACTCTTTCTCCTCATCAGCTGTGAGATTAATTCATGTTTTTCATCAGGAATGATTGGAACGATTGATAGGGTGGAAAATTTAAAAACTGAGGAAAATCCCAACCAAAAAAAAACAACAAAAAAAGTTACGGGGAGGAAATTTTTACAGGAAGAAGAGACCTAAAAAAGAAAAATAATCTCTGTCTAAAGCAGCCTGTGGTGCTGTAAATCTCAACCACCCCTGAAACACCAACATTTATGTGAAAAATGCAGATTTTATGATTGGCTTTTCGCAAATTGAATATTATATGTGCAATGTTAGAAAGTTATGCTGTATTAATTCTCTTAAGTAGTGTGATAAATGTAGTTTTAGGTTACAACTTAATGTTAAAACAGAAACTCTGGTACAGAATTTGAGATAATCAAGAAACTTTTCACACAGAAATGGCAGCAAAAGGGGACCCATAAAAATTACAGCCTAATTATCATAAAGACAAATATTCTTCCATCTTTTTGGAACCATCAGGATGAAGGAGAAATTGACAAAAACCAGAAAAATTCTTAATTTGCAAGGAATTTATGCATAATATATGAGATATATGAATATGCAACAGGTATTGCTTTTAAGGTTATTCCTTTGTTCATACGGGATGCTTTTTGTGACTCGGTGTCCGAGAGCATCTAAAAATCCGTAATTCTTTGCTTTTTATTGTCTTGTAATTGTCCTAACTCTAAACTTTATTACGCTAATCGCATAATTATTAAACTTTTAAAATTATTATTAAATTTTAAAAACCAAGCGACTGGCGTTTTCCCACGATTTACAACACCCTGAAACAAAAACGGGTAAAAAAAAAAAAACCCCAAAAAACTAAAATTAACACCCGCAAAGGGGTGGGAACCAACAACTCCTGTGTTATTTTGGATGCAAATATTGGGAATAAGGGGAAGGGGCTGGGAATCCCTGGAAAAACTGACCTGGAAGAGGGTGTTAGCACCTTGCAGGCGGGCAGGGCTGAGCGGGGCCACGGGGCTCAGCGTGCTCCAGAAGTGGATGCTGGAGAGCAGCGGGCTGGGGGTCAGCAGGATGGGAGTCTGGAAAGGCAGGGAAAACACCTGTGAGCGCTTTTTGCCACGGAATTCCAGTCTTTTCCACGGAATTCTGGCCTTTTCAGTGGAATTCCAGTCTTTTCCGTGGAATTCCAGTCTTTTCTGTGGTATTCTAGTAGGAAAATTCCAGCCTTTCCCCTGGAATCCCAGCCCTTCCCATGGAAATCCAGCCTTTGCTGTGGAATACCAGCCTCTCCCATGGAATTCCAGCATTTCCCCACGGAATTCCTGCCCTTCCCATGGAAATCCAGCCTTTCCCACGGAATTCCAGTCTTCCTCGTGGAATTCCAGTAGGAAAATTCCAGCCTTTCCCTGGAATCCCAGCCCTTCCCATGGAAATCCAGCCTTTCCCCACGGAATTCCTGCCCTTCCCACAGAATCCCAGCATGGAAATTTCAGCCTTTCCCCTGCAAATCCAGCCCTTCCCATGGAAATCCAGCCTTTCCCACTGAATTCCAGCCTTTCCCATGGAATTCGAGCCTTTCCCATGGAATTCCAGTCTTCCTCGTGGAATTCCAGTAGGAAAATTCCAGCCTTTCCCCTGGAACCCCAGCCCTTCCCATGGAATTCCATCCTTTCCCACAGAATTCCAGCCTCTCCCATGGAATTCCAGCATTTTCCCACAGAATTCCTGCCCTTCCCCTGGAAATCCAGCCTTTCCCACAGAATTCCAGCCTTTCCCACGGAATTCCAGTGTTCCTCAGGGAATTCCAGCCTTTCTTGTGGAATTCCAGCCTTTCCTCACAGAATCCCAGCATGGAAATTTCAGCCTTTCCCCTGCAAATCCAGCCCTTCCCATGGAATTCCAGCCTTTCCCAAGGAAATCCAGCCTTTCCCACGGAATTCCAGTCTTCCTTGTGGAATCCCAGCCTTTCCAATGGAAATCCAGCCCTTCCCCACAGAATTCAAGCTTTTCCCATGGAATTCCAGCCTTTCCTGTGGAATTCCAGCCCTTCCCATGGAATTCCAGCAGGGAAATCCAGCCCTTCCCACAGAATCCCAGCATGGAAATTTCAGCCTTTCCCCTGCAAATCCAGCCCTTCCCACTGAATTCCAGCCCTTCCCGTGGAATCCCAACAGGGAAATTCCAGCCTTTCCCACAGAATTCCAGCCCTTGACATGGAATTCCAGCCTTTCCCATGAAATTCCAGCCCTTCACATGGAATTCCAGCCACAACACCCCCTCAACTGCCAGGAACTCCCATTCCCTCCTTCCTGCTGCTCCTCCTCCTCCCTGTCAGCCCCACCCAGCCCTTTTTTCCCCCAAAATCCTGCTGGAAGCCCCAGCAGAGCAGCTCCTCCTCCACTCCAGCACTCGGGAAAAATGGGATTCTGGGATTTAAAAAGGAAAATAAAACCCAACGGGAGCTCCTGGTGCCACTGACAATGCCAGCAACAACAAAAGGAGTTTCCATCCAGCTCCTGGATATTCCAGGCTCACCAGCCAAGCACTTCCCGGGGTGCCAAAAGAACAACTCCACTTGGATTTTGGTTTTTTTAAACTTTTCCTCTGTCTTCAGCCATTCCAGTTTTCAACCAGCAGCTCCCCCATGGTCTCATTCTAATTCCAATTTATTGCAGGGCAGAGATTACAGAGATACAGAATGATTTAACAGCCCTGCTGGATCCACTTCTCTTCCAAGTTTTCCAAGAGACATGAAAGCTTTCCTTTCCCACACAAAGATAACAACCAAATTAAGCAGCTGCTCTTATTGCTGCTCGCTCACAAGAGTTTGGCTTTAACTAAATGTTACTAAATGAGCAAAAACAAGCTCAGCAGACACCTCTGTGGGGCTGCTTTTGAAGGATTTTCAGGCCTAGCTGAAGGATTTTGGGGCAGGGTTTAGGAAAAATGAAGGATTTTGGGGCAGGGTTCAGGAAAAATGAAGGATTTTCAGGCCCAGCTGAAGGATTTTGGGGCAGGGTTTAGGAATAATGAAGGATTTTCAGGCCCAGCTGAAGGATTTTGGGGTAGGGTTCAGGAAAAATGAAGGATTTTCAGGCCCAGCTGAAGGATTTTGGGGCAGGGTTCAGGAATAATTCAGTATCCTCCTGGCAAGGTTTACAAAATCCTGCTGGAGCTGGTTTGGGTTTTGCCTCCACATGCCAGCTGTGTGTGCATGCCCAGCACCTGGGCACACTTTGGGGTGAGTTAACACCAAATTTATGTTTGATTAAAAAAAAAACCAACCAGGGAGTGACATCCTGAGTTTCAAATCTCCGCATACAATGAACTGTTAATTTTCCACTTGCTGTTTTCGAGCATAACATCATCACCATTGTTAGTTAAAAACAAAAACAAAAAAAACCCAACAAACCAGGAAGGGAATTGAGGGAATTGAAGGGAATTTGGTCACCTGAGAGAAAAGTGCTGGAGTAAGAGAAGCAGTTGGGAGGGAAGGACTGAGGATGCCCAGAGGACTCGGATCGCTGCCCGTGATGACCAGAGTGGGAGCCAGCTCCAGCCCTTTGGGTTTTTTCGATCTGGAGAGGTGATTGGCAAATTCCTTCTCCAGCCCAGCTGAATCCTGCTGCTCTTTGGGCTCTGGGGATTGGTGCTGGAGGCTCTGAGCCTGCTCCAGCTGCTGGGAAGCCACAGATTCGATGTCCGTGTCAATGTCCAGGTCGGGGTTGGAGCTGAGGGGCGGCGAGGGGGGCGTGGAGGGCACCTGGAGGGCAGGAGACACCGAGGCCATGGGCGGGGTCGGGGTGAAGCTGGTGCTCAGGTTTGGCAAAGGTGCTGGAGGAGCTTCGGGGACGCTCAGCTTGGGCAGGACGAGCGTCTCCAGGCTCTGCAGAGTCTCCTCGGAGCCCAGGGGAAGCGACGAGGACACGGCCGGGGCGGCAGAAGCCGTGGAGGTGACAGCCACCGCCGAGGTGGTGGAGACCAGGGGGGCAGAGGGAGGTTTTTTGGAGGGCATGGTGACAAATTTGATGACAGAGGGAGTGGGGTCCTGAGGTTTCTTCTCCGCCAGCTTCTCGGCCGGGTTCTCGATCTTGATGGACCTGAAGAGCTTCACGCTGGAGGAGTTGAGGGAGTTGAGGGTGAAGGAGGAGTAGAGGCCTGAGTGGATGTAGTCGTTGCGGCTGGAGGCTTTAGCACAGGACTGGGATTTCTCCTTCCCACAGTTTTCCACGTCCTTGGGGGCGCTGGTCACCTCCCCAAAGCCGGGCATTTCGGGGTCCCCCTCGATCCGGCCCACCACCAGCGGATCCATGTTCAGGATCTCCGGGTACGACACGAATTTGTACACGAACTTCTTTCCATTCACCTTCTTAATGATATTCTGAGGGGAAGAAGACAAAGTATATTTAGACCTTTCTTCAGATTAATTTTCTTCCTACAAACACTGCCTAAAATAGGCAGAGGAATTAAAGTTGGTAATCTTTCAGCCAAAAAAAAAAAAAAAAACTAAAAAAAAAGAATGTTTCTTCTTTTCCTGTTTTAAAAACACCCTGAGTGCTCCAGTTCTGCTCCCAGAACTGGCAGACAAAACACTGCAACAGGTGAGCTTAACCTGACATGAAACATACTAAAAACAGCCTAAAAACTGCCAAGAAATCCTGTTTAACATGACAAAATGCCCATTAGCCCCATCAGCTGGGTACACTACTGGTAATTTAACAGAAGAACTTGCTAAAGGGTTTCTCCAGGACTGCAGAAGTGAGAGCTTGCACTTCAAATCAAACCACTATTCTTAATAAGATGATAATAAAGGAAAATAAGCAGCTGAACTCGTCAGCAGAATGCAGGCTAATCAGTTATTTCAATACCACAGAACTGCATCTGTCAAACTTGTTTTGCTCCTCAGCGAAATGCCACACACACTTTGGACTTGGAATTATCCTTATTTATCACTCCCTGATTGCTGCTGAGATCTCTCAGTACCGAGGCAGATTTGTGGCACTCAGTAAGGAACAGCAGCACCCTCCCACCTGCTCCAGGCTGAGGCTCCTCAGAAACTGGGGGTTATTTTTATCTGCTCCACTCACACGCCAGCAGTCGTGGGATAAAGGGAAAACAAAGGTGAGACTCGAAGATGTTGGATAAACAAAGGCTTCTTACTCTGCTGGGCTGAAAACAGTGGTCAAACTGAAGGTGACATTCTGAATACACTGAGAAAATAAAAATATTTAGGGCTGAAAAATGCTTATTTTGGAAGAAATAAATGTAAAGAGAAAGCTGCAAAAAGATCTGAAAGTGGGGAAATATTCACGTGCTCCATCATCATCCTTTACCTGGATTTTAACCCTTTCAAGGGTGTATATTTTTGGAAGGGGAATTAAGATCCAAAGGCAAATTTATATTAGCAAAGACACCAAGCCAACACTTTTTGCACTAAGCCACCAGAACCTCCCAAAACAACCAGCGAGGAGGAAACAGCGAAAGGATAAAAATTAAAAAAACCAACCCAACACCTTTAAACAAAGCAGCCCAACTTCCTTCAGCCTGGCAGAGGCACAGCAGTGCCACCCCTCCCTGGGAGGAGGAGGAAACAAAACTCCTCAGCTGAGAGGGACGAGGATTGGAGCAGCATTCCCAGCCTACCTTCACGTAGTAGTAGCGCAGCGCCCGGCTGAGTTTATCATAGTTCATGCTGGGCTTGTTCTTGCGGATCCCCCAGAGCCTGGCCACCTCCTCTGCCTGCAGCAGCTTGAATTCCCCGTCGTTGGAGGTCCAGCAGATGATGTTCTTGTTCTGGGGCTCTTGGAGCAGCTGGAGGAGGAACTGCCACAGGGTGATGGCACTGTCCATAGCAGAGAGCTGCAATTCAAAAGGAAGGTTAAGCCCGGAGCATTTCCCTACAAAAAGGGGGCTGGGGGGGGATGGAGCAAGGATTGTTATTTCCAAAGCCAGCAAGAGTAAAAAAATTATTAGTCACCAGTCATGAAAGATGTTCCCTGCAGAACTGAGGGGCTGAGTGCCAACTCTGGCGTCTCCTCCCACATGTCAGTACTTTTCACATGGGTTATATTTAGCCTCATTTAACTAAATCAGGTCACTTTGGGTAAGTTGCAGTGAGTCACTAGCCCCAAAAAAAAAATGTTTCCAAGTTGTTCCATGTTCACCCACTCCAGCTTGTGCTGCTTTGTGAGAAAGAGCTCAGGTACACCCAGGTAGGGATCAAACCACCCCCTCACCTCCTCCTTTCCTGCTCCCGCCTCGCAGGGAACACAGCTCAGCCAGGAACTGCAAAGCTCCAGGAAGATGCCAGAGCCAAAACAACTTCATTTCCCCTCAGTTTTCATTCCAGCCTCTCAATCACCCCAATCTCCCTTCAAATCTTTCTTTTCCAGGTATCACCCCTGGTTTTTTAATGAGAGCAAATACAAAACTAAATTAAAATTATTCCAAACGCTGCTTTTGCTTGGCTCTCCACTCCTGCCACGTCTTACCCACGTCAATGATTTAGGCTGGGACTTTCTAGGACTGATATTTGCTCCAAAGTTGTTGATGCATAAATTCATCAAGGACAGACCAGGCACATAACATTTCACCTCAACCATTTATGACTACACCAAAGAGTATTTCCACAAATATTTTTAACAGAACACTCATCATTCTGGATTAGATACAGTGTGAATTTAACCAGGCAAAATATTAATTCAGCACCTCTATAGATTCTCTTAGTCCAGAACTGGTTAATTAACACAGCTTAAAATTCATCCTGCGAAATAAAAACAGAAGAAAAAATGCTCTGGGGTAGTGAATAACACTGGATATACATAACTGTGGGAATCCAGAGCTTCCCTCTGGCTGCCCTGGCAGGTCTGGGACCCTGGCAGGGGTCAGGAACCCCCCTGGACAGAGCCCCCAGAGACACTGGCTGTGATCTCTGCCCATGGAAAAGAGTTTTCAATCTTACAGGATGAATTACCAGCTCTGAGTGTTTGATATAAGGAATAATTAAGTGTGGCACAGGTGCAAAAGTAAAATTTTAGGATTCTAGATGAGGGGTCCAAAGGGGACAAGCTGGAGGAAATTGGGTGTGCCTTGTCCTTTTTCTCCTTCTTCATGCCCTCCATGTTTCACTGTGGTGTTGGCATTTTTCTGTTGGTTCAGGCTGGGGACACACTGTCCAACGTAGGTGACAGATATTGGCACGTTATTGTAAATCCAGCACAGGTAGTTTGTGGTATTTAATGTTTGTACCATCCCACTGAGGGCAGAGCCCCACACGCTGCCCTGCAGGACAGAGCTGCGGCAGGGCAGCAGAACATGTTAGAGATAAACAGAATAAAAAACTCTGAAAATCAGCAGAGACAAATTATGACTTTCTACAACCTCAGAATCATCAATAGCACAGATTCTGACACATAACCACGATATTTTTTCCCTTAAGTAAAGGATGTCTAGGGGTTCCATCTGGGTGAGTTTGATATTCAAACACTAATTTCAAGCTCCAAAGCAAAGGCATCAAGGCCAGCCTCGGGGAGCAGGAGCAGGCTGCTGCTGGTCGATGTGCTGTGTACACAGGGATCCAGCCCGCCCTGCCAGCTCATCCGTGCTCCCAAAGCCTTTTATTCCAATCTCATTATGCCCAGCACTTAGCCAGCCCTATATAAGGAAGGGAACGGTGTCCAGGGGAGAGGCTGAGCACTCAGGGAGCCCTGGGACAGGATTAGAGCTGACAGTTCACACAGGGCTTTGGGGGGAAAATCAAGGTGCCCCGAGGCATGGCACCTTTTTGGGCACTGTGGCATTTCAGCCCCGGTGCAGAATCCCTGCCTCATGGCACACGGGCTGATGGACATCGATCCAGGCAGGAAAATTGCTGCAATTAGGTGGAACAATCTCAAAGTATAGGACACCCACACCCCCCTCGTTAGATTGGCCCGAGGTGCTTTCCCTGTTAATTACTGCACACGTACAACTCCCTGCTTGCCCAAATTAATTGCTCAGCACTCGAAGAAACTGGAGGCCGTGCTTCCAGACTCTTCCCACACTGCTCTGCGCCGCACCAGCTGGTCCATACAGGATTTAGGGACCAGGCAAACCCCTAAAAACCCTTCCAGGACCGGCTGCTGTTGCCATTTGCCCCCAGCACCCCAGCCTGGGAACGGCGTGCCTCGTTCTGCACGGGGATGATGCAGCCACACGTGGTGGCACGGAGAGCACGAGGACTTGGTTCTGCCACCCAGCAGAGCTGTCAGAGCCCTGAGATGTGCTCAGAGAGAGCAGGCAAACGAAGCTGAGTGATTATTCCCACGCTGCATTCATCTCCAGCACTCTGGGAGCACTGCACCAAACTGATGCAACGTGGAAATCAGATTAGCAACAGGATTTCACACTGGCAAAGGCTTTTTTTTAATTTCCCCCTCACCCCTCCTGCTAAAAATCCACGCAGCTTTCATTCCAGAATTGAACTGGAGTTATTTAATGAGGCTGCTTCCTTTGAGGAAGTTCCACCTTGCTGTTAATTCCAAGCTGACCCAAGCCAAGCTTTGCTGCTCAGGTCACAGCTGGGCTGGAACCCAGCTGGAGATGCACAGAGCAGCACGAAGTTCTGTGAAACAGCACACAAAGAGTGGCCAAAATGATGGAAAATACTAGATATTGAAAAACAAACAGGAAAAAAAAAAAAAAGAAAACCAAAAAACCACCTTTCCCAGAGATGAGCTAAGTCGTTCTGAGGAGCTCTTAACCAAAGTTAAGAGTTCACGCTGCTCAATTCCAGCTGGAAGGATCCTCAGGCAGGATCAGCCAGAGTTACAGACTGTACTGGAGTGCAGTTTTGATCAAGTTCCTCCTGATGTTTCTGGCATTTGCAGCTTCAGGCGTGTCACGATTCTGTCCGTCACTCAGAGGACACATGGCACATCCCCAGCTCGGAAAAGTCTTGTCTCAGAAACATGAAAAGGGTGGAGAGGCCTCACTGACTCCCTGGCTGTCACTGAACAGGAGCAGAGAGCCTTCTGGAATTCTTCATGGGGGGGTTTTACTGCATAAAACAGAACGAATATTCCTCTTTCTGAAATATTCACTGCAGTCATCTGCAGGGAATGGTGGAGATCCCGCAGCGGAACCTCATGGAAAATTCAAAGAAATGGGGAATGTGGAGTTTTTTTGGAGGTTCTACCCAAAGGGAAGGCCAGAAAACAACCTTGGGCAAAGCAGTGGGATCACATGTGGATTTTTGCCCCTTCAGAGTCCAGGAGAGAGCTCTTAGCTAGGAAAGTCCAACGTGTATCAGGAGACAATGCTGTGTCTCATTTAACTTTAGTACCAAAGCAGAAAAATACAAAAAAAATCCTCAAAACAAATCCTTGCTTTTCCAGGAAAAAAATTAGAATATAAAAATATCCATCACACAAGATGTAAAATTAAAACCAGCACAGGTGAGCCGAGCACCACCAAATGTGGGGAAAAGGTTTTTTCCTTCTCCAACACCCAGGGCAGGAGGCAGCTGCTGCCTTTCCTCAGCCTTTCCCTTGGCACCAACAGGGATGAAAAGTGGCTCAAGACCCCCCTGCTCCACATGACCGAGGGTGAAATGTTCTCTCAGTTTGCAAACAGCATTTCAACTTTTAAAATTTCCTCCAAAAGCCCCACTCTCCTCCTCTCACAGCCCTCCAGCAGCACAAAAACCCATCCTAAACCCAACAGCTTTCCTCCAGGATGAGCACACCAATAATTACTGCAAAACATCCCTGGGTGAATGTGGGAATCCAGAGCTTCCCTCTGGCTGCCCTGGCTGCCCTGGCAGGGGTCAGGAACCCCCTGGACAGAGCCCCCAGAGACACTGTCTATGATCTCTGCCCATGGAAAAGAGTTTTCAATCTTACAGCATGAATTACAAGCTCTGAGTGTTTGATATCAGTAATAATTAAATGTGGCACGGATGCAAAGGTAAAATTTTAGGATTCTAGATAAGGGTCCAAAGGGGACAAGATGGAGGAAATTGGGTGTGCCTTGTCCTTTTTCTCCTTCTTCATGCCCTCCATGTTTCACTGTGGTGTTGGCATTTTTCTGTTGGTTCAGGCTGGGGACACACTGTCCAACGTAGGTGACAGATATTGGCACGTTATTGTAAATCCAGCACAGGTAGTTTGTGGTATTTAATGTTTGTACCATCCCACTGAGGGCAGAGCCCCACACGCTGCCCTGCAGGACAGAGCTGCGGCAGGGCAGCAGAACATGTTAGAGAGAAACAGAATAAACAACCTTGAAACAGCACAAACTAATTATGACTTTTTCTTTGGCAGCGGGGCTGACAGACAGAGACTTTCTACAACCTCAGAATCATCAATAGCACAGATTCTGACAGGTGAAGGTTCTGCTCCCTCCTAAGAGCCCGTGGAGAAAGGAAAAGAGAAAAGGGAATGAACCTGAGAGCCTTTCCCTTCCTGCACCATGTGAGCAGGAGGAAAAAATAGTTGCTAGAGGCAGAGGGCAGCTCTGCTTTGTAATCAGGCAGCTAAAATAGAGCACTATTATTGTCTTGAGATCTTCTCCCGACGCCTACGGGTGACCCTGGGAGTTCAGCAGGAGCTGCCAGGCTTTGGCACAGAGCTCCCAAAAAACCTGAGCCTCTCCTCTGCTGGGCTTTGGCATGGGTTTAGCCAGAAAAGCCAGGATTTGGGATTTGTGTCTTGCCCTCTGTGGGGTTACAGGGCCTGGAGGCTCGGCTTTTCCTGGGAATGGGAGGCTGCAATCACAGGGTTTAGGAAAATCCAAATATTCACTCTCTGTGCTCCCTCTGCACGCCCTGGGAAGGGAGTTAAGGCAGGATTAGGGGGGTTTAGGCCTGTCCTAACCCCCTCCTTCGAGGTCTTCTGGCAGATTTCCTGTGCTTTGACTCGACACCAAATAATCCCCAATAATCTTTCACCTCCATTTGCTGCAGCAGCATCTGCAGCCTGATGACTTCTGCAGATGGGCTGAATAAAAAAAAAATAAATAAAAAAAGCCTTGTCAGGCCCCCAGACAGGAAAGAAAGGCCCGGAGGAAGGGAAGGATGTCCCAGGCACACAGCAAAACCATCCCCAGCAGGGCTGAGCTGTCCCCAGTGTCACACCCAGGGGACAGCCCCAAAAAAGGCCCCAAAAACGCAGGGAGACACAGGAATGGCTCCTGGGCCCAAAATAAAAATGGGAATAAAGGCAGCAACAGGTCTGGGGATGCTCGTGGTGCAGGTGAGCAAATCAAGGCTTCAATTTCAGGAAAATCCACCTGGAAATTCCAGGAAAAACCAGAAAAATGCAAGAAAATCCAAGAAAATGCAAGAAAATACAGGAAATTCCAGGAAAATTCAGGAAAAAAAATCCAGGAAAAAAAAATCCAGGAAATTCCAGGAAAATTCAGAAAAAATCCTAGAAAATCCAGGAAATTCCAGAAAAATCAAGGAAATTTCAGAAAAAAATCCAGGAAAACCCATGAAATTCCAAGAAAATCCAGGAGAGCAGAGCTTGTTGTGATTGCAGCACACTCCCCAAAGCCATTCCCAGGGATTTTCAGCACTTTGGGTGCTCGAGCAGGAGGAATTCTGCAGCCAATAATTCCTGCTCTGTTGTGCAACATCGCTGTGGACACAAGGCCTTGGTGGAAAACAAACAGACTTGGGTGAAGGAGAATTTTGGAGGTCACAGGCCCAAGGCCACAGTGAAAACCTCAAAACCTCAGCAGGATTTCCCCCCTTTTCTTTGGTCAATTAAATAAATGAATAAATAAATGGCTTTTATTGTAATGATGAAGTGTCCAATTAAAATGGGTATCAAAATAAAACCAGTTTCATCAGCAATGTCCCATTCCTAATAAACCTTTCCGAAAAGCTTTTCCAGCTCCTGGGGCTGTGATTCACCTGAACCGGTACTTTTAGGATTTTATAAATCTGAATAAATTTTAGAAAGAGCCTGCTGTCAAAAAAAAAAACCCAAAAAGCCACCCAAAAAAAACACCAAAAAATCCACAAACCTACTGTCCAAAACTCCATACCCTGACGTGGCGGGAAGCACAGCAGGGATTTGAGTCCTTTTCCAGAGCACACTCAGGTGAAATGCCAGGTAAAAGCCTCTTAAAATGTATAAAATAAAGCAATTAAACAAGGAATTCAAACTAGAGACGCAGAATTCTACACTCCCTCAAAAAATTCCAACCCCTGGCAGCTTTCCAAGTAGTAATCCAATCAAACAATCTCTAATAAATAACAAAAAAAAAAAAAAAATCAAGGGAAAATAAGGAAAAAGCACCCCAAACTCCAAGAAATTCTTGTTTTCCCCTTGCCTCTGGCATTGCCTGCACTGTTGTTCCCAATCCAGGCAGGAAAATCAGATTATTGTGAAGGAGAAGCCGTGGTTATCAAGGCAGGAAGTTCCTTGGAAGGAAATGCTGAAGGATGTCCTCATGATAAGAGCTGCTCCAGAGTTTTCCTGACCTAATCCCACTCCAAGCCTCTCTTTTTTTTTTTTTTTCCTAAACTCAAAACAAATGTTGTAATAAATTTTGTCTCCCTGGCTCAAAAATTGAGCCCCTTGAGACGAAAAAAAGGTGTATTTATCAAATATTTGGGGGGTTAGGAACCAACTGTTTCAGCTTCTAAGTCCTGAGAAAGAAATAGTTATTTTTCTTTTTATTTTCCAGTTTTTCCACAGTGTTTTCTGGCCTTCCCTGCTTTTCTGAATTAGCCAAGATCAGGAACAAACCATGAAGGACAACAATGACATCAGGATTTCCATGGGACTCAGGGCTGCAGACTCAGGTTGGCAGCATATGAGCCGAGCAGCTTTCTGGGGATATTTTAATATTTTAATCCTGACACAAAGAGGCCCCCTTTTGTTATCAAATACGGTTTTGAGGATCACACCTGACTTTTAATGTTCAACCTGAGGGAAAACAGGGGGGAAAAGGGGATTTTAGAGCCCTCTCTGTGTAATTCCTGCAGCTGCTACAACCCCTTTGCTCCTCCATCCCTGTCTGACATCCCACCCCTGATTATGGACAGACCTCATTTCCCTGATTTTCCACCCTTGGATCAGCATTATTCCTTTCCTAACTCTTTTTTGTTGTTGTTGTTTAAGATATGAGAAGGAAAGATTTAAGACACACAGAGGGAATGGGAAACTTCAAAACCAAAAATCCTTTGATGGGTTTGTGACCCTGCTGGGATTGTTCCATAAAAACTCTGATTTCCTGGAAGCTCCTAAGGAGATTACACTCACTTCCTCCTCATCTGGGCCGAGTGTTTACCAACAGCAGATTAAATTGGCTTGCACAGGCACAATCCCTCTGCTGGAAGGAAAATCAGCCCTAATTCAGAGCAGGAATAACCCCTCCTCCCATAAAAAATCCCAGGTTTAAATTCCTTCTGGATGGTGAAAAGGAAATCAGATTTCAGCTGGAAAAGCTCCCCTGGAACAATGTTTATGGTACACTCAGCCCCGTTGCCATGGTGATGGAACAACTCTTCCCTGCAAACAGGCCCAGAGACCCTAAAAATAAACAGCCCAGGCGAAATCCCCGTGTCAGGCAGAGGGATGGGCCAGGTGAGAAATCCCAAAAACAGCCAGAGCCTCCAAAGCAAACCCCTGCCTCGCTCAGGAGCTGCTCCTCCAAAAAAAATCCAGCCAAAACGTGAATTCAGCACTTAAAAATCAAACCCAGCTCTGGACGGTGTCCAGCCCTGCTGGGGATTTTTGGGGATGGAGAGGAAGGGAGGGTGCTGGGGGTGGAATACAGGTATGGGATGTGTGTGTGTGTACCAGAGAACACCAACTAAAAAGCAGGATTTGCAGGATTTGCATACTTTCTCCTCTGCCTCCCCTATTGATGTGGGCAGGAATCCACCCAGTTCAGACAGGGGAGTGCAGGAGGATGAAAAAAAAAATAATAGTGGTGAAGAATTTAAAAAAAACAACAAAAAACAACCAAACAAAAACCCAGCAGCCATCGGATCCAAGCAGCCCTTGGAGCCAAATAACCAAATCCTGGATCCAGACAATGGCTGCAAAGCCCTGCACCCAAAAATCTCCTGCACCCAAAGATTCCCTGCATCCCACCCAGCAAGACCTGGACCCAAACAGCCAATTTCTGCACCCAAAATTTTCCTGGTCTCACCAAGCAACACCTGGACCCAAACAAACTCCAGGATTCCACTGAGCAATCCCTGGATTTGAACAGCTCCTAGACCCAAACAAGCAATTCCTGCACCTAAAAAAGGTCCTGCATCCCACTACCCAGCCTCTGGATCCCAAAATCGCCAGGATCTCAACCTCCAACTCCCAACAAACCCTGGATCAAAAAAAACCAATTCCTGGATCCCAAAATCTCCAGGATCCCACCAAGCAACGTCTGGATCCCAAAACCTCCCGAATCCCAACATCTGACTCCAAACATAACCTGGATCCCAAAAACCAGTTCCTGGACCCAGAAACCTCCAGAATCCCAATATCTGACTCCAAACAACCCCTGGACCAAAAAAAACAGCTTCTGGATCCCAAAATCTCCAGGATCCCACCGCCCAGCCTCTGGATCCCAAAACCTCCCGAATCCCAACATCTGACTCCAAACAAGCCCTGGACCCTAAAAACCAGTTCTTGGACCCAAAAACCTCCAGGATCCCACAAATCAACCTCTGGATCCGAAATCCCAACACCGGACTCCAAACATCCCCTGGACCCTAAAAACCAATTCCTGGACCCAAAAGCCTCCAGGATTCCACCAAGTAACGCCTGGATCCCAAAATCTCAGGATCCAAACATCTGACTCCAAACATCCCCTGGAGCCCGAAAAACAGCTCCTGGACCCCAAAACCTCCAGGACCCAACATCTGACTCCGAACAACCCCTGGACCAAAAAAAAACAGCTTCTGGATGCCAAAATCTCCAGGATCCCACCACCCAGCCTCTGGATCCCAAAATCTCCAGGATTCAACCTCCAACTCCCAACAAACCCTGGACCCAAAACAATTCCTGGATCCCAAAAACCTCCAGAATCCCAACATCTGACTCCAAACAACCCCTGGATCCTAAAAACCAGCTCCTGGACCCAAAAACCTCCAGGATCCCACCAATCAACCTCTGGATCCGAAATCCCAACATCGGACTCCAAACATCCCCTGGCCCTAAAAACCAATTCCTGGACCCAAAAAGCTCCAGGATCCCACCAAGCAACGCCTGGATCCCAAAACCTCCAGAATCCCAACATCTGACTCCAAACAACCCCTGGACCAAAAAAAATAGCTTCTGGATCCCAAAATCTCCAGGATCCCACCAAGCAACGCCTGGATCCCAAAATCTCAGGATCCAAACATCTGACTCCAAACATCCCCTGAAGCCCGAAAAACAGCTCCTGGACCCCAAAACCTCCAGGACCCAACATCTGACTCCAAACAAGCCCTGGACCCTAAAAACCAGCTCCTGGACCCCAAAACCCTCCAGGATCCCGCCAAGCACCCCCAGGACAGAGCCAAGCCCCCAACCCCGGAGCCAAACCGCAGCCCCGGGGCGGCGCGGGGGGCACCGCCCGGCGCTCCCCCCGCGTCCCGCCGCCCCCGCTCACCGAGGAGGAGCCCCGCCGGTGCCCGGGAGCGGTCGGTGCCGGTGCCGGTGCTGCCCCCGCCGTGCCTCATGCCCGGCCCGGCCGCCGGGGCCGCATCCCGGGCGGGCAGCGCGGCGCGGCCGCTTCCACACGGCCGGGGGCGCGCGCGCGGCAGGGACCCTCCGCGGCCGCCGTAGCGCCGCTTCCGCCCACGGGCCCGCGGGGCTCGCGGGAGGCGGCCAATCGGAGTGCGGCACAGAGAAGGCGCGGACCAATGGAAGGGCGCGCTACGGGTGAGGGGCGGGGCCGAGGGCGGGGCCTGGGGCGCGGGCGGGACGCGCGGTCCCGGTGCCCGGGCCGGGCCATGTGCGCGGGCCCGGCCCGAACGGACCCGAACGGGCCCGAACCGGCCTCGAATGGCCCCGAACCGGCACAGAACCGACCCCGAACCGGCCCCGAACTGCCCAGAACTGCCCAGAACCGGCACAGAACCGACCCCGGACGAGCCCGAACCGGCCCCGAACTGCCCAGAACCGGCACAGAACTGCCCAGAACCGGCACAGAACCGACCCCGAACGAGCCCGAACCGCCCCGAACCGGCCCCGAACTGCCCCGAACCGGCCCTGAACTGCCCAGAACCGGCACAGAACAGACCCCGAACGAGCTCGAACTGCCCCGAACCGACCCCGAATTGCCCAGAACCGGCCCCGAACTGCCCAGAACCAGTCTCGAATGGCCCCGAACCGACCCCAAACGGGTCCAAACTGCCCAGAATGGTCCCGAACCGACCCCAAATAGCCCCGTACAGCCTTGAACTGGCCCCAAATAGCCCCGAACCGACCCCAAACCGGCCTCGAATGGCCCCGAACCGGCACAGAACCGACCCCAGACGAGCCCGAACTGCCCCGAACCGGCCCCGAACTGCCCAGAACTGGTCTCGAATGGCCCCGAACCGACCCCAAACGGGCCCAAACTGCCCCGAATGGTCCCGAACCGACCCCAAATAGCCCCGTACAGCCTCGAACTGGCCCCAAATGGCCCCGAACCGACCCCAAACGGGCCCAAATTGCGCCGAATGGTCCCGAACCGACCCCAAATAGCCCCGTACAGCCTCGAACTGGCCCCAAATGGCCCCGAACCGACCCCAAACCGCCCTGAACCGGCCCCGAATGGCCCCGAACCACCGTGAACGGCCCTGAACAGGCCCAAACCAACCCATGTTGGCTGTTCCCAATGTTGGATATTCCCAGATGCTGGATATTCCCAATACTGGCCATTCCCAGTGCTAACTAATCCCAATGCTGGCTATTCCCAATGTTGGGCATTCCCAATATTGGCTATTCCCAATGCTGACCATTCTCAGATGCTGGATATTCCCTATATTGGCCATTCCCAGATGTTGGCTATTCCCAGATGCTGGCCATTCCCAGATGTTGGATATTCCCAATGTTGGCCATTCCCGGATGTTCCCGTGGCTCACCACTGGCGATGTCCTTGCCCTGCCCAGGCTGAGGCACAGCAGGAGGGATGCCTCACGTTGCCTCACATTTTGGATTTTCTATTTTTCAGGTTCTGTTCTACTTTAGTGTGCAGTTCTGAGATTTGTATTATGGGATGGTGAGCTCGCTTCACAGAGCAGGGAGACAAAACAATTCCTGCTCCAGCTGGGGACCAAGGACAAGTGATCCGAATCTCAGCCCTCTCTATGATCCAAATTTCAAATTATCCAAATCTCAGGCCCAGCAGCACAAACAACGTGGGCTGGAGAGAGAAAAACAAGGATGGGACTGCCTGGGTTAAAGCTGGAATTGGACAATGAACTCCAAGGTGCAAATGGAGCAGAACTGGTAAAAGTGACACACCCCGTGACCTGCTGTGCATTTTGTGACCATTTTGGATTCTGCTGCCCAAGGTGGATCCATTGAGGCCTCTGAATAAATCCCTGCTTTATTCTTTAGCTCTGTCCAGTCTCTGCTCCAGCTCAGCCTTCCCAAGGCTCCAGCTCCTTTCAGCTGCTCCTGCACTGCCCTGGAATGGTTTGGGGTTTGAGGGAGGACAGGGGTTTCCCCGAGCACATTGTCACAGGGAGAGAGGAAGTTTTCAGCCAGGCTGACCATTAGTTATTCATTTACAGAAGCTCATTTTCTTTTAAAATGCAGCAGAGTTAAGAGAGTTTTTTGTGTTTTTCCCATCTCCACTTAAAAAAACCCCAAAAAACAAAAAAAAAACCCAAAAAAACCAAACCCCAAAAAAAAAAAACCCAAAACCAAACAAAAAATTCATTTACAGAGCCTCATTCTCTTTTAAAATGGAGCAGATTTAAGAGTTCTTTGTATTTTCCCAACTTCACTTAAAAAAAAACCAAAAAAAAACCAACACAAAAAACCAAACCCCAAAAAAATAAAAAAAACAACCAAAACCAACCAAAAATTCATTTACAGAAGTTCATTTACAGTTCATTTACAGAGCCTCATTCTCTTTTAAAATGCAGCATATTTAATAGAGTTCTTTGTGTTTTTCCCAACTTCACTTAAAAAAAACAACCCCAAAATACAAAAAAAACCCAACCAAAAAAAAAAAAAAAACCCAAAAAAAACCAACACCAAAAAACACAAAACAAAACACCAAAACTGAAAGGGATCAGGTAGGCAGGACAATGAAAGGAGGAAAAGAAACAAAAAGTCCTCCAGAATCAGTTTTCTCAGCTTTCAAAATAATTAAAGCCCTCTGATGTAAAAGCCTGGACATTTCCCTTTTTCTTTTTCCTGTGGAAAGCATCAGGCAGTGTTTGCACTTTATCAGAGCTGCTTTTCCCAGGGGAATGCCCGAGCCAGGAACATCTGGGGGCTCCTCCTCCCCCCAGCTGCCCTGACACCCCTCCAGGTTTTCCCCTCTTTTCTGCCCCCCTCTTCACCCTGAGCTCCTTTTCCTCACCAAACCCCAGAACAAAAAGGGAAATCGAGCAAAACCCTCCCAGGCTCTTCCTGTCGAGTCACAGGTGGGAGCTGTGCCAGCATCTCCAGCCCAGCTCAATCCCATTTTTTTTTTATTTTTGGGACAGCTCCAGCACCTGGCTGTGCACAGCTGGCTCCCAAATCCAGCTGGTTCCTCCAGTGGGGATGGAAAAATCTCCTTTGGGAACGCAAAGGGCAGAGCTCCACCACTCCACATCCTCCCCTGCCTTTGCCTCCACTCCCCACCAGCAAAATCCGCCAAAATTTTGGCACTCGGGGGAAAAATGCAGGAGCTGAACCCCCCAAGAAAAAGCAGCACAGAGAGGGGCAGCACCCAAAAATCAACCCCAAAGCTCCTAAAGCTGCATCCACGGGGGTGGCTCCAGTGACAATCAACCTATTTTTATTTTAGGGGGATAAGAAATTTCCTACTTCGTGCAACTCCCATTTTGTTCTGCTCCCACTGCCGGGTGTTTGCAATTCAACGTGGGCTTGTTCCTATCTTAGACAGCATCAGCCCAAGGAAAAAATATAGGACAGACAAAGGGATGGAATAAAAATCAAGCAGAGAACGAGGCAGGGTTTGGGAGGAATAAAGAGGAAAAGAGCTCATGTGCAAAGAGATTTTAGGAAAGCAGCTCCCGTGTAAACAGCTCCCATTTGAACGGGGAAGAGGCAGCAGAAAAGGGAAAATAAACATGTTTAATTGGGGATTTCTGGTGAATGTTAATCAGGTGGCAGCACTTGGAAAATGGATTTTGCGATTTCTGAGGCAAGGGGCAGAATCCTGACAGGATACAGAGCCCCAGTTGTAGGAAAACACAGGACAGCCCAGGCAGGGGAGCTCAGAGAATTCCAAAATTTATCCAAACCCTCCCTGCAGGGCTCTGGCTTGGCCATCACGGGGCTGGAGAGGAGGAATGGGAGCTCAGGGAAAGCCAGGACTTGGTGCAGCAGCTGATCCCAGCATGGGGAGCTGGCTCTGGGTGCCAACAGCCAGGTGTGTGCTGGGGGAGGCAGGAACCTCCCCTGAAATGGGAAATGCAAACCCCCTCCCGCCTGGTTATTGTGGTTTTGAAATTAAGGGGTTCTTAGGTAAAGATATGGGAATAGGAATAGCAGTTCTTTACTGGGAAAATTAAAAATATAAATGCAATAGTACAAAAAAAAAAAAAAAAAACCCAACAAAAAACAAACCACTGCCAGAGTCGGAACAAAAGGAATAGGAATAACAGTTCTTTTTTGGGAAAATTAAAAATACAAATGCAATAGTACTGAAAAACCCAAAAACCAAACCCCTGCCAGAATCAGTCAAACCCAAAAAACAAACCACTACCATAGTCAGAACAGAGTCAGAACAAAAGGAACAGGAATAACAGTTCTTTATTGGGAAAATTAAAATACAAATGCAATAGTACCAAAAAACTCCAAAAAACAAACCACTGCCAGAGTCAGAACAAAAGGAATAGGAATACCAGTTCTTCACTGGGAAAATTAAAAATACCAGTGCAATAGCACAAACAAAAACCCCAGAAAACAAACCATTGACAGAGTCAGTCAAACCCCAAAAAACAAACCCCTGCACAAGGGGGAGTTTCCTTCTGGAGCTCCAGGGCTGGGGGAGATGGGCCTGGGCTCCTCTGGGAATGCCGTGGGCAAAGGCTGTTCTGGTGTCCCAAAATCCCAGATTGTATCCAGGTAGGAATTCTTGGCTCCTCCCCTGGGTGGAGCATCTCCCCATGGGATGATGGAATTTTCTCAGCCATGCAGGGACACTCAGTGGCCATGAACAGAAGATAACTAATAATTAATGGCTCATGAACATAAGATAATTAATAATTAATGATGAATCTCATGAAAGAAGAGATCTCCTGGAGGTGAGATTGGGTGTGGCAGAGATAAAGAGAACTGCCCATCTGACAGATGGCAAATTTCTGCGAGCAGCAGAAACTCCTCCAAGAACTGCATTTCCCCATAATACAAATGAAACCTGGAAGGGAGAATCATTAATAAAAATCCAGTTCTGACTTTATTAGGGGGGAAAAAAAATTTAAAAATTTAAAAAGCAGAAAGAACCCCCTAAGGCTGTGATCCATCTTAGGGCTGTATTTCCAAAGGGGCTTTAAAGCAGGGTTGGCAGTAGCCCTTGGCTCATCCTGCAGGATGAGCAGCCAGCACGAGCTCCATGTGGGCAGCCCGGGGATGTCACTGCTGTCACTCGTGCTGCCGGGGAGGGAGGGAGGCAGGGTGGGCTCTGCTGCTCCTGCTTTCCCCACAGCCCCAGCTGCAAATTTAGCAACAGCGCCTGAGCTCCTCTTTGTGCTCTCCCACGTCCTGCCCTGCTCCAGCTCCGGCTGCCTGCATGGAGTTCTTCAGAAGCTCTGCTTAGCAACCTGGCAGCCCTGGATGCATCCTCTGCTGCCATCCCAACTCCTGCCATCCCCTCCTGCATCCCAACTCCTGCCATTCCCTTCTGCCATCCTGCTCCTGCTATCCCAACTCCTGCCATCCCCTCCTGCCATCCCAACTCCTGCCATTCTCCTCCTGCCATTCCCTTCCTGCCATCCCAACTCCTGCTATCCCACTCCTGCCGTTCCCTTCTTGCCATTCCCACTTCTTCCTATTCCCACTCCCATTTCTTCCATCCCTACTCCTTCCCATTCCCCTCCTGCTGTTCCCGGTTCTCCCATTCCCACTCCTGCCATACCATTCCCTTTCCTCCTATTCCCACTCCTTCCCATTCCCCTCCTGCCATTCCTGGTCCTGCCATTCCCACTCTTCCCATTCCTAGTCACGCCATCCCATTCCCACTCCTCCCAGTCCCACTCCTGCCACTCCATTCCCCTCCTGCCGTTCCCACTCCGGCCATTCCTGGTTCTCCCATTCCCACTCCTGCCATTCCATTCCCACCCTTTCCCATTCCATCCCCTTCCTGCCATTCCCCTCCTCCCGCAGGGAATCTGTGGCCAGCACAGGGCCCCCCTCCCTTTCAGCCCCCCTCAAGGTCCAGGTGATGCCCCATGACACCCCTGTCCCTCCCCAGTGACACCCCTGTCCGCTCCCGGCTCCCAGCGGGAATATTTCCGTGGAGCACCATCCTCAGTGGAGCAAAGGAGGGGAAATTACCTGTCGGAATCTGAGGTATTGATGATCCCGAAATGTAGAAAGTCTCTGTCTGTCAGCCCCGCTGCCAAAGCAGAAGCCATAATTGGTCTGTGCTGTTTCAAGGTTGTTTATTCTGTTTATCTCTAACATGTTCTGCTGCCCTGCCGCAGCTCTGTCCTGCAGGGCAGCGTGTGGGGCTCTGCCCTCAGTGGGATGGTACAAACATCAAATACCAGAAACTTCGTGTGCTGTCCCAACCTCTCCAACCTCTTCTGCCCAAACCTCTCCAACCTCCGAGGTCCCAACCTGCCCTCCACAGTGCAGCTCAGAGCTGATCTGACCTCCTTGATGCGTTTTGGGCACGACTCAGGTCCCATCCTGCAGCAGCTCAAGGGCAGCACGTGGAGCTGTGCCCTGCCAGGGCATCGGGGCACCAGCGGGAGGGCGCGAGCACAGCCCGGCTGGGAGCCTGCGGGCACGGAAAGCCAGCCTGAGATGGGCTGGCACAAAAAGCCAGCCTGGGACGGGCTGGCACAGCTACATGGGAAGGGCACCGGGCCCTGCTGCAGCTCCTGACGCTGCTCTGTGTTTGCACAAGCGCCTCCTTCCCTCCCAGGTGTTTGCAGAAGCTCGGGGAGTTGGCACCACAGCCAGGAGCTGGACTTTCATTAACCAGAGGGCAAACAGGAGGAGGACATCAGCAGCCTGGGAGCTGCTCTGCTGCCCTGGCAGGAGCTGCCAGCTCCTCCAGGCTCCTCACACCTCCGTGTCTCTCCTTGGAAATGTCCTTCTGCAGTGGGAAGGGCTTTGCTGGTGCTGCTTGCTGTTCTCCTGGTGGCTTTGAGGCTCCACAAAATCCATCTTTTGTCCCTCTCACCTTGCCAAGCACCCAGAGGAAAAAAAACCCCAACAAAAGCAGATTTAGGGACAAAACAACCACACTGAAAGTGTCAATGTCCACTTCAGGTGCTGCACAGCACCGACCCCCATCCATCCCCATTCCATCAGAGACGGATGGACAGCACACAGGGAACGGCTCCCACTGCCAGAAAAAAGGGATAAATGGGATTTTGGAAGGGATTCCTGGCTGGGGGGGGCATGAGGGGCTGGGATGGACAATCTGTGGCTGCCCCTGGATCTCTGAGGTGTCCAAGGAGTACCCTGGGATGGTGGGAGGTATCCCTGCCCACGGGATGAGCTTTAAGGTCCCTCCCAGCCCGAGCCATTCTGGGATTCTGGGATTTTCAAACGCCTGATTCCTGTTTTACAGTGTGACCCCGACCTTCCTACACACCCCCAAATCCACACTAATTTCCATCACGTGTATTTCAAAGAGCAGGGCCAGCAACAACTTGGGAATATCATCACCCTTGAAAAGAGGGACAGCAAAGTCTCCTGCCTGCCCAGGATCATTTCCCCCTCCTCAGCAGCGGTTTCTGCTCTGTTTCCCTGGCTCGGGCTGGGCTGGCAGGGATGAGCAGCAGGAATTAATTCCAGCTCCCCGCTGGAAGTGTCTGTGGGCTGCAGGACTCGCCCCGGTGCATCTTCAGGTGCTTGGCCAAGTGGTCACTGCGGGCAAACTTCTTCTGACAGGCTGGGCACTGGTGGGGCTTGAGCCCGGAGTGGGAGCGCCTGTGGTGGGAGAGCTCATCCGAGTGGGAGAACCTGCAGGAGGAAGGGCAGCGCTGGATTTGGGGCACAGGGACCCTGGCACAGCCTCCCGGGGCACCCCAGAGCGGGCAGAGACACCCCCAGCTCCCGAGATCAACCCTTCCGAGGGTTTGGGAATGGAATTCATTCACCCACTGAGATGTGAGTTTCTTTCCCTTGCTCTCAAAGGATGCTGTCCACCTACTTCCTCCGTTTGTTTTCCCTCGCTGGAACCTTCCGGCAGCGCTGATTAAAAATTGGTTTTTTGGGACAAGAGCTCAGGCTGGCAGTGGCCAAAGGCCACGGACCGGGAGCCTGGGTGGGAATGCCTCCCTGGAATTCCACATCCAGCCCGGAGCAGCAGCGGGGAGGGAAGGTTGGCTCTCCCCGGGGTGCTGCAGAATTTCTGAGAGAGAAAGGGCATGATTTATGTCTGGAGTGAGAATTGAGCTGCCCCTCAGACTGATAAGCGGCCTTGGTGGGGCCTAGAAGCCTTTGACGCAGTGAGAATTCAGTTGTGGCGCAGTTAGAAATTATGTTAGGGTAATTACAAAGTAATGAGCTATCGGAGTGTGAATTAGAGAAGAGCTGCAGTGTGGAAAATAAGACAGATAAACAACGTTAGTGTGCCAATCAGAGTGCCTTTGTAAACTGTAAATGATATAGAAGTGTATATAAGTGCCATCTTCTCTGGAATAAACGGAGAACGTTGCATTAACCATATTGGTTGGATGTGAGTTCTGTCCTGTCCGGCTTTCCCAATTTCTGAGGTCCCTGGCTTTGGCGGGGCTGTGGATTCTCCCCGCAGCCCCCCGCCCTCGGGGACCCCGCTGACCTCCAGCCGCAGTTGGGCCAGGCACAGCCGTGGGGTTTCTCGCTGCTGTGGCATTGGAGATGAGCCTTCAGGTGGGAGCTCCTGGAATAAACCTTCCCTGAGCCCGGGTGGGAGCAGCGGTGCGTGCAGAGCGGGGATGGGGAGCCCTGCTGGCACCAGGGGGCTGCCTCAGCCCCCCGCGCCTCCCCCAGACCCATGGCCACCGGCAGTGGGGCAATCCGGACGTGTTTTTGGTCCAGGATGGTGCCAGGGGGCTGGGGATGAGGGAGGAGGGGCAGGTTTGGGCGCTGCAGGCTGATCGCAGCTGGGCCAGCCTGACACACCCGGGATGTGCCAGGGGGGTGATGCTGTCCGTGGGGAGAGGCTGGAGGTGCAGGACAACCGGGATGCTGCCAGCAGCCAGCACCTGGTCACCAGCAGCTGTCCCCACAGCGGCTAGGACCTGTCCTCCTCCTCCTCCTCCTCCTCCTCCTCCTCCTCTTCCTCCGTGCGCCCTGGGCATGGGCTGTGCCCAGAGCCCAGCTCGGCTTTGCTCTCCACCTTCCACCCTGCGGGGTGAGCATCTCCTGCCTCATCCCTGGGGAGCTCTGCCTTCTCCCTGAGGAACTCCTCGTCTCCTCCAGCGTGGGGATGAAGTCCTGGGAGAGGCAGAAGTCAGGCAGCTGGAGCTGAGCCTCACTGAGCTGGGCTTTGGGGGGCTCCCCCTTGGCACCGGGCAGCGGCACGGCCTCGGCGTGGCCGGTGCTGCCCGCCAGGACGTGCCCGCAGCCCTTGGGGTGGCTGCAGGTCCTGTCAGCGCCGTGTCCTGGCAGAAAGGACGGTGGCATCCTGCGCTGCAGGGCGCTGGCCAGGCTCTCAGGCAGGGAAGTGCTGGGCAGGGAGGGCAGCAGGTCCTGGCAGCTCACAGGGACCATTTGGTGCCTCCCCACGCGCTGCGTTTGGCTCAGGAGCCGCTGGGAGAGCTCAGCTGGGGAAGGCTTCGTTCATCTGCAAGGGAACAGCACCGAGGTTATTTCCAAATGAGAAAACAAACACGCAAACCTCAACCTTTTAACAAAACTGGGCTGTGCACTGAAAAGAAAACAGCAGAACCTGGCAGCGGCCTTTGTTTTGAAAGCATCTGCTGCTGAGAAAACACGGCCTGAGCGTTTTCCTCTGCTGGCTGCCAGCAAAGAGGCAGACTCCCCCCAGGAGCAAACTTCTCTGGGGAGTTTTTGGAGGTGAAAACACACAAAGAATCCCTTCATCCCTCCCCGTGCCAGCCGCGCCGGAGGGCAGCTCTGCGCTGCTGGGTGGCGCAGGGGGTGAGTCCTGATGAGCCAGGAGTTAATTGTGAGCCAGGAGAGGCTGCAGGTGTGGGCAGCAGCACGCCCTGACACACACACGGCTGGGTGAAAGCTGCCTACCTGCACAGGTAACGCCAGCCGGCCCCTGGGGATGTTCAGCCGTGCCAGGGGCACAGTGGTGCCCGGACACGCCGCAGCTCTGCCCGGGCAGGTCTGCCCAGCCTCGGCCACAGCCCCGAGAGCGGCTCAGCCCAGCTGGAGGAAAGCAGGGCCTAAACAAAGGGAATTCTTTGATTCTCACTCCAAACAGAGTCAGAATTACTTGTTAAAGCCAGACTGGAGGTGTCCCCAGACTCCTCCTGATGGTGCCCTTGGCCTGTCTGCTGCAGTCACTCCTTTCCTTTCCTTTCCTTTCCTTTCCTTTCCTTTCCTTTCCTTTCCTTTCCTTTCCTTTCCTTTCCTTTCCTTTCCTTTCCTTTCCTTTCCTTTCCTTTCCTTTCCTTTCCTTTCCTTTCCTTTCCTTTCCTTTCCTTTCCTTTCCTTTCCTTTCCTTTCCTTTCCTTCCTTTCCTTCCTTCCTTCCCTTCCCTTCCCTTCCCTTCCCTTCCCTTCCCTTCCCTTCCCTTCCCTTCCCTTCCCTTCCCTTCCCTTCCCTTCCCTTCCCTTCCCTTCCCTTCCCTTCCCTTCCCTTCCCTTCCCTTCCCTTCCCTTCCCTTCCCTTCCCTTCCCTTTCCCCCTGGGTCAGCTCCAGGGCCCTGAGAACACAAACCCCACATTTGCAAACAGCTGAGACAGAGCTCAGCATGTCCAGGAGGTCTCTGGTGGCTGTCACAGACCCCCAGGCCCCGCTGGGGCTCAGGGGATGGGAGGGAGGTGCCCAAGGACCCCCAGAGCAGCCACACACTGTCACTGTCCCCAAACAGGAGCACCAAGCCACCCAGGGCACAGGGGTCTGTTTGTATCTAATGCAGAATTGGAGTTTCCAGGGGAAAGAAAACCTTTGTCCAAATCCCACAAGAACTTTTTCCATGAGATTTCTGTGGATCTGCAAACCAGTCCGGCCAATCATTGTTGTCAGTGGTCCTCAGGGTCCTGAGAGCTGCGAGAGGGAATTTTGGAGCGCTCTGGCTGCCACGTAAATGCTCTTCTCCTTAGGAAAGAGCCCCCACGTCGTTCCAAACCTGCCAGGAGCAGGATGCAGGGGCACTCCCAGCGTGTCCAGCACAGCTCTGCACAACCAGCCCCAGTGAGCAGGGACTGTCACTGAGAGGTAAGGAGGTGTTCAGGCCAATCTCAGCCTCCAGGCTTCAAATTTTCATCACAGCCCAAATCTGTGCTCTGAACAATCTCTTCCAGGCAGCTCCACTCCAGTTTTAGGATCTTTTGTCTTTTCTTCTCCATCTCATGTTTTTGCAGGGAAAGCCTCCCCCCTCTGGCTACCAAAAGCTCCTGTTTAGCTCTCCCAGAGTGTCCTAAAACCTGATTTTCCAACCAGCTCCTGCAGAGCAGCTCGGGGTTCTCCATCCCTCCCGCATGGCCCCAGGACAGCTGAATTAAACTCTGAACTCCTCCCGGAGCATGAGCTGCCAGCAGGAATAAAACCTGACCAGAGGGCAGGAAGGTGCCGAGGTTTCGGGACTGAGGAGGTCTGAGCAGGGCAGCCTTGGGTGGGCTCTTGGAGCGCTCTGCTGCCCGGTTTCCCATCTCTTTTGGGGCACTGGTGATGCCCCAGCGGGCAGAGCAGTGCTGCGGGACAAGGTGGCACATTCCGTGTCACAGGTGTCACTGCCCTGCCGATCCGCTTTGCAAAATGCCACCGGTGCTGTCACCCGCCCCAAAGCCACCGCAAGGAAACGGAGCCCTGGCTGTGTCCCTCGCTGCAAGGGCAGCGCCGTTCCTGAGTCCCACTTTGCATTTGTGCCCCTGTGGTTTTCCCGAGCCCCAGAGCCGCGGGTTGCTGCAGGGGAGCAGCAGCTGTGCAGCCCGAGCATAGAACGGGCATGAGAGCAGCAGTTGTGCAGCCCCGAGCAGAAGGGAATGGGGCAATAGAGCAGCACCTGTGCAGCCCTGAGCATAGAACAGGCAGGAGAGCAGCAGATGTGCAGCCCGAGCATAGAACGGGCAATAGAGCAGCACCTGTGCAGCCCGAGCATAGAACGGGCAGGGGAGCAGCAGTTGTGCAGCCTGAGCAGAAGGGAATGGGCAATAGAGCAGCACCTGTGCAGCCCGAGCATAGACGGGGGCTCGGCCGCGGCCGCCGGTCCCATCGGCACCGGGATGTCCCGGAGGGGATCCCCGACCCCGCCGCCGTTGGCTTCGCTCTGGGAGCGCTTCGGGGAGATGAGGCGAGGCCCTGCAGCTGGGGGTGCCACTGGAGCCCGCGGGGATGCAGGTGTGTGGGGGGCTTGGATCCACGCGGATCCAGCTGTGCGGGTGCTTTGAATCCACAGGGATCCAGCTGTGCGGGGGGCTTTGAATCCACGGGGATCCAGCTGTGCAGGGGGCTTTGAACCCACATGGATCCACCTGTGTGGAGGGCTTTGAATCCATGTGGATACAGCTGTGTGGGGGGCTTTGAATCCAGGGAGATTCAGATGTGTGGGGGGCTTTGAATCCATGTGGATCCAGCTGTGCAGGGGCTTTGAATCCACAGGGATCCAGCTGTGCAGGGGCTTTGAATCCAGGGAGATTCAGATGTGCAGGGGCTTTGAATCCACGGGGATCCAGCTGTGGGGGGGGCTTTGAATCCAGGGAGATTCAGATGTGCAGCAGGATTAAAATCCAGGTGGGTCCAGGGTGGGGATCTTAAATGCAGAGGGATGCAGGTATGTGGGGGTTTTGAACCCACGTGAATCCAGGGTGGGGATTTTAAATCCAGGTGGATCCAGGTGTGCAGGGGGTTTTGAATCCACATGGATCCAGCTGTGTGGGGGGCTTTGAATCCATGTGGATCCAGCTGCACGGGGGGCTTTGAATCCAGGGGGATACAGATGTGTGGCAAGATTTAAATCCAGGTGGATCCAGGGTGGGGATTTTAAATCCAGGTGGAACTAGATATGTGGGGGGTTTTGAACCCATGCGGATCCAGATGTGTCAGGATTAAAATCCAGGTGGATCCAGGGTGGGGATGTTAAATGCAGAGGGATCCAGGTATGTGGGGGTTTTGAACCCACATGAATCCAGGGTTGGGGTTTTAAATCCAGGTGGATCCAGGTGTGCGGGGGGGTTTGGGCAGGGCCGTAGCACTCGGATGCTGCTGAGGGGACAAGGAATGAGGTGTGTCCTTGTCGTGGCTTTGGGGTCCCTGGGGGTGGCTTTGGGCTGAGCCCCACCAAGCCACACCGAGTTCCTCTGCTCCGGGAGAAATGTCAGATTTTGGGTGTGAACAGAACACCCGGGCCAGGGGAAGGCTTCAAATTTATAAAAACCAAAACAAAATGAACATAACCTAAAGGTGCACAGAAAGGGCGACCCGTGGCTGTTCCCCAGGTGTGTCACTGCCCCCGTGTCACATTGATAATAATTAATAATACTCATTTATGGCCTGGCAGGGCTTGGGAAGGTCTCAGCTCCTCAGAATCCTCAGGTTCAGTCACGGAGGGCTTTGATTTACACCGTGTCACAAAATTCCTGGGGACAACAGCCGGGAGCGGCTCCTCCTCGGGATCGGAGCTTTTTTTGGGGGAAAAGGAGCGGCTTTGCGGTTCCACGGCCGCGGGGAAGAGCCCGTCCCTTGCCCCGGGGACACCGGTGCCACCGGGACCTGCGACATCCCGGCTTGGAGCCCTCCTGGCCACGCCCATTATGCTGATTTCCCTGCCCATGTCCCCACCCACAAAACACTGACCCCGCCCCCGTCCCCACCCTCTCATTACCTCACACCGCCCCTTTGTCCCTGGCCACGCCCTAATTACTCCTCCCCAATTAAACCCCGCCCTCAACCCCGCCCATGCCCCACCCATTCACTGGCCCCGCCCCCTGACCTTACTCCCCGTCCCAAAAGTGACATCCAAGCCACGCCCCTCGGCCACGCCCAGGCTCTCAACCCCTCCCCTCATTGGTTGCTCACACCCCAAATCTCACCCCTCAAAAATTGGCCACGCCCCCACCATGTCCGTAATTCTCTGGTCACGCCCCATGCAATGCCAATCATGCTTTGGCCACGCCCACATAGTGATGTCATTCATTGGCCACGCCCACTACACGCCATCATTCGTTGGCCACGCCCACCACAATTAGTCAATACTTGGCCACGCCCATCACAATTAGTCGATACTTGGCCACGCCCCCTTGACGTCACTCATCTCTTGGCCACGCCCACACCCCGCGATGTTGGCGCCCCCCCGTGGTCAGCTCAGGCATTTTTCCCTTTTTTTTCCACACCTTTTATTTTTCCCCTCCCCTTTTTCCCCCATAAAAATTTATAATAAAAGCCTTCCTCTCGCGCCGTATACAAAATATTCACTCTAGCCAATAAATAAACCACGAACGTCTCGCGGGCAGGATGTGACCTCGAAAAGGAAAACCAGCATCCATCCATCCCCCCAGTCCTTCCCTAGACTAGGGAATTTACACAACAGCGCTCCCCCCTCCACCTTCCAAAGTGGACAAGGGAAAGGTGAGGCACGATTCACCTGTGAGGAAGAGAAAAGCTCCTGCTCAGCAGCTCTGAGGAGCTCGTACCCAAACCTGTGGCCAGACAGGACCAAATCCTAGAGAAATTCTGTGGTCACACAGGGAATACCAGTAACAGCAGGTAAGGGATGCTCTTACCCAGACCAAAACATCCATTGCTGGTCTTACATGTGATCCTGGCACAGAAATTTTCTTTGAAGAAGCCAAAAAAGCTGATTTTGTAAAGATTTCCTTGTCCTCCTGCTCTCTCATGCTGATCTCCCATTATAAGCCCTGGCTCTGCCCCTCTCTGACTGTTTTTTATCACCTGAGGGTTTGAAACAATTTAAGGCCTTTCCCACCAAACCCCTTCACCTGAAGCTCAGTGTGGAAGCACTTTAGGCACTTAAACTATCAAAAACATTTGAGCATCAGAGCAGCCTCTGTGCAAAAAAAGTTCCTCAAATTCAATATTTAAAATAAAAGGCTTTTTGGTCTTGGGTCGGGGGGGAATTTGTTCGAGGACACCCCAGCTCTGGCAATAGGATTTTGTCTCAAAAGACAAAGAGCTCGGGGTAGGAAGTGCAGACCCCAAAACTGTTTCTGGAAGTGGTTAAGGCACTGCCAAATCCGTCCCCAAAGCAGCTGCGAGTCAGCACGCAGCCCTTGCTGTGGGAAAGGGAGGCTGGCAGCCTTTAATTTGAGAAGAACTAAAACAAAAACAGTGACCCCTGACGGGAAAGGGACGGTTCCAAACCTTTGAGGGCCCGGCTCAGACAGCAGGGGAGTCACCCTGCCAAGGAACAGGCTGACAAAACTCGGCCAAAATAGCAACATTTCACCCTCCAGCCCAACCTCACAAGTGCCTCTGGCTGCCCACACACCTCCACAAAAATAAAATTAGTCCCAAACAGCTCGTTGAGGCCAGGCAGAGCTGAGGACTGCTGGAGTTTGTGTGCTCACAGCACCAGCCCAGCCTCTCCTCCTGACCTGGGGTCGTTCCTGACTTGGGCCAGCTCCTCTTGGAGGGGCAGGGACCTGCCAGCAGCAGGTTTGTCCCAGCTGGGACACTGGGGACAGGGAATGGGGCTGGCCAGGGCACCTGGGCTCTGCTGCCAGCAGGAAGGGACTCGAGCTGGGAGCCAGAACAGCCTGGACACCCCTGGAGGGATGGGAGCCAGAACAAGCTGGATGTCCCTGGAGGGATGGGTCAGGAACAGCCTGGGCATTCCTGGAGGGTTTGGGTCAGGAAATCAACCTGGGCAGCCCTGGAGGGATGGAAGCCAGGAAAATCTGGATATCCCTGGAGGGATGGGAGCCAGGAAAACCTGGATATCCCTGGAGGGATGGGTCTGGAAATCAACCTGGATATCCCTGGAGGGATGGGTCAGGAGAACAGCCTGGGCATTCCTGGAGGGATGGGCCAGGAACACCCTGGGCACCTGTGGAAGGATGGATCAGGAAATCAACCTGGGCATTCCTGGAGGGGTGGGAGCCAGGAAAACCTGGATATCCCTGGAGGGATGGGTCTGGAAATCAACCTGGATATCCCTGGAGGGATGGGAGCCAGAACAAGCTGAGCACCCCTGGAGGGATGGATCAGGAACAGCCTGGCACCCTGGAGGGTTTGGGTCAGGAACAGCCTGGCATCCCTGGACGGTTTGGACCCTGAGTCAGGGCAGCAAGAGGAGCTTTGCCTGACTCTGACAAGGCTTTGCTCTGCCTCTGTGAGAATATGGACTCCTGACTGGTAATAAAATACATTTTAAGCAAGCCCAGGGGCAGTGAGCAGCTGCAGGTCTGAGTTTAACTCATCAGCAGCTCCCCCAGGCCTTCAGGAGAGCTCGTCCTGCTCTGCTGCACCAGCACAGGGCTGAAAACCCCTCTGGGACCCACCTCCCTTGTGTGTGGCAGCACCTTTTAGGGACCACGTGTGCAAGAGGCACAATATCACGAGTGGAGAGAGCAAATGCAGGCACTGAGGTGAGGAGAGACTGAGAACTGTGTGAAGAAAGATAAAAACAATCATTAAAAAAAATTAAAAATAAAAGCTCAGAAGTTGTCTCTACCTGATGTAAGCTGGTACGTAGGTAAAGGTTAAGTCACCTTTTGGAACTGGTCCTAATGGGATGTTCCTTGTTTTTCCCAAAACAAGGCACAGTAACTTTTCTCCTGGTTGGTTTTGGATGGAGGTGGGGAAGGCCAGGAGGGCAGAAGTGTGGGGGTACACCTGGGCACCCCCTCGGCCCCACAGCCAAACCTCGGCTGCCCCACTGCTCTTTTACCCCAGGAAATCTCCTCCCGGGGAGGGGAGGGGAGGGGAGGGGAGGGGAGGGGAGGGGAGGGGAGGGGAGGGGAGGGGAGGGGAGGGGAGGGGAGGGGAGGGGAGGGAGAGGAGAGGAGAGGAGAGGAGAGGAGAGGAGAGGAGAGGAGAGGAGAGGAGAGGAGAGGAGAGGAGAGGAGAGGAGAGGAGAGGAGAGGAGAGGAGAGGAGAGGAGAGGAGAGGAGAGGAGAGGAGAGGAGAGGAGAGGAGAGGAGAGGAGAGGAGAGGAGAGGAGAGGAGAGGAGAGGAGAGGAGAGGAGAGGAGAGGAGGGAGAGGAGAGGAGAGGAGAGGAGAGGAGAGGAGAGGAGAGGAGAGGAGAGGAGAGGAGAGGAAGAGGAGAGGAGAGGAGAGGAGAGGAGAGGAGAGGAGAGGAGAGGAGAGGAGAGGAGAGGAGAGGAGAGGAGAGGAGAGGAGAGGAGAGGAGAGGAGAGGAGAGGAGAGGAGAGGAGAGGAGAGGAGAGGAGAGGAGAGGAGAGGAGAGGAGAGGAGAGGAGAGGAGAGGAGAGGAGAGGAGAGGAGAGGAGAGGAGAGGAGAGGAGAGGAGAGGAGAGGAGAGGAGAGGAGAGGAGAGGAGAGGAGAGGAGAGGAGAGGAGAGGAGAGGAGAGGAGAGGAGAGGAGAGGAGAGGAGAGGAGAGGAGAGGAGAGGAGAGGAGAGGAGAGGAGAGGAGAGGAGAGGAGAGGCACTGTTTGATCCCCTCCCTGTGCTGCTCCTGCTCAGGAACACGACCCGTTATCAGAGGGAAACCCCAATTCCCTTCTCCCCCCTGCAGAACCCCTTTGGTGCTGCTGTGCCCTCTGCTAAAGGCACCTTTGGAAAGCACTTCAGGCCCTGAGGACAACACCCCAAAGCCTCTTATTTACACCTGAGATTAACCCCGTGCTGCCCACAGCCCCAGAGCCACCCCGGGGTGGCAGCCCCAGCCTGGGGCCGGCCGGTGCCACGCGAGGCGCCCCACGAGTGGCCCTGTGGGCACACACACACACACACACACACAGAGCTGGTGCCCCACGGCTGCCCTGCTGTCACACGGAGCACTTGGCCATGTCACCCTTGTCAAAGACGACTTTGGTTGCGAAGTAGATGGCGACCAGGCCCAGCCCAGCTGCCGACACCATGTAGGCAGTGACGGACTGGGTGAACTGGACGATGGAGCCCATGAAGAGCGAGGGCACCACCTGGGAGAGGAGGAAGGCGCTGTCCAGGATGGCCAGGTCCAGGCAGATCCCCCGGCCAGGAGCCCCCGGCTCCGGCTCTCCCACCACCATCCGCAGGGAGACGTCGCAGGGGGAGCCGACGCACAGAGCAGAGCTGGGCACGGCCGGAGGGGAGGCTGGGGAGGAGGAGGGTGGGGAGGAAGGTGAGGAGGAGGAGGAGAAGAGGCTCCCAGTGTGGCCATTCTGGTAAGACAGCTTCTGGCTGGAGAGCAGCCCCTTGGAGAAGGCTGATTTCTTGTCCTGCAGAGTGGCGTCTTCCTCCTCTTTCCTCTTGTATTTATGCAGAAACACCTGTGGGAGGCAGGGAGGTGAGTGAGGAGGGAGTTGGGGCTCTGGGAGGTGAGTGAGGAAGGAGATTGGAGTCTGGGAAGTGAGTAGGGAAGGAGTTGGGGCTCTGGGAGGTGAGTGAGGAGGGAGTTGGGGCTCTGGGAAGTGAGTAGGGAAGGAGTTGGGGCTCTGGGAGGTGAGTGGGGAAGGAGTTGGGGCTCTGGGAGGTGAGTGAGAAAGGAGATTGGAGTCTGGGAAGTGAGTAGGGAAGGAGCTGGGGCTCTGGGAAGTGAGTAGGGAAGAAGTTGGGGCTCTGGGAGGTGAGTGGGGAAGGAGATTGGAGTCTGGGAAGTGAGTAGGGAAGGAGTTGGGGCTCTGGGAGGTGAGTGGGGAAGGAGATTGGAGTTGGGGAAGTGAGTAGGGAAGGAGTTGGGGCTCTTGGAGGTGAATGAGGAGGGAACTTGGGCTCTGGGAGGTGAATGAGGAAGGAGCTGGGGCTCTGGGAGGTGCATAGGGAAGGATTTGGGGCTCTGGGAGGTGAATGAGGAAGGAGTTGGGGCTCTGGGAGGTGAATGAGGAAGGAGTTGGGGCTCTGGGAGGTGAGTGAGGAGGGAGTTGGGGCTCTGGGAGGTGAGTAGGGAAGGAGTTGGGGCTCTGGGAGGTGAGTGAGGAAGGAGTTGGGGCTCTGGGAGGTGAGTGAGGAAGGAGTTGGGGCTCTGGGAGGTGAGTAAGGAAGGAGTTGGGGCTCTGGGAGGTGAGTAGGGAAGGAGTTGGGAGTCTGGGAGGTGAGCAGGGAAGGAGCTGGCGCTCTGGGAGGTGAGTGGGGAAGGAGTTGGGGCTCTGGGAGGTGAGTGGGGAAGGAGCTGGGGCTCTGGGAGGTGAGTAGAGAAGGAGATTGGAGTCTGGGAAGTGAATGAGGAAGGAGTTGGGGCTCTGGGAGGTGAATGAGGAAGGAGTTGGGGCTCTGGGAGGTGAGTAGGGAAGGAGTTGGGGCTCTGGGAGGTGAGTGGGGAAGGAGTTGGGGCTCTGGGAGGTGAATGAGGAAGGAGTTGGGGCTCTGGGAGGTGAGTAGGGAAGGAGTTGGGGCTCTGGGAGGTGAGTAGGGAAGGAGTTGGGGCTCTGGGAGGTGAGTGGGGAAGGAGCTGGGAGTCTGACGGGGACTTGTTTCTTTGTTTTTGTGCAGGAGAGCAAACCCAGAGCTTTGTGTGTGTTCAGGGGAGTGCCAGCCTGAGCCTGGCCACGTGAGATGGGCTCTGGGAGCCAGGCTGGCTCTTCCCGACTGGCACAGGATCCAAGGCAGCCCTGACTCACGGGGGAACCCAGCCAAGCCAGGCCTGGGCTGTGCTCAAGCTCTGGGGCTCAACAGCCCAAAGCCAGCCTGGGGACATGTGGTGCTGTTGTCACCTCCTCACTGGGTGCCAAAGGAGCCCGCCCTGAAATCACCTGAGGCAGGGCAGGAGTGAGGGCCAGGGTCTGCTGGGCGATTTCAGACGCCCAGGGCAGTGCCAACAGGAATTTTGGGGTTTGTGGGGGGGAACCCAAACCCAGAGCCCGGCGTGAGCAGCCACTTCTCATCTGGGACACTTCAAAGTGCCACCAGCTGGGACACGGCAGTGCTGGGAACTCAGGGCAGGGCTCTGCTCTCAGCTCTGCCCCAAACCCCAGCCAAGCTGCTTCCTCTGCCTGCCCAGCTCCTCCTCACGCCAGCCACGAAAATGGGGCAGAGGGAACCAAAATCTTTTCCTTCTCACCCGTTTTTTGCCTCGCTCTGCTCAAGCTGTGAGGTCTCTGGAGCGTTCCCACATTTGTTAACACCAGCAGACCACGGGCAGCAGAGACCAAAGCCAGCTGGGCCCTCCCCGCCTCTCCCTGTCAAGCCTTTGGCAAAGCCTTGGGAATGTGGCCTTCCCCTTCCCAGCCTGTGGAGTTTGGGTTTCATTCCATTGATAAAACATCCAGGGAGATCCCAGCCAAGCTGCAGCTCCTGCCAAGCTGAAGGTTCCCTCAGCCCCCGCTCCGACAGGACTCCTGGTGCCAATTGGGACGGGCTGTTCCCAGGGGTTGGTTCAATGGGAACATCTGGATGCCTGTGGTAACAACTCCTGCTTATTCCACGGCACAGCCAGCCACTGCCCTTGGGATGAAAGAGCTGCTCTCAAACCACAAATTAATTCTGCATTTGCAGCACAAGAGAACTCCCATTAATCCAGCGTGCAACTCAGGAACCTCCAAGGACTTCTCCACAAGGATAACATCTGTGGGACAGGGTTACAAGCTTTTGTGCTGCTGTCACAAGTTTCACAAGGTTTCTTTTTCTTGGAGCTGAGGGAATAGGAAGAGCTTGGGTTTTCATTTTACTTATCGTGGTGCTGTGGATGAAAACTGGAAATCAGGACCTGTGAGGGCTGAAAATCTTTGGGGTTTGCAGCACCTCAGGCTGGCAGAGCTGCAGAATTCACACGGGGATAACTAAACCAGAGCAATTTCCCTAAAATACAGGAAAAACAGAAAAACCCACAGGGCCAGGCTGCCCTGGAGCAGATGCCCACCTGTTTGTCGTGGTGGTAGAGGGATGCCAGCGTGTAGGGCAGGATCTGGAGGGCAGAGAAGGTGAAGCCAGTCAGGGCAGCGGAGATGGTGACCACGGTGACACTGCGGGACAGGCACATGACAAAGGCCAGCCCAGGGAAGAACACCACGCTGGCCAGGTACACTGCCCGTGTCCCAAAGTGCTTCACCAGCCAGTCCATGATTGTCGAGAAGAAGATGGAGGTGATGCACTGCAGGAAGAGGCCCAGGCTGCCCATCCGGACACCTGCGGGCAGAGAGGGGTGGTGAACACTGCCCTGGCTGCTCCTGGATTCAACAGCCAAATATCCTTCTCTCGGTCCTAAATCCAAAAACATCCTTCTCTTTGTCCTAAACCCAAAAACATCCTTCTCTCAGTCCCAAACCCCAAAAAATCCTTCTCTCATTCCCAAACCCCAAAAACATCCTCCTACTGGTCCCAAACTCCAAAATATTCTTCCTTCTCTGTCAGTCCCAAACCCCTCAAACATCCCTCCCTCTCTGTCAGTCCCCAAACCCAAAACATCCTTTCCTCTTCATCAGCTGCAAAACCCAAAAACACCCTTCCCTCTCCATCAGTCCTTAATCCCAAAAACATCCTTCTCTTGGTCCCAAATCCTAAAATATTCTTCCCTCTCCATCAGTCCTTAACCCCAAAAACATCCTTCCCTCTCTGTCAGTCCCAAACCACAAAACCTCCCTCCTTCTCTGTCAGTTCCAAACCCCAAAAACATCCTTCCCTCTCCATCAATCCTTAATCCCAAAAACATCCTTCACTTGCTGTCTGTCCCAAACCCCAGAACATCCTTCTCTCTCCATCAGTCCTTTGTCCCAAAAGGATCCTTCTCTGCCAGTCCCAAACCCCAAAACCTCTCTCCATCAGTCCCACACCCCAAAAAAATCCTTCCCTCTCCATCAGTCCTTTATCCCAAAAGGATCCTTCTCTGCCAGTCCCAAACCCCAAAACCTCTCTCTCTCTCCTTCAGTCCCAAACCCCAAAAAATTCTTCCCTGTCCATCAGTCCTTAATCCCAAAAGGATCCTTCTCTGCCAATCCCAAACCCCAAAACCTCTCTCTCTCTCCATCAGTCCCAAACCCCAAAAAATCCTTTCCTCTCCATCAGTCCTTAACCCCAAAAAATTCCTTCCCTCTCCATCACTCCTTAACCCCAAAAACATCCTTCCCTGTCAGCCCCAAACCCCAAAACCTCCCTCCCTCTGTGAGTCCCAAACCCCAAGGAGACAGCGAGGCCCTCGGAGCCCTGCCAGCCTGGCTGGCTCAGGGAGCAGGGCAGCATCACCCAGCAAATCCCAGGATTGCAGCAGCTGCTGCCCCAAGTCCCTCCTGGCACCGAGGGCACCGCAGGGAGGTGGGAGATGGGAACCCAAATGCCATCCCTTCCCTTGGCAGTCACTGTCCCTTCCTCCTGCTGCTGCCCCAGGCTGTCACCTGCTGCTGAACCAGGATCTGTCCTTATCTGGTGCCCAAGGCAGCAGCAGAACAAAGGCAGGAGGAACTGTGCTTGAGCCAAGGTAAAGAACAGAACGTGCTCCAAACGGCGGGATCCGGTGGCAATCCGGACCTTACCCTTTCACAAAGATCTCTCAGATTTCAGGGAATTAAAACCATTAACTCTTTGGAGCGGGGGATCATTACCCAACACATGTTTCTATGACAGCCGGCACAATGGAGGGCTGGCCTGCTGGGAGCTAAACAGTGCAAGTGTTAAATAATAATTAAGCTGCCTCGAAGTTAAACAGACACCCAGCACAAAGGGGCAGTGTGCTGCAGAGCCCTCCGAGTGGAAAACTGCAGGAGGAGGGCCAGGAAGTGCCTCCAGAAGAAAAGATTTGGATTAGGGAGACCAAAGGAGTGGTTAGGCAGGGAGTCAAGGGTCTGGCACAACGCAGCAGGCAAAATGGGGCAGCAGGTAACACCTGGGAGCAGGTGAAGGGCTGCTGGAGCAGTGCCCTGGCCTGGGGATGTGGCAGCTACAGGCTTGTGAGCAGCTCTAAGGCACTGGAGAGGGGGCTGAGAGCTGGGAAAGCTCCTGGAGGACTCCCAGAAGCAGCTGGGAGGTGGGAATTTCCCAGCAGCAAATCCCACCTCACAACACCCTGCTCCCCAAGGATGGGGAGCACCCTCAGCCCTGGCTGGGAAAGGAGGGGAGAGCAGTGCCAGGAGCTCTCCAGCAGAGCCTGCAGACAGAGGCAGCTCCATCCTGCTCCCTGTGCCACCTGCCAGACCGTTCTGCCACTCAACAAGCCAGGCAACAGCCAGGAGGTGTTTCCCAACCTGGTCCTTGTGCCACGCTCTGGGAGCCAGGGGAAAACGTTCTTCCCCGACCTACCCACAGAAAGCCAAGTCCACTGTAGCTTTTTGTTTGCATTACCAACAGAGCTGAGCCCATCCCGAGCTCCCAGGAAACGTTTGTGTCCTGGGAACAGGACAGGACGCGCTGGGCTCGCTCCTCACCTTCATCGTAGTGCCGCCTGGCCTCCGTGCCCGGCTTGGCCCTGGGCACGCCGTGGTACAGCCCTTCCCCGACGAAATCCGTGTAGAAGAGCATGAAAGTCATGAGAGCCATCCAGCTGCAGAGCTCGGCCACGAAGAGGCGGCGCACGACGCCGGGCACGCGGCAGCAGAGGCCGTGCAGGCGCGGCAGCAGCGCGCACAGCCGCCTGCCCGCCTGCAGCACCCGCCTGCCCGGCAGCAGGCACGGCGCCCGCGCCGCCCGCCAGCAGCAGCACCACAGGGACGCCCTCGGGGACGCGTCCTTCAGCGCCGGCCCCGCCAGGATATCCCCCTGGGCGGCCTCCTCTGTGACAAACAGCGTGGCCAGCACACAGGCGAGGAAGATGAGGGCCAGCAGGCTGAAGAGGCAGCTCTCCTGCCCGCCCAGGTAGGGCGCCAGGAAGGCCCAGTCGATGGCTGGCAGCAGGTAGCCGATGCAGCCGCCCAGGCTGATCATGAAGGCGTACATGGAGAAGGCCTGGCGGCAGTTGTCCGGCTCCTGGAAGAGGTCGGAGAGCAGGGCCTCCAGCGGGGTGAAGCACACCTGGCCGCAGAAATCCAGCAGCCCGATGCCCACGATGAGGAAGGCGATCTCCAGAGGCCGGGGGTTGAGGGCGCACAGGCCGGCCAGGCTGCCGGCGTGGGGGATGACAAAAAGGCTGAGCAGCACCCCCAGGCACAGCAGCCAGATGAAAGGTCTCCTGCGGCCGTAGCTGCTGTGCCACTGGTCGCTGGCCGAGCCGATCAGAGGCACAAAAACCAGCCCAAGGACAGGGCCTATCCCTGAGAAAGACACAGGAGGTGTTATGGGGACACAGCTTCTCTGTCTGCACTCCAAAAAGGGATGTTTCGTGAATTTGGGAGGTTTCAGTGAGGTCACAGCCCCCTGCCCTGCCCTCACTCACCCCCACCCTCCAGACTGCAAAGTTTTAAAAAAACGCCACCTCGAAGAGGTGACAAAAGCTGCCTACCCAAAACCATGGTCATGAACTTCTCCTCCACGCCCACCTCCAGCAGCAGCGGCGGCACGTAGGTGATGCCGGCGGCCAGGCACACCTCCAGCCCGAAGGTCAGCGAGTTCACCAGCAGCAGCTGGGTCCGGCGGCTCTGCAAGGACATGCTGTCCCCAGGCTGAGCCCTCAGTGGCACAGGGCTGTGTCCTGCCAGCTGCAGAGCTCCCAGGGATGCCCCCCAGGCAAGGATTGGAGCTTCCCTTCCCGGGCTGCTGGGGAGATGCTGCTTCCCATTTTATCAACGGCGAAGGAACCGTCTTTTCCTCTTCCTCTTCTTGTGAGATGTGGAGAGCTCAGGCCGGGATCCCACTGCAGGTTCCCCTCCTCACAGGCTGTGGTCTGTGGGGAGAGAGCGTTAAACAGGGCAGGGAAGGGGGTAAAACCAGGCACCACATGGATCTGTCACTGCTGGAAGGGACAGTCCCCATCCCAACAGGCTGGGGAGGGTCTCGAAGAGGGGCAGGTGGAAGGATGAAAGCTCCAAGTGTGCCAGGTTTGTCTCCAAAGGTTTGTGACAGGTGAGAGAGGATTTGGGAAAAGCCAAGAAAACCCAATCCTGCCCTTGAGGATTGACAACCACTCCGTCCTGTCTGGGCACCTCTTGCAGATGGAGGAGAGACAAAGGATTTGGGGTCTCCACTGACAGGGAAATCACACAACCTAACCCTAATCCTAACCGAATCCCAACCCTAACCTCAACCCTAACCCTAACCCAAACCCTAACCCCAACCCTAACCCTCAACCTAACACTAACCCTAACCCTAAACCTAACCCCAACCCTAACCCCAACCATAACCCTCAACCTAACACTAACACTAACCCGAACACTAACCCAAACCCTAACCCTAACCTTCAGACTTTACCTAAGCCTAACCCTAACCCTACCTAACCCAAACCCAAACCCGAATCCCAACCCTTACCCTAAGCCTAACCTTCAACCTAAAACTAATCCTAAACCTAAACCATAACCCTAACCCCAACCTTAACCTAACCCTAACCCAGCCCTAACCCTAACCTTAAGACTTCACATAAGCTTAACCCTAGCCTTACCTAACCCTAACCGTGACCCTAACCTTAACATTTTACCTAACCCTAACCCTAAATCTAACCCTAAACCAAATCAAACCATAACCCTAACCCTAATCCTAACCCTAACCTAAGACAAACCCTAACCCTAAACCTATTCCTAACCCTAACCCAATCCTAACCCCAACCCTAAACCAAACCCTTACCCTAAGAGACTAATCCCCAACCTAAACTTAACCCTAACCCTATTTCTAACCCTAACCCTAACCTTACCCCTAACTCTAATTCTAACCCTAACCCTAACCCAATCCTAACCCTAACCCTAAACCCAACCCTTACCCTAAGCCTAGTCCTTAACCTAAAATTAACCCTAACCCTAATTCTAACCCTAACCCTAACCTTAACCTTAACCCTAACCCTAATTCTAACCCTAACCCTAACCTTAACCCTAACCCTAATTCTAACCCTAACCCTCTTGCAGATGGCAGAGAGACACAGGATTTGGGGTCTCCTCTGACAGGGAAATCACTCAACCTAACCCTAATCCCAACCCAAACCCCACCCTAACCCCAACCTAACCCTAACCCCAACCCCAACCCCATCCCAACCCCACCCCCACCCTAACCCCAGGACCGGGCAGTGCCTGCAGCCCCTCGGGGCCATCCCCCGAGCCCCCCATCCCTGCCTGCTGACCAGGACACCCCCATGCTGCTCTCAGGGGAGGCGATTTCACCCAAATCCCACGCCCAGCCTGCCATGGGGCACAGAGCACAGACGGTGCCTCCGCGGAGTTTCACAAACAAACCTGACCCACTTTAGCCTCATCTCCCAGCGAATGGCAATTACCTTACTCATTAGACTGAGTCATTTATTTGCCCTGCAACTGCTCCCTTCTCTCCAGCTTCTCCAGAGGAGAGAGGCCATGGGATGGGGACAGACAGGGGGGGGAATTTGGGAGCCTCCCAGTCCCAAATGACAGAAACCCTCCAAGCTCCCCAGCAGCCAGCCCAGAAAAATTCGCTAAAAACACCTCGGGGAGGTGGCCTGGCGAAATCAGCGCTCCCTGAGCCCTCCAGGTGTGTGCAGGCAGGTACAGACAGCAGAGTTTTGTCACTTTTCTCTCTCTCCCCGTGTCACCAACCCACGAGGGGGAGGCTGGGGGAGGCTGGCAGGGTGGGGATGAGCCTCAGCCATCATTCCCTGCCTCTTGTTGCTGTGGAGAAACGCCACCCCTGTGAGCTCAGGAGCTGCCGGGCCGCCAGTGCCACTCCATAAATACCAATTATTCCCCTCTGGGGACCCTGCACCTCCCCTCAACTGTCACAGAAGATCCTTCCTTTCAACAGCCGCCTCGCCCAAGGTCAAACAGCAAACAGAGGGAGAACGGTTTGGCTTTAATCACCAGAGGCGGCTTCAAAGGAAGCCAGGGCCGGGTTGAGCATCCCTTCGGTTGGAGGAAGCGCCGGGGGCAGCGCCCACCTTGCTCAGATGTGGGTTCCACACAGGATGTGGGGGTGCCCGGCTGCATCCCAGCCCCAGGATGAGGAATTGCAGCCCCAGGATGAGGAATTGCAGCCCCAGGATGGGGGAATTGCAGCCCCAGGATGGGGGAATTGCAGCCCCAGGATGAGGAATTGCAGCCCCAGGATGAGGAATTGCAGCCCCAGGATGGGGGAATTGCAGCCCCAGGATGAGGAATTGCAGCCCCAGGATGGGGAATTGCAGCCCCAGGATGGGGGAATTGCAGCCCCAGGATGAGGAATTGCAGCCCCAGGATGAGAAATTGCAGCCCCAGCAGCTCCCACAAGGCAAAATGAACCAGGACACTCAGACCTCAGAGGGGAATGTGATGTCCACTGCAAGCTGTCCTCCGGGGTCTGGAGAACTCAGAGAGGGGGAGTTATCCCCAAAGAAACCCCAAATATCAAGCGAAAGATGCCTCAAACAGATTAAAAGTTGTTTTCCTCCCTTTTCCTGCTTTGACAGAGCACTGGGGAGGCAGCAGGGATCTGTCCACCTGCCTGAGAATTCCAGTTTGGAGGCAGAACTGGATTTCTTATCTGTAGGTAGGAACAGACCTCTCCTCCCCCTCCACACCCTCCGAGGGCTCCAACGAGAAAAGAAATCCCTGAGGCAATAACCATGAACAGCCAGAGATGAGAAGTCTCAACTGCAATAAAGCTGCAGATAAAACTGCAACAGCTGAACTTCATCCCAATACCCATTAATTACTCTTTTAATTTTTTTTTTTTTTCCACAGAATAGAGACAGGGAAATGTGCTGGGCAGGAAAATCACCTGAACTGCTGATTTGTGAGGACAGGGGCTGGAAAAGGGAGATTTGGGAGGCTCAGGGAGGCTCAGGGAGCCAGGACTCACCTGCAGGTGCTCCCTGCAGCCCAGGAGCTGCTCCAGTGTTTGCAGGGCAGCAGAGGTGGAACCAGCACAGGTTTGGTTTCAGGGCCCTCCCTTTCTGTTGATAACAGCGGCGTTATTGTCACCCTGCCACTCCTGTGCAGTGCCCCCTCCCTGAGGGCTGAGCAAACACTGCTGGCACCCCCTCACAGGGTGCTGCCCTGAGGAAATCCCCCCCAAAAAAACCCCAAAAAACCCCCTGATATTCACATTTATCACCCTCCTTTGTTGATCTGCTGCTGCTCCAGCACATGGGGTTGGTATTTTGTTTTTAAAGCAAACAAGATGTCCCTGCAGCTCTGCTGGCCCAGAGTGACAGCCCCAGCAGCAGCAAGATCAAACATCATCCCTCAAACCCCTAATCCAATCTTTCCCAGGGGGATTTATCCCCTGGACTGTGCAGGACTGTTCAGCTCTGGAGTGGAAGGAGTCAGGAAAATCCATGGAACAGCAGCACTGCACTCACCCAGGGGAGCTGGCAGCACCCTGCCCATCCCAGAGGGATTTTGGGCACCTTCCACAGTCCCACGGGGGCAGCTGCTGCAGGTGACCCTGGCATTTCTCACCCTCCAGCCTCAGTTTCCCCAAATTCCCACAGCAGGAACAGGGTTTGTCCTTTCCTCCTCAAGGAGCGCCCTGGCAAGGATAACAGCAGTCCCCAAAAAGGGATTTTTGAGGTTTGCTGCTCTGAGGAGCAGAAGGGAGCCACATGTGGGGCTGTCCCACAGCTGCTGGCGTGCCATGGGACATCAGCTGCTTCTCTTCCTCTTCCCTCCCGAGGGAGAGCCAAACCCTCCCCAAACCACGGCTCTCTGCTCTGCTTTGCAAGCTTGCAAACCCCATTTCCCTGCCCTTTCCCTGCAGAGAAACAGCAGATCAACTCCCAGAGCTGCCTCACCTGGCAGCCAGGTAGGAGGGCGGGTCCAGGGTAGTGGAGAGGATGAAGCCAGGGAAGGTTTTAGGAAAAAAAAAAACCAACCCCAAATACCTGGAAAAGGTGGATGTGCAGGGCATTGATGGACACAAAGAAACCTCTCCTCCAATCTCCTAAACCTTCCCAACAAAGGTCCTGGAGGAAATCACATCTCAGCAGTGCTTAGAGTGAAGAGGTGTTTTAAAAATAAAATGTGGATGTACTTGCATGGCAGAGAAAAGCTCATTTATTCCTGGAAGAATCCGTGCCCTGCTGCTCCATAATCTCTGCTCCGGGTGCAGAGGGACCAAGAGATGGTGCTGAATGTGGCTGTGGGCTTTGATTTGTGCTGGTTGTGCACCTCCTCCACAGCTCAGCGAGCAGCAGTGATCAGACAGCAGAGATCTGGTTCAGGGTGAGGATGCTGAGGTGCTGGAATAGGTTTCCCAGAGAAAATCTGGCTGCCCCATCCCTGGAAGTGTCCAAGCCCAGGCTGCAGCAGCCAGGGATAGGGGAAGGTGTCCCTGCACGTGGCAAGGGAGTGGAACAAACTGAGATTTAAGATCCCTTCCAACCCAAACCATTTATTATGAATTATTTCTGACCTCTCAGGGCTGCCTTATTCCCTTAGGAAAGGAAATCCCGTGGCTCAGGTGGGTGCCCGGGTGATTCAGGTCCTCTCCTTCCCTGCCCATGCCAGGGTTGGCACCCAGAGAGAGGGGCAGGCAAACAGCTCCCATTCCCAACCCCAACATCACATTTCCAACCTTCCCAGGGGCTCTTTCTGAATTCCCTGGAAGCCTTTTGGAAGAAAGGGTGGGAGAGAGCTCAAGGGGAGAGAGCTCGGAGTGGCCAGGGCCTTTCACAGCTATCAGTGTCCATTCAGCGCCGCTGAATGGGAAATGCACCATGGAGAATAGCTCTGGCAGGCTCCTCGGGATGGAATGGAAAACTCACCTGACCTCTCCTGACCCCCTCCCCGGCCCTCCTCCCCTCCCAAATCTCCTTGACCCCATTCAGAGCTCGGGGAGAGGGCAGTGCTCACCAAGGGAGGGGAGAAGGGCGATTATTGATTTGGGCTCTCTGAATGAGCCCCGCGTTTCCTTCGAGCCACGGGGCTCCATTCTTGGGGAAAGAGCAGCAGGAGCTGGAAACCCCCTCAGGAGCTGCTGGGTTTGGGATTGCCTCCCTCATCCCACAGGGCAGAGCCCAGCAGCCAGGATCTCCCATGGGAGCCACGCAAGGGCCGATCCTGGTGGCAGCTCTGGCTTCCACAGGGACACCCCTGGATTTGGGGGTGGCTCTCTCCTGCCTCACTGGCTGCACTGCAGCACCCAGAGGGGATCCTGCTGCTCCCAGGGCTAAAATCCCAAGCTGTCCAGAGCACAGAGGGATCCCTGGCACGGACACACAGCTGAGGGCACCTCTGTTTGGGCACGGACAGCCCAGAGGGAATGTTGGCTTTGTCCTGCCTGCCCTTCACCCTCACACCTCCCGCTCCAGGGATGCTCTAAGCTCATCCCACAGCACGAAGGTGACACAGAGCAGAGCCCCAGGCTCTGTGCCACAGCCTGCACCCTCCTGTGGCACAGGAGCTGCTCCTGCCAGGAGCCTTTCTCCCAGCAAAGAGTGGCCAGTTCCAGCCAGGCCTCCTCCTCCTCCTCCTCCTCATCCCGTTCCAAACAGGAGCTGTGTGTGGCTAACGGGGTCACTGACTCAGCAGGAGCCACGCTGGCACTGCTGCAGCTCTCTGGGGACAGACACAAGCCCAGGGCCACGGCAGGGCCAGCAGCTCCCTGCCCTTGGCTGGGCTTCACCCTCGGGCTGCCCAGGCCACCCGTGCTGGGAGCACGGCCAGGAGCTGGGAACAGCTGGAGCTGGGAACAGCTGGAACTGGGCACTGCTGGAACTGGGCACCGCTGGAACTGGGCACCGCTGGAACTGGGCACCCCTGGAGCTGGGCACTGCTGGGACTGGGAACAGCTTGAACTGGGCACTGCTGGAGCTGGGAACAGCTGGAACTGGGCACTGCTGGAGCTGGGCACCCCTGGAGCTGGGAACAGCTGGAACTGGGCACTGCTGGAGCTGGGCACCCCTGGAGCTGGGAACAGCTGGAACTGGGCACCCCTGGAGCTGGGAGCAACTGGAACTGGGAACAGCTGTAACTGGGAGCAACTGGAACTGGGAACAGCCTTAACTGGGAGCAACTGGAGCTGGGCACAGCTGGAGCTGGGCACAGCCGGGGCTGGGCACCCAAGTCCTGCAGGCAGCAGGGGCCAGGGCTGCTGGGATGACCCTGACCTCCCCAGGAGCACCCCAAAGATGGGTTCAGTCAGTGCTGGTGGGGTGAAAAGCCCCAGTAAAGCAAAGCTCAGCTGCGGAGGGATCACAGCAGGGTCTGGCAGCGTTTCACCCGCTCAGGACTGGCATCTCCTCACCAAACCTCATAAAGCACAACCTCCCAGACTCCTCACCACACTCAGCACAGCCAAAAGCAGCAGCATTTCACCCTGAGAGCTCAGCAGCATTTCACCCTGAGAGCTCAGCAGCATTTCACCCTGAGAGCTCAGCAGCATTTCACCCCGAGAGCTCAGCAGCATTTCACCCTGAGAGCTCAGCAGCATTTCACCCTGAGAGCTCAGCCCTCCTGGTCACGCTCCCCTGGGCCAGCGTCAGCTCTGCTGCAGGCAGCTCCAGGCCTCCAGACAAGCTTGGCTGGCTCCACAGCAGAGCCACAGCTTTGTCTGGCTGCTGCACGACCCAAGCTCTTGCTTTTATTCATCAGAGGAGCCCCCGTTCCGGAGCAGAAGGGGAAATGAGATGATCTGCTTCTGCTTTTCACTCATTTCTGCTGTTTAAAGACTGTGCCCATCACCCCTGGCACTTGATCCAAATCAACCTCTCCCCCCGGCCTTTCTTCTCCGCTTATTATTATTACTTTTTTTTTTTTTAGCAGAAGAATCAAAATGTAAATTCAAATGTAAAGGGGGAAAAAAAAGCCCCCTCCAGGTGCCCCCTTCTCCTCAGTGCGGGGACGGGCACAGATTATATCCGGCACCACATGACCGGGGCCTGTATTTATGTGTCAGAGTGTAAAACCCACCCTGCTGAGCAGCCTTTTCTCTGCCTGGGGCTGGGGGCTTCTGCTCCGCGTCTCCTCCAACAGCCCCACAAAGGGGATTAAGGAGAGCCCCTCAGCCCTGCAGAGTAATCCATCAAATTATCCCTTGTTGGCGTTGCTGTCCTCTTCAGGAAGAAAAAAAAAAAATAAAAAGAAGGAAAAAAAAAAAGAAAAAAAGCCCTCCAAAAGCTTTTAAAGGCACTGAAATTACACTTGAGCCTGAAACACTCCACCCAGCTGCTGGAGCCCACAGCACAATGGGCTGGTTGTAAAGGGGATCCCGGGAAGTGAGGAGCAAGGAAAAAGAGATGGACACTTAAAAAGGGCAGCGGGCTCACCAACAGGTGCTCCAGAGCCCCCTTCCCCAGAGCCTGCAGCAGGGCCGGCCCCGTGAGGCGGTCTGGGCATCCCAGTCACCCCCTGAGAGGGAATTTGGGGCTCTGGGATGGGTTTGCTGTGCCCCACTGGCCCCACGGATGCATCCTCTGCAGAGGTGAGGCTTGCAAAGTTGTAAGGGAGAACCCAAATCACTCCTGCAGGGATTCCAGACCTGTCACCCCCTGTCCAAGCTGTCCTCAGAGCCCTGGGACTGGACAGTCCCTCATAACCCCCAGCAGGACTCAGGGCACCTCCACCAGTGACCCCACAGGCAATGGAAAGCCAAACCACACTCACCAAAATCCCGGGAACGCTCAGAATCTGCTTTTCCTTCCACTGCAGCCCCCGAAATTGCACAGGAATTGCTGTGCTGCTCCTCAGCACCCTGCTCCGAGCGGCGAATCCTCCCTCTGCACCAGCCCTGCCCGAGCAAGCACACGGGATTTCCTGGGTGTGCATTGCTGAAATCTTCTGGGGAAAACTCTCAGCCCAGCAGGGATCACAAAGTGCTTACCCCAGCAAACTGGAAGTGGGCAAAGAGAAGAGCAAACCCGTGCTGGTGGCACTCGGAGCACCCACGTGGCCACTGAACCCCCGGACACAAAACTCCAGAGTTCAAACCACCAGCACCGAGCGAGGAAGAAGCGTTTCCCCATCTGTCACGGGGAGGAGACGAGCAGCCAGAAGCCCTCACTGCTCTGCTCTGGTGTCTGCTCACATGGCTGGGAAAATGGGAAGTGAAACTGGAAGTTCTTGTTCGCAGCTGGAGCAGAAATGATGTGTGAGGGGACATCTGACCCCTCTGGGGCTTCCAGGCAGCTCCAGGAGTCCTGCTCCAAGAGTCCTACCCCGTCATTCCTGGTTTTATCTGGAAAACGACAGTCACAGGGCCAGAGGAGTCTCAGGAGTGGGTTCGGGGTGGAAAGGACAGTTCTGGTGTCTGAGCAAAAACCAGGGGCCAGAGCAAAGCCAAGGCTGGACACGAGGCTGCAAATCCAACCCAGAACAAATGGTGGAGTTTTAGGGGGGATGAGGGGTGTCCCTGACCCCAAACCATGCCCACACACGGGTCAGGCAAATGTCACCCCAGCAGGAGCCACCAGCACCCCTAACTGAACTCCAGCCACCCCTGCTTTTGCCAGGAGCCTGTTCCTCAGGAAAAAAAAAGGAAACAACCCAAACTCCAAAAATCCTCAGAGATCAACAGGCACACACTTCCAGAGCCCCTCTGGCTGCCAGATTTGGGAGCCTGACCTCGTGCTCTTGCTCAAAGAAGGCACTTGGTGCCCTGGACACACACAGGACTAAAGGGCCCTTCAGCAGTCTCATGGCCATCTCTCCAGGGCAATTTTCTGCCCCAAAATCCCGGTTTTTTGTGTCCCTGCTGGAGAAGCTGGATGCTCACAGATCTCTCTGCCGGCCCCTCTGACCTCCCCTGGCAGGTTGGGGGGTTTTTCCCCTCTCTGTTTTCTGTCTGTAAAATGAGGTCATGGCTTTGAAGGAGACAAAAGAGCCTTTGCAGGGTGAGGAATAGCCCCGGGACAGCTGTGAGAGCTGAGCCCCCATCGCTCACAGCTCTGAACACCCCCTTGCTGTCCCTGGCACGGCAATGGGCAGAGGGAACGTGCAAAAAGTTTTATAATAAATATAAAAATAAATATTTTATATTTATAAATATTTTAAACTGGGAGCTGCTCTGAGCTCTCCTTGTCCCCCCCCACCCATTTTTCACCCTCCCAGTCACCCCTCTGGCCATGGAGGGGAGTTTATGCCAACCTTCCAAGGGACTTTCTGTCACATCAGCACCCTCTACCAGAGGGGAAGGTGTGCAGGGAATAATGGGAATTTTCTGGGGTGTTTTAAGGGCAAAATCCACAGCTCAGAGCCGTAAAAAAAGCTGTTTTACGTGCCTGGGGTAGCAAAAGCTGCTCTGCCTCCTGCCTGCAGCACATCAACCCCTCGGGGTTAATGAGGGGCTTCAGATCACTGCTGGAGCATAGGGAGACTTTTCCTTATCGTGACAGACCAGCCACGAGGCCTGGCTCTGAAAATGACAGATTCCACAATTTTATTTTTGCCTGATAATTGCAGAGATAAGGAGCAATCAGATTTTTATTTTCTGAGGCACATAAGTTTCACTGGAAGGTCTTAATGGAGAACTTAAGAAGCTTTTTCCTCTCCCCCTTCTCACCACCAGTTTAATGTGCTATGGACTCACAACATGCAGGGGTTTAACATTCACCAAAAAAAAAAAAAAAATAGAGCAGTGAGGACTATCTGGAAGGGAAATTTTCCACTTTAAAAAAAAAAAAAAAAAAAAAAAAAAAAAAAAAACCAAGGCTCAAAGCTGCCGTTTCTACAGGAGGTGGATGGAGTGAGGCACTTTTACCACCTCCTCACTCCCCACCCAAACAGGAACCTCACTTCTATTTTGAGCCCTGGAAAGAACATCAGCCCTAAATTATTAGCTTTTTTACTAATTGGCACGGGGTTCAAGTTCAAAGCTGCCTGAATTTTGCAGAGCCCTCTGAGCAGGGCTGCTGGGGGGTTTTGTGGCACAGGGTGTGAGGGGGACAGGCAGCAAAGAGCTCTGAGAGCTGAAATTTCTCCGTGTTTGCTGTTAAAAAGCAGGAATGGAAGTTTGTACAGCGAGGACTGAGCAGGGGCAGGATTTTCTCCCCACGCCAGGCGGCCTCTTGCCATTATTTGCTGGGGTAAAGTTCAGAGAGCCACAAATGAGGCAGAGAGAGCTCTGATATTCCTGCAGCGTGCCCCGGGCACACGGCCAGGGCACCTGGGGCGGGCACAGGGCTGGCACCCAGCACCTTCCCAGATCCACAGGGACAGCCAGCACTCCCTGCCTTGCCCAAAAGGCTCATCTGTGACAAATGGACTTGTAGAGAGCTCTTAGGGCCTGACAGAGGGCCTACACAGTGTGAGCATGTATGCAAACTTTATGGAATAGCATCTACAGCAAGGTGTGGCAAAAGCTGGTCAGCCATACAGTGTTTTGTAATTAGGAAATAATCAGCTTCTGATTGTGATGGTGCCAATTGTAACATCTGTATTGTCTCACCCTTCAAATGAGACTGAAAATGGAATAGAAGTTTTTAAAACACCCCTCAGCTGTCCCATCTCTGGGTCAGGAAAGGGCTTGATCCGACACTCATCCTCTGCTATCAGCCCTGGCCACGGGCAGGGAGGGATGGGAGGGTCTGGGGCAGCACAGCTCGGAGAATCCCAGCTGGAAGAGGCCCTGTGGAATCATCGTCCCACCAGCACATCCTCCCGCCTGGATGGAGGCACCTCAAGCACTGAGGCTGCAGGAATTTCCCCTGAAACAATATCCACGGGCTAGAAAGATTTAATAACTGGGAAGTGTCCTTCCTTCCTTCCCTCCCTCCAGCTATCCCCCGTGTCATTCCTGCGCTCTCCTTTTGATTTGCACGCTCACAGCCCCTCCAGCCTCTCTCCCAGGCCCGGCTCAGTCAATCCTGATGAAAATCCACCTTCCAGCCCCATTAATTGCTCACTCGGCCTTGGCCGAGGCACAGCAGCTTTTGTTCCAGCGCCGCTCCAGCTGCTCCTGCCGCCCCGGCGCATGGAACCGTTTGTCACCCACATTCCCAACAGGAATTGTCTGTTACCAACATTCCCAACAGGAATTGTTTGTCACCCACATTCCCAACAGGAATTGTCTGTTACCAACATTCCCAACAGGAATTGTCTGTCACCCACATTCCCAACAGGAATTGTTTGTCACCCACATTCCCAACAGGCATCGTTTGTCGCCCACATTCCCAACAGGCATCGTTTGTCGCCCACATTCCCAACAGGCATCGTTTGTCACCCACATTCCCAACAGGAATCGTTTGTCACCCACATTCCCAACAGGAATCGTTTGTCACCCGCATTCCCAACAGGCATCGTTTGTCACCAGCATTCCCAACAGGAATCGTTTGTCGCCCACATTCCCAACAGGAACCGTCTGTCGCCCACATTCCCAACAGGAACTGTCTGTCACCAACATTCCCAACAGGAACCGTTTGTCACCAACACACGCACAGGAATCATTTTGTCACCAACACTTCTGAACGCTCAGAAATTGTTTGTCACCAGCATTCCCAACAGGAATTTTTTGTCACCTACATTCCCAACAGGAATTGATTGTCACCAACATTCCCAAATGTACAGGAATCATTTGTCACCAACATTCCCAACAGGAATAATTTGTAACCCACATTCCCAAATGCTCAGGAATTGTTTGTCACCAATATTCCCAGCAGGAACCATTTGTCACCAACATTCCCAACAGGAATTGTTTGTCACCCACATTCCCAACAGGAACTGTTTGTCACCAACACACGCACAGGAATCATTTTGTCACCAACACTTCTGAACGCTCAGGAATTGTTTGTCACCAGCATTGCCACAGGAATCAATAGTCACCAACATTCCCAATAGCAATTGTTTGTCACCAACATTCCCAACAGGAATTGTTTGCCACCAACACTTCTGAACGCTCAGGAATTGTTTGTCACCAGCATTCCCAACAGGAATTTTTTGTCACCTACATTCCCAACAGGAATCGATTGTCACCAACATTCCTGAATGCTCAGGAACTGTTTGTCACCAGCATTCCCAACAGGAATAGATTGCCACCAACATTCCCAAATTTACAGGAATCATTTGTCACCAACATTCCCAACAGGAATCATTTGTCACCAACACTCCCAAATGCACAGGAACCGTTTGTCACCCACATCCCAACAGGAATAACTTGTAACCCACATTCCCAAATGCTCAGGAATTGTTTGTCACCAACATTCCCAGCAGGAATCGTTTGTCACCCACATTCCCAGCAGGAACCGTTTGTCACCCACGTTCCCACACGCACCTCTGGAGCCTGGCAGCAGCAGCAGTGGCCACACAAAGACCTCCCCTGTCATGCCACCGGTACCTGGCACCGCAGCCCGCTGCCACTGTCACCTCCTTGTCCCTTTGTGCTCGGCTCGCTGGATTCATGAGCCGCGCCGACCTCCACGGAAGCGCTCGCCCCGTGACCACAACAATCCTTTATTCTCTGCACACTCCGAAGGGAGTTTGGCAATTCGGGCCAGAACCCAGAGCGAGACAGTGCAGTGATCACAGGGGAGCACTAACAGGGCACTGAGTGTCAGCCCAGCTCCTGGGGGCAACCAAAAACCACTTGGGGCATCTCCTCTCCACACTGGAGTGACCCCACAGCCCTGGGAGAGGGGGAAGAACGGGAAAACGCCCTGGAGCAGCGGCAGATCCAGCCCAGCATTCCCAAATCAATGGAAAGGGCACAAAATCACCATCAGGGATAAAATCACCCACAAGGTCCAGCTGAAGTGGAGGGGTTTGGTCACACCCACTTCAAATCCCACCTGAGAGCCAGTTCTGCCCATTAATCCTAAATTAAGAACAGAGAACTGGCATGCAAATCAGCATCAGAGCTCAGGTCTGATCCTCACCTCAGCTTCTTCATGCAGCAAGTCAGATCCCAGCAGGATTCGCTCCAAATGTTTGGGAAGGAAAGTGTGATCCAGGGATTTTCTTGCATGCCCCATTTGACCCAAAGTCTCAAGCCATAAATCTAAAGCAGGATTTCAGTGCTTCCCACAACCCTGTGCACATTATTCCTGGAGCTGGCTCCAGCCTGCTCTGTGAGAACATTAATGTCTTCTGAGTGCTGACAACCTGCACGGATTGGAGTCACTGCACTCATTATATTTCTGTTTTTCCTGAAGTCCCAGCTCCTGCAGACAAACCACCATGGAGAACCTCAGCTCCCAACAAAACAAAGGTGGGAAAAAAACCCCAAACAGCTCCCTTGATTGAAGGGAAAAAAACTTTCATACCTCACAAACCAACCCCATTGTTTTAAGTGGCTATTTTCAAATAAACCTCATTACTTTGCCAGAGGCCATCCTTAAACCTCCTGAGTATTCCAGCCCTGGCCACGATGAGAATTCATCTGCAAGTCACCAAAAGCTGGCTCCGAAATCCCCAGACCAACAAGCCTCAAGGTTTCCCTGGGTGAAGGATGGGGCCAGTCCTTGGGATGTGGACTAAGAACATTTTCTTTTAGCTCATGTGCAGCAACAGAGAGGAGGAAAAACGGTTCAGAGCAGCAAACCGGGCACCTGCTCCTTGCTGTGTGTGTTCCAGGCGCCTCCAGCCCCCAGACAAAGGAGCCTTTGGGACCACATTCCTCCTTCTTTTGCCAGACAATATTCACGGGGGTCTGTTTCTCCTCTTCTGCAGGCTGGCAAAATGTTAAGCAAATATTTGGGAACGGCGAGAGGAACTGACATTTTAGGATATAAAAACAAGGAGGAAGGGCACAAATTAGGGGGGACCTCCAAGGAGCAGCGCTGGGACAAACAGGAATGAAATGGTGGCCTCGGAGTCCCACTCTCAGCTTTGTTTTCTCAACAAGCAACCCCACAGCTCACCGGGTTGGGCACATCAGCAACTTCTGCAGCTCCATGACACAGGATCAGCCTCTTCCAGCAGCGAGGAGCAACAGCAGCACCAGGAACAGCAAAGGTTTCACATCATCAGCCTCAGATAACCAAACACTGGGGC